GATCAAAACATACAACTTTCATATGTTGGTATCATATATTTAATATTAATATATGCATCTTCTCCTCCATTTTTTTCAAGTGTTTCTAATGTTTCTTAGATTAGATCAGATAGATTTTCATTTTTTCTTTATGAATAATCAATTTTATCTCCAATATTTACTAGAAATATGAAATTTGATTACATCTTTTATTTTTATACATATTCATGACAGGTAAAATTTATCTATAATAAGGAACTAAGGCTTCTCCTATCATTTAACCACTTTTGACTAATTTTTATATTTTCTTTAATGTAATACACATAATATCATGATTCTTTGTAGCTAATGCTTCTATAAAAAAGTAGAAATATAATAGATTTACTTTTAATAGGAATAATCAATTATGGTAAGACTGATAAAATCTTAGTTTCTCCTTTTTATAATAATTCTTCACATCCATTTACAGCTAAGAATTTGTAAGGATCTTCAGTTTCTCTTAGTCCTTCAAAGAATATTGGAAGATATAAATGATAATCTAAACATTCAGGTTCACATTTCCAAACAATCTTTCTAACTGCTCCACTAAAATTAACTGCAATTGGAAGATCTCCTCTATCATAATATTTTTTAAATAAAGTCTATTCAATCATTGGTAAAGCTTAAAAGATTCCTGATTTTGGAACTTTTTAAGGAGCTTAAGCTTTCTTTGGAGCTAATGATGAAGACACTAATTTTTATATAACTTATATATTATTACTTCCACCTGTCCCTGCAAATTTATTACTAATGTTCAATAAATTTGAAGAGAATTTACCTGGTGATCTCTAAGGAGAATGTCCTTATATTGGTTTTATTCTTTTATTAGTATTTTATTATTGCTGCATTCTTATATTTATTTTATATTAAATTAATTATAATGATGTTCATTTATAATATTTCTTTTTAAATTCTTTCCATTAGTTATTTTTCGCTTATTTTCCTGTTTTATTTATTTTTCTTTTTTAATATTTAAATTTATAAATTTTGCCTCGTTTATCTAATGAAAGTTTTGATTGGATACAAGGAAATTAAAAAAACTGGACTTGTTAGTTTCATATGATTTTTAATACTATTTCTAACATCATTACATATAAATAAGAATTTGAATGTTTATATCAATAATTCTAGTTTAAAATTTAAGCATTTGTAAATCAAATGAGTAATTGATGTAAATGCATTAAATTGCAAAGTAAATATTAAATTTATTTTATAAACATATATTTCATTGGTATGGAAGTCAACTTTAATTAACTTGACATCCTTTTAAGATTGATTTAAGAGAGATGTGAGGATGTTCGAGTGTTGTCAACAATAAATTAGTAGGTGTAAACCAATTAAAAAAACTTTGATGTCGAATTCAATTAAATTTAGCAATCCCTAAGACAAATGGGATTCAAAGTTATAGCTATGAAAAAACATGATAAACCTAGGTAGGATGAAGAAAACAAAATTTTAGAGTACCTTTCAAAAATCAACACATTAAATCTTCCAGAGAGAATGTATATTTATAAATTTTGTCAAACAATAATAAAATTGTTCAAACCAGAGATGTAAATCGTAAGATTTAATTAAAAAGATACAAAAGATTTACTATTGATGTTTAAACAATATTTTATGGCAGAGAATAATATTGAAATTTTATAATAAATTCAATAACTAATGCTGGATCAAGAATTTAAAGTATTTTATATTATCCTAATTGCAGATGACCTCAGCTTTAATTTTAATAAAAATATTAGTAAACAAATCTAGAGAGGATTTTCATAATTTAATTTAAAGTACATCTGCAATTGTAATATCAAAAATAAAAGCAAAATTATCAGAATAATAGTAATAATAGAGACAAACAGGTAACGAATAACTAAAATAATTTGAACAATAAGATCCAGGATCAAATGAAAGTCCTAAAACAAAGTTATGGATATAGAGGAAAGTCAATAAATAAAGAGAATAATAAAGCTCTTTGGTTTACTAAAAGCCTACAATAATTCTCCGATCTGTCTCGATGGTAGATAAATTATTAGTAGCTCAGTCATAATAATAATCTTATCAATAATAGTTGATGTAATAACAATAATAGATGTATATAAATCCAGAAAGAGAATTAAAGTTATAATTAAGAGCTTAATAAAAGAAATTAAAAAAGAGGCTGCATTCTAATTATAAGGCAATAATAGATTTAGACTTTGATAATTATTGGGCTATGCATATTATTTTGAAAAAAAAATTCATCAAACATTCTGATAAATATTGTAATTTAAATTTATATATAGTTTTACAAAGAGGTGGATTTTACATTTGGAGTTAATTGAAATTGTTTAATTAATCAATTAGATAGACTATAAATAACTATCAATTAAAAAGAGTGGAGAATATTTAAGCAGATAGATTGACAAATGAATAAGTTCAAGAGATTCATCATATATATAATACTACTTGTTAATCTCCAAGAAAGCTTCCATAGTTACCAAATATATAATTAAAATCATAAAGTCCCTAAATCATTAAATAAAATAAGTTTGTCTAAAATATATCTTTTTTACCTCAGCTATAATTTAGAAATTAGTCACTTGTATAGCAATAATAATAAGCTTATTCGTAAGTTTCATAGAAACCAATATCATTTTATGATCCAAATAAAGATTTTACTACATCAGCTTAGAGATCTAATAAATCATTAAATCTATCCTAAGACTAGATTCGCCATAAAAAATCTGAGCATAATTCTGAAATAATTCTCTACAAATGATTGATTGATTAATTAAAACGATTAATAAATTCTCGTAAATAAATAATTTTAAAATTATTTATGAGATAATATCACGCTCATATTTAGACTCTCTAAACTATGGCAGCTAGATTAAGCTAAAAAATCCCACAAAGAAGAACAGCGTTAAATGATAGTTAACAAATGCTTAATTAATAATTATTAAATCTATCTGTTAATTAATCCTTTAACAGTCCTAAAATAATATCTAATCAACAATCATTTATAATTTCATAACCAACTAATCATAGCATGAGAGAAACAGCGAAAAGTGTACGTTTAGCTTCTCCATCATTAAGAATACAAACTGAAAAAGTAGAAAAAGAGGATAACAAATAACAATAATTTATTGATGCAACATTAAAATTATTAGCATAGAATGAGAAATTAGAAAAATTAATTTGTGAATAGAATGAGATGTTAACAATGTATAAGTAAGATAAATTAGAATTAGAATACAAAGTATAGAAATTATCTTAAGAAATTACCTTTCTAAAAGATGCTAATCAAAAGAGAGTGATGGCTTTAGAAAAAGAGTTAAAATAGGTGAAAGGAAAATCTTAACATTAACCAAAAAAATTTCTTCGATGAATTTTAAAGATTATAAAATCTTAATTCTATTTATTATTTTAGTAATCATATATTTTTCTAAATTAAAAATTTTTATATGATATATTTAGTTTCTGTAATAGTGTATATATAATAATTTTTGATTATAAAATATTTGATTATAATCATATGATTTGAGAAAAACATCTAAATTATTTTAGTTTAATGAAATGAATTAATATGTGAATAAAAGACTATATACTCGCTTCAAAAGGATTATAGTTATTTGAGAAAATTAAAGTTAACCCTTAACCTTTATAAAAATTTTCAAATGAAGAAATTGAAACACCTAATTTTGAGGATTTATTAATTTATAATATAAGCTAATATTATATTTCATAAGAACATGTCTCTATAGTTTTGGAAATGAAGTTGAACACTTAGATAACATTGATAATAATTGCCGAATATAATATAAATTAGAATGAATTGTGAATTTATTTTATTCTAATTGTATTTATAAGGCAGGATAATGAAAACAGAAAGATTAAGGGCAGAATTAGGAACTAATTAAAATATTACTAACTAAGCAAATGAAAATGAAATTATGAATTCAGCAAAACATAATTCTATTTTTTATAAAATCTGAACACTGTGAAAAATAGGATATTCAAATATTACTATTATTGTTTGTTTATTTTGAATAGATTTTAGAGTCTTTAATATTGATTTTAATATCAATAATGATAATAGAGATTCTGATATTAGTTTAGTATTAAAAGTTTTCAACTAACAACATTAAGTATTTATTTAGAATGAATCATGATAGAGATGATGTTTCTGAGATAAATAAACTTGCATATGTTTAGTGCAAAAGAATAAAAAATAATGAAATTTATATATAATTATGCAATTCCAAATAAATTCTCCAGAAGGAGAATAAGTCTGGAAAAACATGAATTAAGAAAAACAAAAGAAAGCAAAATGCAGCTTGCCTTCCATTCTCAATCAGTAGCTTTAGTCTTGATGGGATTTCCATGTATGAGCACTTGGATATGGAATTGTTTGGTAATGTGTTGTCCCTTTGGGAGGATTTTGACACCTGCGACTTTCTTAGTCACCTATTCTGTCTCGCTGGGAGGAGTTTTGGGAGAATCATTTTTTTTATATAGTTTTTTTGATTTATTATATTGGGATATGTGTTCAGACCATATGGCCTTACCCCAGGTGTAAGACATTTATAATTCTTGGCAAGCCTAAAAAATGTAAACTTGAGCATAATACTTCTTTTAAAGATTTTTTCTCATACAAAACACGTGTGAGAAACATCACTTTCTCCTTCGGACTTGGACCAACTCTATTAGACTATTGTTTCTTCATTTAAAGTTCAACTTAATATTTTAAATCAGCGAGAATAGGCATGAGTTAATGAAATTTAGGTAAATAATAAAGCTTAATACCCTTAGATCAACTTACTTTTATCTCTCGATAATACGTCATCCAACATTATTTTAGTAAGTAATAACACTTATTAATTAGTATGTTATCAAGATCAGAAAACATTAAAATTCTTTCTCACCTCAAATTTACTTATCTTCTTAAACTCTCCACTTTGCTCATTAATAAACTAAGAAATATTCATTCTTTTTTATTATCTTATTGATATATCTCTTAAAGCCAATTCTACAATTACACAATTAGAATTTATTCCTATTTTAAAAAATTCACATAGACTCTTTATAAGGCAACCCAATAAAATTTTTTATCTTTTTATTTTCTCAAGTACAATTATTTCATTTTGAAAACTTTAATTGAATTCATTGCATGATTATTTTTTTCAGAATTATTAATAATCTAATATGTTTTAACATCATTTTAATTCATATTCGTTTCTCCTAATTTAATTATTAAAATTACTATATTAACTTTATTGACTGTTCAATCAATTTTAATTTATATTTTAGAGCTGTTTTGGAGGTGAAATTCATATTATAAATTAAATTAATTGAAACAGTTAATATATATAAATATAAATTATCATAGCTTTGTTAATAACGACTCATATGTGATATCTTATTAATATAATGATATCTTGAAATTATTAGAATTCTTTTATGGGATATCTTAATCTTACATTAAATCCATTAAATATATTGTTAAATATAGTAGTTCTTTATCTAGAGCATTATCGTAAAAAGGAATAATGGGAATTCCATTATCCAATTAAAAACAAAAAGAGTATGAAGCATTATCAATTAAAACCATATCTCTTAAGTTTCTATTTCCTATCACTCTTAAATCTTTTATATGTAATCCATCTTAAATTATAACACAACTATCTCTAAAGAATCTATGATGTATAAACTTTTAATCTGGATCCAAATAATTCAATACTTTTTAAGCATAACATTCATGTGATGCTGTAAATACTATAATTTCATATTTCGATGATAATAATTGAAGCATCTCTTTGCAATATGGTCTAATATTTATTCCAGCTTCAACAGTCTCACCTGTAGGAAACTTTATTGTCAAAACTATATCACTTGGATCATCATTTGATTCTTAACAATGTATCAAAGTTTCATCTAAATCAAATACTATTGTTTTTGTAACTATTTATAAAGATTTAATGTACATTTATTTTAAGGTAAATTTACAATCTTCTATTTAATCTCTTCTAACTTAGGTTTCGAAGTATCCTTACAAAATTATAAAGCATTATAACTTTATTATATATGATCTAAGTAAATTTCAGAAAAATATTATTAAGTTTTAAGACTATTATTGAATAATTATTTGATTTATGTTTCAAATCTTTTGTCTTTATAAAAAAATCTAGCAAATGACATGTAATATTAAAATTCTTAGAATGGTATTTAAGGTCCTATGTTAACTTTTTATGCTGGTGTAAATTTTCTATCCCCTGATGGGTTTCTAAGTTTTTATTTCGATTCTCTATGACTTACTAATGAATCCGAAACAATTGAATTTTCCTTTAACTTTCTTTAACCATGTAAGGGAGAATTCATTCGTTTTCTAGTTGGCTTTGAATTTATTGAAGTATTAACAGAATTAGAATTCTATTTTTAAGGAATAAAATTTGCTCCTCTTGAAATTCTAGTTACATACTTATTAATCGATGTTTAATTAACTTATAAATTATTTGATTATGAAAATGCTGCATTCAGATTTTAATCTTATTCCTACAATACTGTTAATGATGTCTATGATAATAAAGTTTATTAAGTTGTTTATAAAGATGAATTTTCTTTTGGTTATGAAACACTTAAAAATATCTATGGGCTTAACTATTATTATTGCTACTAATTTTATTATGAATTTTAATTAAAAAAAGATGTGTTTTTGTATTTTGAGATCAATTATTCTAATTTCTAAGTAGCCTCTTAATTTTCTACTTCTTTTATCACTTACTATTATTATGTTGATTCTTCAATTATTATTTATTACACTTCCTTTTTGCTATTACTTCTTGATTCTCTAGTTAATTTTACTGTCTTTTATTTAATTCCTAAAGATGCTGCACTTTATCCAAAAATAGTTCTTTATATTAAAGATGTTTTTTTATTAACTTTCTTTTCACTTTATTACTCTTAAATTCTTTAAGATTATAGAGGCTCAGCTGTAGAATTATCACTAAAATCATTAGAAATTTTACGTTGGCTTTAAAGTCTCATTAGTTCGTTAAGATACTTCTTGTTTTAAATTTGGAATAGGTTAACATAAAGAAGATGTTACTAACTAAATTTTATAAATATTGCATATTACCTTATAACTTTGTTATCCATTTTAATTTGTTTTGTTAGATTTTGCAGAGGGCACTCTTTTTTGTGAATGCGATTTTTATGAGGATTTTGGCCTCTAATTAACTAAGGCTTACAATAGAGAGCTTGAACTCTATTGATGATTAAGATTAACTATAGACATGTTTGTGCGAAGCATTCCTTTATTTTTCAAAAAATATTATCGTTAGAATATTTATTCTTTAAAATATATAAATAAATTATTTATCGTAATTTTCATTACCATGTGAGTTGAAATAATAACTTGTGATTAAGTAAGCCCTTATTTTATTCAATTGTAGAATATCAAATTCTATGAACAGGAAAAATTAACAAATAACTAAATACTAGTTTCTAAGATTTTAGAAATGCTATAACTTATAGGGTTAGAATACTTATTTATAATCAAAAATTAACATAAGAATGTCTCATATATTGATTATATAATTAATTTAATATAATAAATATAAGAATGCTTCAATAATAAAATACTAATAAAAGAATAAAACCAATATAAGGACATTCTCCTTAGAGATCACCAGGTAAATTCTCTTCAAATTTATTGAACATTAGTAATAAATTTGCAGGGACAGGTGGAAGTAATAATATATAAGTTATATAAAAATTAGTGTCTTCATCATTAGCTCCAAAGAAAGCTTAAGCTCCTTAAAAAGTTCCAAAATCAGGAATCTTTTAAGCTTTACCAATGATTGAATAGACTTTATTTAAAAAATATTATGATAGAGGAGATCTTCCAATTGCAGTTAATTTTAGTGGAGCAGTTAGAAAGATTGTTTGGAAATGTGAACCTGAATGTTTAGATTATCATTTATATCTTCCAATATTCTTTGAAGGACTAAGAGAAACTGAAGATCCTTACAAATTCTTAGCTGTAAATGGATGTGAAGAATTATTATAAAAAGGAGAAACTAAGATTTTATCAGTCTTACCATAATTGATTATTCCTATTAAAAGTAAATCTATTATATTTCTACTTTTTTATAGAAGCATTAGCTACAAAGAATCATGATATTATGTGTATTACATTAAAGAAAATATAAAAATTAGTCAAAAGTGGTTAAATGATAGGAGAAGCCTTAGTTCCTTATTATAGATAAATTTTACCTGTCATGAATATGTATAAAAATAAAAGATGTAATCAAATTTCATATTTCTAGTAAATATTGGAGATAAAATTGATTATTCATAAAGAAAAAATGAAAATCTATCTGATCTAATCTAAGAAACATTAGAAACACTTGAAAAAAATGGAGGAGAAGATGCATATATTAATATTAAATATATGATACCAACATATGAAAGTTGTATGTTTTGATCATATATATATTTCATATACATTTGAAATTATAAAATTAATATTGATCAATAAATTTTTTATTAGATATATTTATTAATTATTTATACAAAAAAAAATGATATACAAAGCTGAAACAAACCAAATAAAATTTAATATTATAAAAATTAAGTTAAATAATTAGAATAGTTACTATATGTATGTGCGATGTATTTTAAAAAAATTTGCATCAATTTTCAGGAAAAGATATCGATAAAATCTTGAAAATGATGATTTCAAATTAAAAATTTTATAAATTATGCATTAAAATCGGAAAAAACCCAATGATTTTTAAAGAAAATAATTTCGAGCAAATTAGACAAAGGCAATTTATGTGACAAGTTATCTGTAAATTGATTACAATATTAACTTAAAAGAGCAGAAGATGAAAAATCATGTTTAAGAGGTTGTCATCTAAATAACAAATAAGCGGACATAGCTTCATCAAAGATTCTGATTTAAATTTGCCATGAGAAGTTGCAGAAGAAGAAAGATTTGAAAATAAAAAAAAAAATAATGTAAAAAAAAGGTTTGAAAAAGAAAAGATTTTATTGAATATTGAGTATTTTAAAGATAAGGATTAATTGAGGCAGATAAAAAACACAAACTAAAGCAGTGGATTATTATTTCCCTTCTTTATTAGTTTATATTTTGATCTTATGAGAAATTATATGATCCAATAATAATTGGATTGTGATCTTAAGATAATACCCATTTAACGATTAATTATAAATTTATAAAGAATTTTAAAAGTATGTTCTTTTAAATATTCCATTTTATTTTTTTTATTTTGTAATTTTTCATATATATCTTAATAACTTTTATATTGAATTTAATAATATATTCAAAATTCATATCTTAATTGAACTTATATGGATATAAGTTTATCAATTAGTGAAATGGATTCTAATATAATCAAGTTACTAAAATATATTATTTGTTGATTATAATTTAATTATCAAATGAATACTTGGAACAATGATTTAATTAATACTATTAGACAGATTATTGAATTAAATTAAGAACCTATTCTAAATAAATAGAAATTAAATATTTAAAATATGGATTTATTAAATTTTATTTAAAATGGAAATATTTCATTCAAAAAACTTAAATGACATTAAATTGATAAATGATTCTTGTTAAAGATGGAGATCTTTAATTAATCAAAAAAATATTTCTTTTTTCAAATGTAAAACGAGAATACAAATCCTTATTTTTAAATATTTTAATAAGTTTGAGTATTTGTCAAAATGTAACAATAATTTAGAATTCGATTCTCATTCATAGAGTGAAGGCAAAGATGAGGCAAACAAAAAAAGTGCGTAAAATTTTAGAGAAAATCAAAATAGAATTAGTAAAAATATAAAAGTAATAAGATAACAAGATATTAACAGTATATGGAATCAATTTATTGTCTGACTTAAAAGTAGAATCTAAAAATTAAGAAAGAACAANCATAAAGAAAAAATGAAAATCTATCTGATCTAATCTAAGAAACATTAGAAACACTTGAAAAAAATGGAGGAGAAGATGCATATATTAATATTAAATATATGATACCAACATATGAAAGTTGTATGTTTTGATCATATATATATTTCATATACATTTGAAATTATAAAATTAATATTGATCAATAAATTTTTTATTAGATATATTTATTAATTATTTATACAAAAAAAAATGATATACAAAGCTGAAACAAACCAAATAAAATTTAATATTATAAAAATTAAGTTAAATAATTAGAATAGTTACTATATGTATGTGCGATGTATTTTAAAAAAATTTGCATCAATTTTCAGGAAAAGATATCGATAAAATCTTGAAAATGATGATTTCAAATTAAAAATTTTATAAATTATGCATTAAAATCGGAAAAAACCCAATGATTTTTAAAGAAAATAATTTCGAGCAAATTAGACAAAGGCAATTTATGTGACAAGTTATCTGTAAATTGATTACAATATTAACTTAAAAGAGCAGAAGATGAAAAATCATGTTTAAGAGGTTGTCATCTAAATAACAAATAAGCGGACATAGCTTCATCAAAGATTCTGATTTAAATTTGCCATGAGAAGTTGCAGAAGAAGAAAGATTTGAAAATAAAAAAAAAAATAATGTAAAAAAAAGGTTTGAAAAAGAAAAGATTTTATTGAATATTGAGTATTTTAAAGATAAGGATTAATTGAGGCAGATAAAAAACACAAACTAAAGCAGTGGATTATTATTTCCCTTCTTTATTAGTTTATATTTTGATCTTATGAGAAATTATATGATCCAATAATAATTGGATTGTGATCTTAAGATAATACCCATTTAACGATTAATTATAAATTTATAAAGAATTTTAAAAGTATGTTCTTTTAAATATTCCATTTTATTTTTTTTATTTTGTAATTTTTCATATATATCTTAATAACTTTTATATTGAATTTAATAATATATTCAAAATTCATATCTTAATTGAACTTATATGGATATAAGTTTATCAATTAGTGAAATGGATTCTAATATAATCAAGTTACTAAAATATATTATTTGTTGATTATAATTTAATTATCAAATGAATACTTGGAACAATGATTTAATTAATACTATTAGACAGATTATTGAATTAAATTAAGAACCTATTCTAAATAAATAGAAATTAAATATTTAAAATATGGATTTATTAAATTTTATTTAAAATGGAAATATTTCATTCAAAAAACTTAAATGACATTAAATTGATAAATGATTCTTGTTAAAGATGGAGATCTTTAATTAATCAAAAAAATATTTCTTTTTTCAAATGTAAAACGAGAATACAAATCCTTATTTTTAAATATTTTAATAAGTTTGAGTATTTGTCAAAATGTAACAATAATTTAGAATTCGATTCTCATTCATAGAGTGAAGGCAAAGATGAGGCAAACAAAAAAAGTGCGTAAAATTTTAGAGAAAATCAAAATAGAATTAGTAAAAATATAAAAGTAATAAGATAACAAGATATTAACAGTATATGGAATCAATTTATTGTCTGACTTAAAAGTAGAATCTAAAAATTAAGAAAGAACAAATCTATAATAAGATAAATGGTAAAATTCTTAAATATATTCAATATTAATTTTAAGCTTACACGATTTTTACAATAAATTATTATTATATATTAAATTATCCAAATTTCTAAATTTTATTTAAACATGTTGACAAATAGTAGTACTGACTACATTCTCGAAAATATTTTAAAAGAAATCTTATCAGAAGTAATAGTTTGAGTGTAATTTAAAGATGTTGTAATTACTTGAATAGAATATAAGATCAGAAGATGAGTTGCAACATATTTAAGATCAATTATAGGATTATGAGAATTTGCATTAATTAGCAGAAACAATGAAGTTTATCTTTAATGCGTTAAAAAAGAAATTTCAAGGAACTAATAATTAATAGAAATTTTTCAAATGCGAACAAAAATCTCAAAACTATGAGAAATTAGAATAGGCAGTTCAAAAATATGAATAAGAAATAAGAGTTCACATTAGAGTATGATAAATAGGTATATAGATTTAGTTAGACTTAACATGAAATGAGAATTTTCATTGAAACAATTTAATAATAATTAGATGAATCAGAATAAGTTAGAAAAGAATATCTTAAAGAAACAACCTAGATGATTTTAGTAAGTTTGTTTTATTAAACTTAGAAACTCAAAAAAGAGAATTATAATTTAATCTAACAATTGAAATATTATACTTAAACTTATAAATAATAAACAGCATTAAATTCTAGAAGAGATAGCTTATAAACAATAAATTAAACTATATAAAAATAACCTTCGAAGTCAAATCATTTAGGAAATAATTCTGGAAAATAAGATTAATCTAATAATAGCTTTATAATGAAATTACAATAAACTAGTTTAAATGAATTGACAAAAAATAAAGATTCATAGAAATCTTTGGCTTAAAAACCACTTCATTCAAAGTAAAAAATTATTTTAATAAAAAATAAGTCGAAATAAGAGTTATTCTGTGGGAATAAGTAAATAGAATTTGATAAATAACAGCTTTATTTAGAAATTAATATTAGAGTAGGCTTCAAAAAGAAAGAGTTTACATGCTGAAAGTCATCGATCTAAAGGATTTGTAGATTAACAGAAATTATCTGGGAAATGAAATATTATTCATAAATTTTATTATTTTTAATGGAATAAATAATTTACAATGATAATTTGGTATTGTTACAGTAAAAAGTATCAAGCTATCCAAAAACTAATGAGGATCTTAAAGTACTTATAATATTTAAACTAAGACAATGGCATCAATAATAAAAGTGACATAAATATTCAACAAATTGAATGAACTTTATCACCAATAATTATCATAAGATGGGTAAATAAAAGTAAACTCATAATATTAAATTAGCTCTGCAATTTTTTAGAACTGGCAAATTATTAACTTGGCGAAGAAGTTTAACCAAGGTAAAAGTTTGTTGTATAACTTTTACTTAAAGGATAAGTTGAAGTTTATTAATTAGAGGAGGGTTACATATATAACCATGAAAAATATATAACAACTTTAAATCCCTTATTTTATTTAGAGGATGACTTTTAATTTGATAAAATAAAATACTCACAAAATCAGTTGGTATATAAAGTATCATTCAACAATTCATTAATACTAATGATTAATAAAAAAGAATGTGATGAAATTTATAAATATTATGGAGAAATTTTTTTATATAAACATAGAACTTTATGTAAAGTAATACCAGGATTAGGAGAATTGAACTCTAAAAGAATATTGGAAGCACTTTCAAATTAATTTGAAAATATAATTCTTCCTCACTGCACTTTAATTACAGAGTATGAAATGCTTTTTATTTAAGGGAAAATTAGATTGGAGATTATATCTTTTTTTTAGCATAGGGCCATGTTTCATTTCAAAAAAATAAAGAACATTTATTTAATATAGAAGAAAGTGGAATAATAGGTGATGAATTATTAATAGATCCTGATCAAGATTAAAATGGTGTATTAACATATGAATATACAGTAATTGCCAAATCTGCATAAGTTTTATTGTATAAAATCAAACTTAAGATATTTACAAGGCTTTTCCCAAATGCTATAATTCGATAAATAATTCTCCAACATAAATGTAAATATAGAAAGTTTGATTTCTAGAAAAATAATTAATGAGACTACTTGTTGGTAGTAAACCAATTGAGAAAAATAAATGTAATACTTCACCGACAAATGAAATTAAAAAGTCTAAATCAACTTTGATTTTAACAAAAGACTCAATTAAAGCTTATGATAAAGTGGATATAGTTTTTTAATAATATTAAGTATGAAATGTACACAATGTTATTAGGTACCTAAACATAGTAGAGTATTAAAATATAATAATAATTTATTGGATAAATTCAATAAAAAGTTTAAAAAAGCAGGAAAAAAGATTACAATAAATGAATTTGTACAATAAACAAAATAGAGTGATGAACCTTAAATGAAATTATTAGAAAAAGTAGAGAATCCTTATAACTTTGCATCAAATGTAAATACAGAAGGGTTTCTAAAAAAATATTATTCAAATCTTATAAGGATTGGATTAGTAAAACCCCCATTAAGAATAGCTCCTTAAAATTAGGAAGCAATTTAAAGATCAAGAGTAATTTCAGCAATGAAATTAATTGAACATACACATAATTAATTGAAACCTAAAAGAGCAACAAGTGCTGCTTATGGAAAAACAGATCCTTTATTAACAATAAATGCTTTAGTGTCAACAAAAGAGAGTGAAATCAATATGAGTACTTAGAAACATTTAGAGAAAAATAAAACAATGACTACATATAATCCTACACCAAGAACATAATCATAACCTTAATTAGGTTATCATAACAATGTTACTCCTAGATATTCATCTATAATGGAAACACCTAAATGCGATACTCCATAATCTAGATCAACAATGGCAAAATCATCATAATAAGTATTTCGGCCATATTCTGGTTTTATGGATCATACTTCGCGTTTGTCTTAATAATCAGAAATAAATAAGAGATTAAAAAGACCAAATCAAAATTTTTTTTGAGTAACTTTTTGTAATAATATTCTGTATACATTTTTACATAAATGAATAACAAATTCGTCAACATTTTTTATTTGCATGAGTTAAATAGTCTAACCCATACCTTTCTCCAAATACAACTCCGTAATAGATTTACGAAATTATATTGGCTATGTCAAGAATAAAAACAATGAGAATTACAAAATATCCAATTTTATATTTGCCTAATAAGATATATCCAATTTTAGCAAAAACTGATCCTCCAATAAGCTTAATTATTATGAAATATAATACAGCTAATCCTGTAAATAAAACAATGGTTTGCCAATCAAGATAATGATTAGTAAGTAAAGTTATTAAATTATTTAATGATATCATTAAATAAATAAATGCTGAAGTAGCAGAAGCACATCTTGGAATTAAACCACTAAATAGTAAAGTAGGAACCATTACAAATCCAGCCCCCATTCCTAAAAATCCAGACACAAATCCTGCCATAAATCCACCAGCATAAATCTTAAAAAATCTACTGATTGGAGTAAAATATCTTTCTTTTGGTAAAAAGTTAATCTAATTAAATAGTTTCTCTTAATTAGTTCCATATTGCCAAATAAAAAAATCATATAAAACATTTGCAACTATTAGTACGAAAATCATAAAATCATTTTTCCAAGTGCAATCTTCTATTCCAACATAAGAAGGTTTTTATGGATTAGTAGATCTCATTTATATAAAAATCTAAAGTCTATAAAATGTTGATTACTTAATTTAATCCAAATGAGCCTAAAATAAAGAGAATAGGCATAGGTGGTATTATATTTTCTGATTCTTATTTAAATTACGAATATAAAGATTCATTATTATTTAAATTAGAAATTATAGATGTTTTTTTATTATCTTAAATTTCATAATTTTATTATTCTCCTTCCACATTTTATAGCTCTATTTTAGGATTAAGATTTGAATCATTTAAATTAGTTGTTCTATCTTTTTATGAGTCATCACTAATTTTAAGTTCTGCTTCTTTAGCATTCTTAGCTATTTTACAGAATTATTCTATATAATACCTTTTTACCAAAGAATTGGAGCTACTGCAAATAAAAATAACTCTTATAGAATTAGAGTGTATAATTATGGTAGAAATGAGGATAATGATGAACCAAGATTGGTTGCAAATGGAACAGCAAGATTAAAGATGATTGCAATTCTGTAATTTATGATTGGTCTTCTTTAATCATCTGGATTTCTAAAATTATTAATTCGAATACTTTTCAAACATTAATAGTACTGTATTGAGAAGTGTACCTCCAAACATAAGACAATATGAAATGTGAGTTGCATCACCCTAAGAATAATTGAGAATCATTTCTAAAAGAGGTCCTTTCAATACTCCACCTAAAAAAATTAATGGACTTATACCTCCCATTCCTCCTAAAATACCAACTCCAATCAATATTGGTGTGATTATATATGAGATAATTATGCCAGCTTTTGGTGTAAATGGAGAATCATGTTAACATGAATATATTAATGTTGCATTATTAAATTCACACTAACTAAATTATCCACAAGTATGAAAAAAACCTGTAGCTCCTGGTACACATACTTCTGTCATAAATAAATATAATTAACTTAATTCTTTGCATTAAATTACAATTTGAATGATCTTCTCTTATTATTATCATTTATATAATATGATGATATATAAAATTTTAAATGTTCAAAAAATTTAAAGTTTGAATTAAGTTTTCTATTTTACAGGATTAATTAAATCATTTAAAAATTTTAGAANATAAAACATTTGCAACTATTAGTACGAAAATCATAAAATCATTTTTCCAAGTGCAATCTTCTATTCCAACATAAGAAGGTTTTTATGGATTAGTAGATCTCATTTATATAAAAATCTAAAGTCTATAAAATGTTGATTACTTAATTTAATCCAAATGAGCCTAAAATAAAGAGAATAGGCATAGGTGGTATTATATTTTCTGATTCTTATTTAAATTACGAATATAAAGATTCATTATTATTTAAATTAGAAATTATAGATGTTTTTTTATTATCTTAAATTTCATAATTTTATTATTCTCCTTCCACATTTTATAGCTCTATTTTAGGATTAAGATTTGAATCATTTAAATTAGTTGTTCTATCTTTTTATGAGTCATCACTAATTTTAAGTTCTGCTTCTTTAGCATTCTTAGCTATTTTACAGAATTATTCTATATAATACCTTTTTACCAAAGAATTGGAGCTACTGCAAATAAAAATAACTCTTATAGAATTAGAGTGTATAATTATGGTAGAAATGAGGATAATGATGAACCAAGATTGGTTGCAAATGGAACAGCAAGATTAAAGATGATTGCAATTCTGTAATTTATGATTGGTCTTCTTTAATCATCTGGATTTCTAAAATTATTAATTCGAATACTTTTCAAACATTAATAGTACTGTATTGAGAAGTGTACCTCCAAACATAAGACAATATGAAATGTGAGTTGCATCACCCTAAGAATAATTGAGAATCATTTCTAAAAGAGGTCCTTTCAATACTCCACCTAAAAAAATTAATGGACTTATACCTCCCATTCCTCCTAAAATACCAACTCCAATCAATATTGGTGTGATTATATATGAGATAATTATGCCAGCTTTTGGTGTAAATGGAGAATCATGTTAACATGAATATATTAATGTTGCATTATTAAATTCACACTAACTAAATTATCCACAAGTATGAAAAAAACCTGTAGCTCCTGGTACACATACTTCTGTCATAAATAAATATAATTAACTTAATTCTTTGCATTAAATTACAATTTGAATGATCTTCTCTTATTATTATCATTTATATAATATGATGATATATAAAATTTTAAATGTTCAAAAAATTTAAAGTTTGAATTAAGTTTTCTATTTTACAGGATTAATTAAATCATTTAAAAATTTTAGAAGAAATAAAGTGGATTGAATAAAATATTTGAAAGTAATAAAACAGTGAAATAATATAATATAAATGAGAAATAAAGGAGTGAATATAGAAATAGTTAAGAAATGGTTTGATTTGATTATTATATATTTCTTATAATAGTTTGATAATTAATTATATGTTTAAACCAAAAAGTTAGAAAGATCAATAATAACAACCATTTTATTTGAGTTGGTTTACTAATTAAGGGTACTTTAAAAGATTGGTAATTTAGCATAGTGAAAATTTGAAAAGAGGAGGAACAGCACCTTAATAATCTCGAAAGGATAAAATGGCAATCAAGAGTCCATATTAGCAACCTTTAATTACTATAGCACATAATACTCCAAATCCATACTTAAGAACTATGTGAGTAGTATTTTAAGTAACCTAGATCACAACCAAAAAATTATTAAAACAATATTTAACAAATTTCTAAAATTTACGCAGGCTAGTTTTAAGGTACAATAAAAAGAAAAAGCCTTGAGAAACGTTATGATGATGGTCCAAAGAGTGTTAGAGGTTCATTTAAACCATAAAGAACATTTACTTAACAAGTTTCTAGACCTTTTCGTTGTTCTGAATAATAACAGAGTAGACCATAAACTTAATAAATCAATACATTGGAACCTAAATTTAATTGTGAAAATTTAGTAGTTGATAATTATGATGATGAATAACTGACTCCAAGAGAATAAGAAGATATTGAAATTGTTGACATAGATAATAATGATGATTATTCAATTGAATCAAATGAAGCAGATAGTGATGAACATTAAAATCTATAATTACCAACTTAATTATAAGAATAAGAAGAACAAGAATAAGGGCTACAAAAAAATGCATCTTTTGTACAAAAATAAACTCAAGAACCAATAGCTAGTATAAGAAAAGCAACTGCTACACTTAATAGACCATAAACATCTGAAGGTACAAGAAGAAAAAGATTTATGAATTCTGGTAAAAATGATTCAAAACAAGTATTTGAAACTAAAAAATCAGAGTTTGAACTCTTAGATTATAATCCTAATGTAATTTAAGAGGATGATTCAGAAAATTAAGAAATTATACCAATTAGTTTGAATTAATTGAATTCTCCTAAAGTATTAAATTTTATTCATTTTTATTTAGGAATTGCTATCGATACGTTCTGGATAAAGAAGAAAATAAACAGAGTAAGGTTTGATTGAGAATTATGATTAAAATGAAAGACCACCTTCAAGACATAAAACACCTCCTAAAGCAACTGGTTTAGAATTACCTATTTAATCAGGAAATTAAATTACTAATAGAGATGGAGTAGATATTCCGATAAAGAATATGTATGCTCAAATTGATAAATTAGGTATTGATTTTAATTATTATTTTAGAAAATCTAAAATATAATACGAATGATCTAAAGAATAATGATGATTTTGATGATTTTGATTTAGGTTTCTTTAAAATGAATAATAAAGTCAATCTCAATAAATTTTAATAGAAAGATGGATATTAAACTGACGGAGGAAGTAAATGATTCTTTTTTTTAGTTAGAAAAATATAATTCAGGATAGAAACATCCATAATCTGCTAATTTAAAGTATAATGGATTAGGATTTCAAAATGTATCATATTCTCCATTAAATAATCAAATTACTTCTGCTCATGGATCTAGAAATAATGAATAATAAATAGTTATCAAATATAATGCTAGCTCAAATCTTCATAAGAATTTTAACAATTAACCTGTCAAGGTTCCATTTCAAACTTCATTAGATTAAGACTTTCTAAGATTGTTTGCTAATGATTGCATTGACTGATATTATATTATTATTATAAATAAACAGTTATTATATACTTTTAATGTCAACAGCAGGCTACTTAAATAAATACAATAACAAGAAATAAAATGATACTAAATCCATTATAAGTTAATAATCAAGCAAAAAAGTATCCATTTAATCATTACTTATAGAGTACAACAACAGATGTAAAAACAAAAGAAGAAATATTGAATAAAATGCAATAAAATGAAGAAAAACATAGATTGTTAATGATAGAAAATAATAAAAGAAGAAAAGAATAAGAAAAAAAACTTAAATAACAAGAAGAAGAAAAATAAAAATAAGCAGCTGCTTTACTAGATTAAAGAAAAAAAACAAAAGAATAAGCTTACATTAATTATTTAAGAAATAATACTAAATAAATATTAGCTGATTATTAACCTAGATAAACTGATTATCCTAAATAAAATTTAAAACCTCAATTAGAAAAAAAAGTATAAACAAATTACAATAATTTTGAAGCACTTGATCTAGAAGTATCTCAAGTTGCAAAAAATAAAAAATTGCCTTAAGAATTCTAAAAATAATGGGAAGATTTTGAAGTAATGAAGAAAAGTGAGCTTCTGGATAGTCTTGACTTAAGTATGGCTCAAAAATAAAAACCAATTCCTAATTAAAAAAAGAATGATTTAAAACAATTATTAGGATTACCAGAAGAATGTAGTGATGATGAAGAAGATTTATGGAAGAACACTTTGAAAAATGGATAATTATCTAAATAAAATTCAAAACCTCCTTTATCAAAACCTACTTAATGGGCAGAATAAGCTATTACTTAAGCTGATGATGTTTTGTCTAAAATGAGTCAAAAACAAGGAACTGAAAGAGATAAAAAAGAATTAGCTTAATAAAAATCATAATAAGAATCTTTAAATATTAAATAAAAGTAAAATTCTTCATCTGTACCAAAAAAATCTACTTCGAATAAAAATTCAGAATAAATGAAGATATTATAATAAAAAGAATAATAATTGTTAGCTTAATAAATGTTAATTTAATAATAATTATAATAAAATACTGCTGATAACAATTAGAATTATAATAATAACAATACTAATACTAATAATTAAAGAAAGCCTCCATAAAATATTAGAATAACCAATAAACAAATACATAAATAACCAAGTAGTGTTTAAGATGAACAAAATCATATTTAAGAATTTCTTAGGGTATTTATTTGTAATAATAATTATGATAGGAGGATCTTTAAAATATCAATGATATGGAAATGTAGATATAACTTGAATTAATGAATTTGAATAAAGAGAACAAATAAAAAATAGATTAAGTTTAGTAAAAATATGGAGTTAGAAATTTACAATCTTCTAATCAAGTGAATAGAATAGTGTTCGTTTAAAATTAATATCCAAGTATTGTCCATTAATATTTTAGTAAAGTCATAAGAAGATTAGATTGAAGCATCTTTATTAAAATTAGATATGATGCTTTAATAACCTCCTTAAAAACCAATAGAACAACCATAATTATAGTTTAATAATTAACAAGAACAATAATAAATAAACTACGCAAATCCTTTATAATAGAATACATAATCTAATAGTTAGTAATAATAAACTTAATAATAGTAATTAAATAATTAATATGGTTAATAATAATAACTAAGTCCTTAATAATATTAATAATTATTAGAATAGTAGAATTTACTCTAATAGTAATTAATAATGGCCTAATAATAAATTTAATAAATGTAGTAATAAGCTTAGTCTTCGAATAAAACCATAAATTAATAATAAGGAGAGTTTCCTCAATTCCCATCATATGTTCTTCATTAAGATCATTAATCTTTTGTTTAAACATTCTCAAATGGTATCCCTTAATAATAATAATCCTAATAATAATTATTATAATAGTAATAATAAAAATAATAAACGATCAATTCTAAACCAAGAAATGTTATTTCAAATGATAATTAAAGTATTTCAATAGTATCATCTTAATAAAATGATAAATATACATTTGATTTAGATTTTGGAATGCAAAAAAATGCATAAAATACTTATGCATAGTAAGCTTTAAAGAAAATGAGCCAAAAGTAATCATAAGTTAAATCGAATATTCCAATAGAGGAAGAAGAAGAGTAAGAAGAAGGCAAGATAGAAGTTAGAAAGGATTTAAGAAATCTTCTTTTTGATTGAAATACATAATTAGTAAAAATAATTCTTTATTAAAATTAATTTAATGAATAGTAATCTTATAAGCCTGTCTGCTTAACTTATGTAAGCATAAGACATTTAAAAGTATTTAATAAAAGATGTAAGATGAATAATTAAACTTAATAGTTCAATCGAACCACTCTAAAGTTGAGATACTTTGAATAAGGATATAATGATGGAAGACCTATTTCTTTGAATAAAGCTTATTTAGAGAGACAAGATGATGAGATTTACAATGAAGAGAGAATGAGAAAAGCCAAACCAATGTATAGATTAATGTTTGGAACTGAATTTCATATTAAAGAATTGTCAAATAGATTAAGAGTATTACTAAAAGAATTAGGTGTTCATGTAGCAGCCTAAGATACAAGAGGATTAAATAGTCAAATAACATTGGCATTTGTAGATCTTTTAGAAGAAATTTACATAATTTATAAATAGACAATAATGTAAGGAGAAGAGAGTTAATAATATTTTATGAAAAGTGTAATGAATGTATTAGCTACATATAGAGGATATGATTTTATTATTATTGAACCAAATTACAATGAAGTTTAACTTTAAATTCTTTATTCAACTATGTATGAAGTAGATAGTTCAATTGACAGAATTATGGCATAGACTCTACATTAAGAAGATGATTAATCTAAATAAATTATAGAATATGGAACATTTAATGATTTTATAAAACATTATAAGGATGTTATTAATATGAATCCATTAAATGTGTAATCTAATTGGGAAATATAATTTTAAGAAGAACAATAGTAGAAAGAAACTAATTAGATTGAAGTTATATAAGACAGAGAAAAAATTAATTATTTACAAGAATTTGATAAACAATTTCATAATGTTTTAGTAAAAGTATCTCCAGAATTTTGGCCTTTATTAGTATTTGATTTATTAAAGGATTTATGTGATAAAAAATTAAGTAATTAAAATTTGGAATGTAAATTTTTTGATATATTAAAAAATGTTAAAGCTGCATAATACTTATTAATTTATAGAAAAGAAATAGTTAAATTTTTAACTGAAAAGAAATTTTAGGATATGTAAAATCAGTAATAAAAGCCATAGATTTAAAATAATGGTATAGCAACATCAAATCATTAATTGTTAGCTAAAATAGGAATAGATGTTTAATAAGAAGGAATGTTAGGATTAAAAAAATAAGAATTTTAAAATTAACCAAAAGTTTAAACAACTTTTTAAGAAGGTTTAATAGAATTTGATCCAGAATAATATACAAGAATGGAATAATAAACTTTGGTTAGATATTTTCCGACTTCAACTAGAACAGATAAATTAGAATATTTATATATAAGAATTGATCCATTACCTAAAAAACCAATAAAAGAGGATAAATTAATACCAATTTAAGATCTTCCAGAATGGGCAAGAAAAGCATTTGATGGAACAAATAGTTTAAATATGATTTAATCATAAATTTATCCAAAAGCATTTTTAACTGAAGAAAATCTATTAGTTTGTGCACCAACAGGAGCAGGTAAAACAAATATAGCATTATTGGCAATACTTCATGAAGTATCTAAAAGAGTAGATGAAAAGGATAAAAGATTAAAAGATTAAGATTTCAAAATTGTATATATATCTCCAATGAAAGCATTAGCGAGTGAAATAGTTGAAAAATTTTAGACAAAACTTAGATATTTGGGAATAAAAGTAAAAGAATTTACAGGAGATATGTAATTATCTAAAAAAGAATTATAAGAAACACATATAATATTAACAACTCCAGAGAAATGGGATGTTATAACAAGAAAAACAAATTAAATAAGTGAATAATTAAAATTATTAATTATTGATGAAGTTCATTTACTTAATGATGAAAGAGGTCCAATATTAGAATGTGTAGTTGCTCGTACACTTTTATAAGTTTAAAGAGCTTAAAGACATATAAGATTAGTAGGTTTATCTGCAACATTACCAAATTATTGGGATGTTGCAATATTTTTAGAATGCCATAAAGATAGTGTTTTCTTTTTTGATCATACTTGTAGACCTGTACCATTATGTTAAAAATTTATTGGATGTAAAGAACCACATTAAGCACCTGCAAAGGGATAAAGAAGAAGAACTAAAAAAGATATTTAAAATGAATAAGCATATGAATTAATGAGTGAAGTAGTTAAGCACAATAAATAAGTATTAATATTTGTACATTCTCGTAAAGAGACAGTTGTATATGCAAAATGGATATTAGAAAGAGCTAGTAGATTAGGGGATAGACATATTATAGGTTAGACTAAAATAAATTGTACAAAAATTAATGATAATGAATTAAAAAAACTATTACCTTATGGATTAGCATTTCATCATGCTGGTATGTTAAGAGCAGATAGAAATTCAGTAGAGAGATTATTTTTAAGTGGAGAAGCTAGAGTATTAATAGCAACAGCAACATTAGCTTGGGGTGTTAATTTACCTGCATTTGCTGTTATAATTAAAGGAACAGATGTTTTTGATGTAAGTAGAGCAGATATGTAAAATTTATGTGTTTTGGATGTATAATAAATGTTTGGTAGAGCTGGAAGACCATAATTTGATGATAAAGGAGAAGCTACTCTTATTACTGATTTCAATAATGTTGGACATTATATGGGTATGTTAAATAATGCAAGTTATATTGAAAGTAAATTGTTGACATTTCTAAGAGAAGCTTTAAATGCAGAAATTGTTTTAGGAAATATTACTAATTATACTGAAGCATATAATTGGATGTGTCATACATTTTTAAGTATTAGATTAAGAAGAAATCCTTTACATTATGGTGTTTAAAAAGAATTCGATGATTTAGAATTAGACTGTGATACTTTAGTTTAAGAAAAAATTGAATAAGCTTTAAAATAATTGGATTCATTAAAATTGGTCAGATATGATACTAGAAATCATTTAGTAACATCAACAGATTTGGGTAGAATTGCTTCACATTACTATATAAAATGTGAAACAATGAAGATTTTGTGTGATGAAATGGGTTTGTCATTTGATTAATAAGAGAAATAAAAATTTAATGATAAAAATTAATATTAATTACTTAAGATTATTGCAAAAGCAAAAGAATTTGAGATGATAAGAGTGAGACCAGAAGAAACAAAAGAATTATAAAAGATATATGATGAAGGTTGGGCATTTGATGAAGATCCTGATATCAGAAGTGATTAATTTGAAAATGAGAGTGTTATTGATACTTAAGAAAAAGTTATAGCACTTATTAGTGGTTATCTTGTTAAAATTAATCTGGAAAATTATGCTTTAATTATGGATACTCACATAATTATTTAAAATACTATAAGATTGTTGAGATGTATGTTGGATATGGCAATAAAAAAAAATTAAGCATGTATGGCTTTGGAACTATTAAAATTATGTAAATTAATTGAAAATAGAATGGGTCCTGGTTAAAGTCCACTCTTTTAATTTAGTAAGGATAACTTTTCAGGTTTTAATACTAGAAAGATAATGAAATCTAAAGATGCTTATATGCCAAGAGCCTGGATAGGTGCATTGGCTGATACTACTATCGATGCATACAGAATGAAACATGAAGATGACTCTATTCTTGCTACAATATTAACAATTCCTTAGAATTTGATTTGTCAATTTAAAGTTTATTTAAATACTTTACCAGATTTGGAAATTGAATATAAGGTTAAGCCTATATCTTAAACTATTTTATAATTGATTGTTTTTATAACTCCATTATTTATATTCAATAGCAAATGGCATTTAAAAAATGAACCATTTTGGCTATTTGTTGATGATTCTGAAGAGTTATTACATTCTGAGGAATTTTTAATGGATATGGATACTATAATAAGAAAAAATACTATGTAAATATCATTTTATGTTCCATTTAATTCGAAATGTAAGTTTTATCATTTGACAGTTTAAAGTGATAGATGGATAATGTTAGATGGGGATTTATCTTCAGTTAAAATAGATTTATCAAAAGTATCAATGTAAGATGATTAAATAGATTTTACTGAACTTTTAGATTTATAACCTTTACCAGTAAGTGCATTAAATAATCCCGAATTCGAATAATTATACCATCAATATAAATACTTTAATCCAATATAAACATAAGTATTCTTTGGATTATATAATACTGATGATAATATATTGATAGGTGCACCAACAGGTTCAGGTAAAACAATAATGGCAGAATTTGCAATGTTAAGAGTATTCAAATAGTCACCATAATTTAAGGTGGTTTATATAGCACCTTTAAAGGCAATAGCAAAAGAAAGATTGAAAGATTGGACAAAGAGATTGAAAGAGATAAATAAAAGTGTATTAGAATTAACAGGAGATTATACTCCAGATTTATAAGCACTTTTAAAGGCTCATGTATTAATAACAACCCCAGAAAAATGGGATGGTATAAGTAGAAGTTGGAATAATAGAGAATATGTTAGATAAACATGTCTGTTAATTTTTGATGAAATTCATCTACTTGGTTAAGATAGAGGTTAAGTATTAGAAGTTATAGTTAGTAGAATGAATTCATTAAGTTATGATACAAATAAGAAAACTAGAATGATTGGATTATCAACAGCTATGGCAAATGGATTAGATGTCAGTAATTGGTTTGGAGTTAAGAAGGGTAGATTTTATAATTTTAAACCTTCTTGTAGACCTGTTCCTGTAACTATACATTTTAATGGATTTCCAGAAAGAGCCTATTGTCCTAGAATGGCTACTATGAACAAACCAGCATATCAAGATATTAAGAGATATAGCGATGGAAAGCCAACAATTATTTTTGTATCATCTAGAAGATAAACTCGTTTGACAGCTTTAGATATTATAGCTTTAGCTATGTAAGAAGGAAATGAAAAACAATATATCTAAACTACAGAATAAGAATTAGCCTAAATTTGTGTCAAAGTTGATGACACATAATTAAAATCTGTTTTGTAATATGGAATAGGAATTCATCATTCAGGTTTGGATAAAAATGATAGAACTATTGTTGAAAATCTATTTGTTTAAGGAAAAATTTAATTATTAATAGCAACATCTACTTTGGCTTGGGGAGTTAATTTTCCTGCAAGATTAGTTATTGTTAAAGGTACTGAATTCTTTGATCCAAAACTTAAAAAATATGTAGATTTTCCAGTTACTGATCTTCTACAAATGATAGGAAGAGCTGGTAGACCTTAATATGATACTGTAGCTACTGCTTGTGTATATGTTGAATAAAGTAAAAAGAATTTCTACAGAAAATATCTTAATTCTCCTTTTCCCATTGAATCAAGTCTACTTTAAGGTATTTCTGATCATATTAATGCTGAAATATCTTCAGGAGTTGTTAAGAATAATTAAACGTTTATAGATTGGATCACTTGGACATATTTCTTTAGAAGATTGGTCAAAAATCCCACATTTTATAATTGTTCTTCTACTGATAGTAAATAGATATAAGAATATCTAAATAACTTAATTGCCAATACTATTAGTGAATTAGTTTCATCAAAATGTATCACATAAGAAGATGGTTAATATGAATCAACCTTCTTAGGCAAATTAGCTGCCTTTTATTATCTTAAACATACAACATTAAAGCATTTTGATGAAAAAATATAAAAGGAAAGCAAATTTGAAGATTTATTATTGGCTTTAGCTTATTCTAGTGAATTTGATGAAGTACCAGTTAGGCATAATGAAGAACATTTAAATGAAGCCTTATCAAAAATATGTAAATTAAAATGTGATAAAAATAAAATGGACTGCCCTAATGAAAAAGCTTACTTGTTGATTTAAGCGCACATTTTCAGATTAAAATGTCCTATTAAAGATTTTGAGACAGATCAGAAACTTATTTTAGATTCTTGTATTAGAATAATAAGTTGCATGATAGAAATATCTGTTCATAAAGGTTATCTATAGACAACTATAAATATTATTTATATGTTGTAAACGATGGTTTAAGGTTTTGTAAAAAATGATGAGTAAATTTTAATGAATTTACCTCATTTACATAAACTTAAATAAGAATAATGTATAAACAGAGTTAGAACTATTAAAGATTTACTGTCATTTTTTAATGTAATTATATATATCTAATTTTTTAGCTTAGAGATTTTGAAAATTTTTTATAAACATATGTTCCTTAAAAAGAAAATATTGCTGAAATAATGAAAGCTATAAATGCATTACCTGATGTCAAATTAGTTTATACTAAAACTGAAAATTAATTAAAGGTAAATCTAAAAAATGAAAGCAAACCTGATAACAGGGTTTATATATAGAAGCTTAGCAAATAAAGAGAAGCTTCATGGTGGCTAATTCTTGGAGAAGAAGATCGTATTGTTTAAATGAAAAAGGTTTATTTGAAAAGCACAGCCAGTAAGGATCTTGATGTAGTTGATTGGAATAAAAATTACAAATTATATTTGATGTCAGATTCTTATTTGGGTTTGGATCAGATAATAGATATAAAATGATAAGTTCTTCTTTATTGTAATTATAATAATAAACTTGAAATATCTATAATAAATATTTGTAAGGAACGATTAATGTTCATTAACAAACTATAATTAATTTTATTTAATGTGATAAATCATCAGGTTTGCTTGGTCTTTAATATTTTAACTGTTATCTTTTGTTCTGTCAATACATATACAACTCCTCCCCATCCAGATAAGGCATCTCTATCACAACCACTTACTAAACTTTAACCAATGACTTCTTCTAATTCTTCTGGACTCATATCAGGCTTAAAAAAAGCTTCACATGCACCATAAATACTAATTATTATTTATAAATTCTATACTAATTTCCTCCTGTTCCTCCAACTTAGAAATCATCTAAATCAGATTTACATCCAATAGAATCATAAGTTGCTAAAATTGGTTTACCATTCTCTAATCCTGCTACTATTGGAGTAACAAAAAATGGGCCAAATCTTTTCTGTTAATTAAAGATTTATACCTTCTTTCATATAATGCTGATGCAACTAAATTTGCAAATGTTGTTGGTTTCATTTTTCTATTTTCTTTTAAATTGTATAAGTTGATTTCTTTTTCCATCAAAGCATAACTATATTATTAACATTAAATTTACAATGTATGAATATCTGTATTTAGACCTGATAATGCCAATAAAATATTGTCTTAAATCTTAAACACTTTTTGATAATTTGTTGTGATTGTAGACATTTATTAACCAAATCTTCTATCACAAGCTACAGCAATACAATTTTTCCCTTTCATTCCAACTATGGATCCACCATTATATTCAAAAATTCCAGACATTAGGATAATTTAATTATATATATTATATAAAATTTTATATTGAAAACTCATGCTTTATTAAACAATTTACACTTTTAAGTTATAGAACTTTATATATATAGAATTTTATCTAAATACATTCACACTCTAACAAATATCATTCCAAAAAAACTAACCAATATTTAATTTTATGAAAAAAATTTTATATTTTGTTTTGGATCAAGGACAATATTTTTCATGATAATATTTTCTCTCAAAAGCCTTAATAATTTTAATTATAAAGAAATATGCTTAATAGATAGAAGGGAACAACTGAAATTTATAACTAATAAGAACAGATGGCGCCTCTAAATATTAGAATGATGAAATAGATAAAGGTTTCAACTTGTGAAAAGAAAGCTGTATTAGATTAATTTAACATTACTTACCTAAATATTATAACTCGTAAATAACATTGTATTTAATAATCAAACAAAGGAATTATTGTAATTAATGATGATACAGGATGTATTAGTCTTATCATAAATTTAATATCAGAATTTGATCATAATTTATTTAAAAAAATCAATTAAGATTGTCCCAATTTATATTACTATAATTTTATATTGAAAACTAGAGTAATCAAAAAAGATGTTGTTTTTGATATTTAAACTATACAATAAGTAAATTAATCAGCAATGATCACTTATTAAATGATAAAGATTTTAACATGGGTAAGGTTATAGGAAGGATAGAAATAATAGATATAAACAAGAGGAGAAAATGAAGAAGATTAATAAATTCTTATTGAAGTGAGTAATTTGAATGAGGATGTAAAAACTATTGTTTTATATAGATCTTAACATACTTAGGTTAATATTCAAAATAAGGTAAAAGCTTAAATGAAATAATACAATATTTCAGAGTTCACAATAATATCGAACTTTAAGATATCAAGTAATTTATATATTTATAAATAGAAAATCAATTACAGTCTTATTAAAAGAGGGGAAAATAAAAAATGAAGGTGAAATTTATTGGCAAATTTTTCCTTAATGAATCACCTATATGTGTTTTTATTAATATTAGAATTCTAATTTAATGAACAAAGATTTATTTAATATAAATTTTTATAATTTATTTAATTTTTAATCTTTATTCAATCATCTAAAAATTAATAAGTATTATTAAATTAACATCACAAAAGAATAAATAATGGATTAAATACGAATAGAACAATAAAATTAAAATTTTTATAAAATAACATTATTATCAGTATTTTCCATCTGAAACTTCATCTTTTTTATTGGATTTTAATTATTTTTTAGTTTCACTGATTAAATTATTAAAGTGTTTTTTTTCACCATTCTCATCAATACTATTATCGTCTGACTCATATTCAAAATAAGATTATTCAGGGCTGGATTCACTTGATTAACCAAAATGACTATAGCTTCTATTACTTAAATCAGCTTGAGAATCTATAGATTTAATTTTTTTAATATTTTCTCTTAATGATAATTTAAAATATTTGACTCTAACATTCTTTTCTCGGTATTATTCACTTAATGTATCATCTCTAATATTAGATCTATTAACTTTTGCTAAAACATTTAATATGTCCTATAGAATATAATTAATATAAAACTTCTGGTTTTGAGGAATCAAGATCTTCAACAATTATTTTTTATAAATGCTCAAATAATTCTATATCCTTGCCTCTTGGATATATAGTGTGAAAATTAGTTCGATGATCCGTTTAAATAAATTGAGATTTTTCCATTTAGGTTAGCATTTTAATACTCCATGTATAAAGTTTTTGTTTCATGATTTCTGCTTTTTTTGCTTTTTCATCAATATTATAAAACTATTTGTAAAATTCTGAATCTACTCCTTTTTTGGTAGGTTTAGCAGTCATTTCCATAACCTATACTTCATCTTTTAACTATTATAATTTATTTCTAAATTTAAATCTGAAAATACTTTAAATTTTCGTTTTTTCTTTTTAAATGATCTATCTTTTTTTCACTTTCAGCAATAGTTCCTAATAATTAACCATATGTAGATTCTTTAGTTAAAAATTTTTAAACAACTTCTTAAGCTTCTTATATTCCTGTTGCTGTTTTTATCTCTTAAAATGCTTCTTCAACAATTTCAAATTTTTTCATTTCTTTTTGCATTTTATTCTTGAGAATAGAATGTACAACTTTATGAGCTAATAATAGTTTTCTCCATTTTTTCTAAAATAATGTTATATTATATTTACTTCATTAACATCTTTATCATTACTAGCATCTTCTGCTATTTATCTTTATTTCATCATTCTTTCATCTCTTTTTTCTTTAGCAGCCAATTATGCTTTTATTTGTTAATTATATTAGGCTATTTATCGTTTTCTATTATTTTTTTCAATCTCAATATTCTATAAATTTCTATTATATGATATACGTTCATCATTTCATCACATAACTTTCTTGTCATTTAATTAAGTTAAATAGACTCCCATTATTTTGAATCAGCTTATTGGATTTCTGCTTTTTTTCTTTCCAAAACTTATACCATTTCGTTAAACTTTTGCCTAAAACAAAGAATATCATGATTTATTCTATTTATCACAAGTTTATAAGATTTTTCATTCATTTAACTTTCTTCAAATCTTTATTTTGTTAATATGTAATCACTTTTTGATGTTTCTAATTCTTTTGTTAATCCTGTGGAATTGTTTATTAATTCAGCTTCTTCTAAACTTAATTTTTATATCTAATCCTATATTTTGAGAATCATAATTTACTTTGTATTGCTAAATCTCTTTATCAACTTTTAAAGATTTTGTACGATAAGTATCATATTCTTTTCTTATTTCTCCTAATTTCTAATGTACTTCTCTTTCTTCCCTCACTAAAAATAAAAACTATGTTATTGAGAGACTTTTACGCTTTCATTTTAATATTATGGCGAACCATTGTAATTATTTATAGAACCTAAAATAATACTCAAGTCTTGTAGTCTTTTATGATTATTTTTCTTTACTTTACAGCTTTTTTTATTGATCTCAAAGCAACAACTTATGTACTTCCTAATCTTTCTGTTTTATCTCTTGGAGATTCCTTCTATAACGAAATATCCTTTTCTTAAAAATTATGTTTACATCTGTTTGTTACATAAATTCCAAAATAAATTAAAATAATATAACCCTTTTTATAAATTTTTATAAAGGGATAAAGAGAAAAAAAACATATTATTCTACTTTATTTTGACTAAGAGTTAAAAAAATAAATGTAATATAATTTCTTATTTTTCTGTTGATTAAAAATAACAATAAATTTTAATCAATAAAATATGAATGTTTTAGTATACACTTCAAAATCTGATCAAATATTAGATTTTTCATAAAATCACCAATCACAACTTTTTCAATATAAAATATATATTTTAATGATAATTTTAACTGAATAATGCTTTATTAAGATTAGAGAAGAATGGTTAATCAAAGTTAATTAGACAATTCAAAATTCATTCGACCTAGATCCATTTCAAATAATGCAGTATTATTTAATATGGATACATAACAAACGAAATATAAGACTGATATTGCTACAAATTATTAAGTTTCAATAAATGAAGCTAGGTAAAATAGTTAAAATCAAATAAACCATTCTTTTACTTAAGGAGGAGAAAACAATCCCAAAATTCTTAATTCTCATAATCATTATGATTTTAAAGGATTAATGAAAAGTTTTCATAACATTTAGAATACAAAAGAAAAAGTAAAGGAAAGATAAAATAATTCAATTCAAGACAAAAACTAATTAATTTAAACTAAAGATACCTTTTCTTAAGAAAAATAATCAAAAACATTACATAATTCCTAAACGAGATAAATTAAATAAAATGATTAAGAAAAAGAAGAAATTTGGAGATTAAATAAAACTGAAGGAATCTAATGTAATAATAAAAATACCAAAGAAAATAAATAATTAAATGACTCTGATATTAGATAGAGAATAAAAAATTACCCTTAAAAATCATCAAGTCCTTAACTTAAAACAAATACTAGACCTAAATCGTCAATGGAGGATAAAAGTGTTACTATTATATCATTATAATTAAAGGATATGAAAGAAAATGTATAATCTAAGGATATTAAAAAGATTTGTTAGGATATGGGTTATCATATGGTTAAATTTGATAGAAATTATGATAAAATTAATAATACAACTAATGGATAAGGATGTTTATAAATAAGAGGAATAAGCAATGAAAATAAATTTATTAATTTATAAACAAATTTAAGCAAAAAAGGAATAAACTTAGCAGATTAAAATTAAAATCTTAAAGATTTTATTTCAAATAAATATTTATTAAAAAAATAGGAACATAATAATATTGAGACTTAACCTAATTTAAATTAAGACGAAAAATTGTTTAATAACTTTTTAAAATTTTAGAGAAGATAGAAAGGATAATTTATTTGATGATTTCTTATTATATATATTATTTAAAAATACAGCATTTTCTATATTAACTGCCCTTCTTTATATAAATGACTTAAATATAGTGAATCAATTGTAATTTTAAATAAAGTATAATTAAATAGTTTTACTATTATTTATGATAACATAGTACCGTTAAAGCTTTTTTTCTTAGATTATTAAATTTATCAAAAATGCAAATTTTTAATTTATAGAGAACAGGAAAGTTCAAATAGTTGATAGAGTAGTAAAAATCTGAAATTTAGTAAACATAAAAGTTGTATCATTAAAAGTTTGATATTTTGGAACAGTTAAAAGCATATAAAAGCAATGATTAAAAAGAGAAGTATCAAACAACTCTTATATTTTAGATCGAACAATTAGATGAAGATTAAGTAATTAAATTTACCAAAATTAATGAAAAGAATATATTCAGAGAAAAAACTCAAAGTTAACAGTTAATTATAAGGAAAACAAAATGAAAAATCTGAAATTAGTGTTACTAAATCTAAGCAGCATTCAACAAGACTTAAGACTAATGATGAAATATCAATTATAAAGCCTAAATTAGCTCATATAGCATCAACAGATAGGATTTCAACAGAATGTAAAGAAACAAAAGATTATCTGAATTACACTTTCGGAACTTAATTCAGACTTCGAGCTACAAATATATCACATAATAATTGTAAAAGTATGATGGAGTAAAAAAGATCTACTTCTTAGACAAGTAGAATAATGACTACATCATAATAAAGAGTTATTAACAAAATTTTTTAATGAAACTAATTTATTTATAATATAATTTTATTATGAATTAGTAAAGTTTCGTTTAAGTAAATTAAGAACATGATTAAATTAAAAAAAGAGTCAATTCACTTAAATTTTAATTAAGAGATATAGATTAGAAAAATTTCATATTGAATAGCAAATTAAAAGATCTTAGATAATTATCACCAAATGGTAATAAATCACCTGTTGCTTAATTATAAGAATAATTAGGTTTGGATAGAAAATTTATTATTGAGTAATTTAAGCCAATCATTGAGAAAGAAGGAATTTATGTAAGAAATGAGAGATTAAAAACAGAATCATATTTACAGTAATCAAAAAATATAGAAATTTAACAGAAAAAAAAGAAAGTGAGATAAATTGAAGTTTATGATTCAGAAATAATAAAAAGGAAGGCTGAGTTCTATGAAAAAAAAATTAATGAAGTTCGATAACGATAATTGTAAGAAATGGAAATGAATAAATTGATAGTTAATAAGAAATTGATAGAAATAAATAATTTAAAGAAATAAGAATAATTATTATTAGGAGAAATCACACTGTATTATATATAGAGATTAATTTAGGGCAAAAAAAAAAGAATAATCGTTGAATAATAAATTTTCTAATGTAGTACTTTCATCTGAAAATAGTATAATGTTACCAACAATTTAGAAAACTAATAGTAGAATGAGTTAATAATCTAATTCTAAAAATAGACAACTGTTAGGTAGTCATTCTGTTCAAAGATCTGATAAACTGTAAGATAGATTTTTAAAAAGTGATACAAAACAGAATTATAATTCTTTTGTAAATAATAATGAGGATAGAAGATTAAAGAATGAATAAAGAAGAAATTCTTAATCAATAGATTAATTGAATATTGGTTGTTAGACAAGTTTTCTTATGACAGATAAAAATTAAGATAGTATTCAATATTCATAAAATTTTGATTCATATTGTAGTAACAATTAAGATTAATCTTTTGAGATAACTTAAAAAAAAAAGTTAAAATGTCAATTTAAAAAATGAAATATACTTATTGATATAAAACTAAATAGTATTTATTTAAAATAAATTTCTTTTGGATCAACTATTAAGTAATAAAAAATTAAAAAAGAAATTTGAGATTAGATAAGCACATTTGTTAATATCTATATATTGTTATTATCATATTGATTCTGAATTTGAAAAAATAAAATTAAATTAATTAAAAGGATTCAATGGGCAAACAATATGCTAGAGAACCAGCAGTTGCTAAAAAATCAGCAAAAGCTAAAGCAAGTGATTTGAGAACACACTTTAAGAATACATATGAAGTAGCTAGAGCAATCAAAGGATAAACTCTTGCTTAAGCACTTAAATATTTACAAGATGTCTTATAGCATAAGAGATGTGTACCATTTACTAGATTTAATGGAGGCGTAGGTAGAACAGGTTAAGCTAAAGAATTTGGCAGATCTTAAGGTAAATTAATTAAAAATATAATTTCTATAGGTAGATGGCCAGAAAAGAGTGTAAGAATTGTATTGTCACTTTTATAAAATTTGGCAGCTAATGCTTAAGTTAAGAATTTAAGTAATGAAAAATTAATCATTAATCATGTTTAAGTTAACAGAGCTTAAAAAGGCAGACGTAGAACATATAGAGCTCATGGAAGAATAAATCGTATATTATTTTATTAATTATTTATAGCATTCCTTTCTTCAAATGCACATATTGAAATATGGGCTGCTGAAAGAGATGAAAATGTTAAGAAAGAAACTAATAATAAAGTTGTTGCTCGTTAATCTAGAAAGCAAGTTGCTAAGTAAAGATTAGCAATTGGTGCATGAGAATACATTAATATTAGTATAATATCTAAGTTAATATGTTTTTCAATTTAATTTATGATAAAATAATTAATTGTTTTAAATTTTATGTATTTGTTACAAAAGAATTGGTATTCATAAAAGATGAATTAGAAATAGGAAATATATATAAATTAAGAAATAAATAATAGAGAGAACAGCAGTTTAATACATTAAATAATTCTATAGAGTTATTACTCGTATAACTCAACTCTTTTATTCAGAATCTAGGGCAGGGAAATCATTAGCATTCAATGTATTAGGCTTAATATTTTATTTTGGAGTCTTTTATAATACTGTTTTTGGAATCAATTAATAATTTTATTATTATTGCTATTATTATGACTATACTTATTATTATTATTATTAATGATGAACTTCATTTTTTTAGACATATTACTAAAAAATAATAAATATTTACATTATTTCCTCTATCTCTTTGTCCTCCTCTTCTATCATGAGTTCTTCCTCCTCTTTCATTTCTATCTTATCTATCTTATCTATCTTATCTATCTCCTCTATCTTATCGATCATTTCTATCTCCCTTATCTTTATTCTGATATTTCTCTTCATGTCTATCATCTATTTTTTCATTTCTATAATATCCATAATTTCCTCTTCCTCTATTTCCTCCTCTAGGTCTAGATTTTTAATAGAGATGATCTTTCTCTTATTCTTCATATTAATCATTTCGTTTATATTCTTATTAATCAAAATCTTATTATTCAATTTTCTTAGTCATCATTTAACATTTTTTTGAATTTATTTATTTATGAAATTCATCCAAATAATCAACATTTTACATTATTACAGAATCTATTTAAAGTTCTACTTTCTTAGACATCAAAAAATCAAATATTTCAACTGCATAACCCTCTGATTATGATGTTAATATTAATTTGACATAACTCTTGTCAGCTTAATATATTTCTTCCTCATACACTAATTCTTCTTTAACAAACCCAGATTTTTATAATGTTTCTTTTATTATTGCAACTTAAGGACCTGGAATTTTTATTTATATTCTCTTTCTCTCTGTTGGAAAATAAGGTCGTATTATTAACATTTAATGATCGAAATTCCATAATTATTTATTGAATTTATTCAAAATCTATTAATTCTAATATATTCTATACATCAGTTAAGATTAAATGATATTTTTTACGAGTGTTTAATTCGTTTTAGACATATTAGCTTTTAATCGAATTTTCTCTCTATACCACTACATATTGTAGCAAATACCATTCTGGCTTCAATATATCAGTCTCGAATTTCCTAACCAAATACTCATTATTTAGTAAATTATCGTATTTAAACAATTCAATCATCTAATATATTATACATCAATTAAATTTACAGCTTTCTCCAGTCTTGAATATTAGTCTTCTGGCTAACATTATATTAACATATTTCATACCTTATCAGATAAAATTTCATTAGCAATCATTAGTATACAACTATTGATGCAAATTATTTATCTATTTAATTTTCATCACAAAATAAGAAACTCAAATCAAATTAACATATTATAATTAACACAAAATAACTATCTGACTTCGAAACCATTAACCAAAATCAAGTTTGGAGAATGACCTATTCTATTCAATAATAAATTGTAATCTTTATTCATTCTTAAATTCAAAAAATCATCATTTTACTATTTATATACAATAATAAAAATATTTTTAGAAACATAATTATTTTTATTCAGAATAAAAAATAAATCAGACTTAAAATTTTCAAAAACTTGCTTATAATCTTATTTTATATAACCAGTTTTATCAAAATTATAATTTTTAATAAATTTTTAATGTCAAAATGATTGTTTATCTAACACATAATCTTAATAATATTAATAAAATTGAGCAATATTTAAGAAACTTATCATAATTTAAGCATAATTCAATACCTCATACTCAATAAATATTTAAAACTTTTATATTCAAACTTATATCTACAATAAAAGGTTATTTTTATTATTTTATTTAAAAGGCGAAAATTCATGACAAAACAAATTGAAATAAGAATCCTTATGGCTTTATAATCTTGTTATAAAACTCTATTCTCATATGCACATCTTTTTGCATATAAAAATTTATGAAAATCTTTTTAATCTTTATACAAAAATGAAAATCCATGACTATATTCTAAAGTTATAACCATATTTCTATATGATGTGCATTCTCTATAGCAAGATTCTAAATGTAAAGGCATCGAAATGCTACGGTTTTTTATATTGATTAATTTAAGCACTTGCTTATTTATAAGAGTTATTCAAATTTATTAATAAATAATTCAAATTATTTATTAAGATAATTCATTAAACAATATTTTGGAGAGTAAATATTTGAAACCTTAATTGCATTTTGATTAATATATTTTTAGACAAAAAAAAGTAAAAAATAAAAATAAAACTAAAATCTATTAAATTTTATTATTCAAATAATAATTAACTAAATTTAAGCGGTTATTAAATGAAAATTTTATTTTAAATCTTTAAGATTTAAAGAGCAGAACTATTTCAATTTTTTTTTAAATTATTTTAAGAAGTAAATTTATTTCATTTTTAATAATTTATCAATAATTTTAAATGATATGGATTAGATTCAAATAGCCATTGATATTCTTTAGAGAAATGTAAAAGTAAAAAGAAATTTAAGTTATGTTATCATCAGAATCTTTTTCCTAATGATATGATTCTTAGTTAGATAGTAAATATTAACCATAATGACATATTTTATTTAAGTACAATATTTAAATTAAAAATTATTTGAAGTGGTATCCAATAGAGACAGTTTTAAATAATTTAAATTTTAGAAGGTTTGATGAATTGTCCAAATAAAATAATATTACAAAAAAATTAAATAAAATATAATTATGATAATTAGGAAAGTATTATAAAAGGGATTCAGCACACTTTATAATTTGAAATAATTTAGACATTAAGAAATTCCACAAAATGTAAGTGTAGATAGGGAATTTGGAGACACAGTATTATAAAATGGAATAAGGGTATGTACAGAATTTTGGCCATCTGAATTAGCACAGTAATTATAATATATAAGTTAAAAGCATTACAATTTATATCAAATGTGGAAGTAGAAATGAAACAGAAGCAACAAGTGGAACAGCACATTTTTTGGAGCATTTACATTTCAAGGTAGTGTAGACACTAAACATTTAAGGGAACTGGTAAAAGAAGTAGAGATCGATTAGAATGTGATGTTGAGAATTTTGGTGGATAATTGAATGCTTATACTTCAAGAGAGAATACATCATATACAATAAATGCATAAAAAAATAAAGCTGAAAATGCTGTTGAAATTTTAGGAGATATGCTTACAAATTCAATTTATGCGAAATCTGATGTAGAAAGAGAAAGACATACTATTTATAGAGAATTATATGAGACTAGAAAAATGTAATTTGAAACTTTGATTGAAATATCTCATCGTTCAGTAATGATTTATTTGTGATTAAAAGGCTTATAAAAATCATTAAATGTCATTACCAATCTTAGGAAAAATTTAAAACATGTATTCCATTACTAGAGAAATGATTGCAGATTATCATAAAAATAATTATTATGGAGAAAATCTTATAATCTGTGGAGTAGGTAACATTAAATAAGAATAATTATGTGAATATGTTACTAAACATTTTAGCAAAATTCATAAGAAAAATTAATAAAATAAATAAGAAATTCCAGTCAATTTTTAAAATGAAGTATTTCTAATGTAGAGTGAATTAACAGAAGATATTAATGTAGGTTTATTTTATAAAGGACCTGAATGGACTGATCCTCATTATTATCATTTTTTAATTTTATAAAGACTTTTAGGAGATAAACCATCAAACTTTTTAGAAGCTGCAATATTTGAATAATCAACTTTAAATTCATTTTAAAAGCTTTTATTAGATTATCCAGAAATTACAACTTAAAAGGCTGTATATACTCCATATAAAGACACCGCTTTATTTGGAAACTATTTTGTTGTTAATCCAAATTAATTAGATTCTTGTATTGAAGTGTCTAAGAAAATCTTTGAAGATTACGCAAATTAGATATCTTCTGAAGAATTGTAAAGATCAAAACGAAGACTTTTTATTGAATTATGTTAACATGAAACAGGAAATGATATTTCATAAGCTATTGCAAATTAAATACTTTATTTTGACAGAAGAGTTTATAGACAAGAAATTGCATAGAATTTAGCAAATGTGACAGAAGAAGATATTTAAAATTGTGTTAAGAGTTGGATATTAGGCAAGTAACCATCTTTAACAATATGGGGTAATATTGATCCAGTTTTAAAAAAATACAAATTTGATGCAAGTTAAGTTGGAACACATTGATATTTGTTAAATAAATTTAAATATATATGAATTTGATATTTTAGTTTATAAAATAATAATATTAGTTATTTCTTAAGATATTAGTTAATTGAATTAGATTATTATTATTATTTTAATATATACTAAATAATAAAAAATAATATCTTATATTATTATTTTTTAATATAATGCTTATTGTTTATCATTTTTTCCTTGAGCTTCTTTCTCTATCAATATTTAATGTGACTGGTTTTAATAAAACAGGTCTTGCTATAACTTTCTGATCAATAATTGTAGGTTTAATTTCTGCTTGTTCTATCGATTTAATTTGTACTTAAGGAACAGTAATTTATCTAATAATTTTAGAAAATAAAAACATAGCCTAAATAGATTGTTAGAGAGGAGTAGGTTTAATTTTTGGTTATTAAATTTCTTTGACTAAAAGAGGAGGTATTTTAGTTGGACTTAAAGGTACTCCAATTTTTAATTCTAATTAAGATCTTGGATTGATTGAATCATCTTCTAAAAATGCTTTGACTTTTTTTGCAGATTTCTTTTAAGCTTTAATAGTAATGTGAATATCATTATATTTTTTGTTTTAGAAATGACTTATTATAATTTATATATAAGTAATTACCTAATAATTTACTTTTTGATGTTTTCAGCAATTTCATAATCAGAAGTTTTAAAAATTCCATATTTCAACCCATGATCTTTGAATAATAATTTAATGAAATACATGTAAATAGTTCTAATATTTCATTATTAAAATTGACAGGTAAGAATCTCATAACAACAGTGATTTCATTTTTATTGACTTATTTATCAATATATTTGAGTTAAGCAAACTAAAAAGATAATAAAATAAAATATAACTTCTATATTATCACCAAATGCCTTTCTATATTTATGAGATGAAGTCACTAGATTGTAATAGACATATTATGCTCCTTTATCCTCTTTCATTCGAATAATAATTGATAGCTTGCCTGCATAGCTGCCAAGCTAAACTCGTTTAAACTGTATGAAGTGCTTATCCTTAAACCGCAATTCATAAAATTGTATACTATTCATCAAAAAATTCATTTAAATCTAGATTGTCTATGGCCTCTTCATCAATATTCATTATTATTATTGATTTTTATGATTCCCACTCTTGATCCACTCGATTACTAATTATTATTTAATATTACTTTTTCTAAAATGGTTTTGCTTCCAACTTTATGGTTTGATTACATTCTGTATCAATCACCATGGAAACAACATCATCTACATTTAATCTTTTTTAACGATTCTGTTCACACATAACACTAGATTCCCCTGAACTCTCATCGTATGATGATTCAGGTCTTAGATATCGTTACTTCTCAATATTATTTAGATTTTTTAATTGTGACCCAACACTCACTAATTTGTTTCTATCCATTTTAATAATATCCATACGTATTTTCAGATTGAATAGTGAATTCTGTCTGAAGTCCTTAATTTAGAAATTGATTCCTACGAAAATCAACCAATTATTTTGTAAGCTAATACATTATTATTATTAATATCAAAACTATTTTTAATAAATACTCTTTTACTCATTAGAATATCTTAATTTATACAAGCTATAACTTCCATAAATACAGTATACTACATATAATAATCATAAATTACCTAAAACCAAAACACCCACTAAAAATAGAATAGCGCCAATCCACAACCAATGTTCATTTCTAGAAGTTATAATTGCCTATTATAATTAGATTTCTATCATTTATTTTTTTTCATCGTTTTCTAATCATTTAAACTATTTACATACCTACTATTTCTAATTCATATACGCCAGATTTATGATACTCTTAAGGATAACATATTAGTTCAGGATTTAATTTTTAAAAAGTTACCTAATACATATATTATCGACTCAACACATAATGATTCTCATTACCAATCATCAAATCCAATATTTACATAGGATTTGCCAATACGTTGTAACTATTTTCATTGATATTATTTTTAATTACAGCACTATTTAATTATTCTCTTATTCAAAAACTCCTACATTACTTATTGCTATTATTATATCTTGTTTAACAACATCATATAGGTTTTGTATATTTTTAATTTCATACACCTTTTCTGTACCATCATATTTTACTAATTCGTTATTTGTGGTTATGTATATATCTTCATTTTCTGTCATTAAAACTGAAGTTATATTTTAATATAATCTTTTAAGTAATATTTTCCTATTATAAACCAATTGTTCAAATTCATATTTATATATGTATATAACACTTGTTTGATTTTATTATGCTACAAAAACAAGATTCTTATTATCAATAATTCTAAAAACATCAACTGATTTAATGGATATAGTTTCTATTATTTCATTGTCATTAAAAAATAATTCTTATCCTTTAAGAACAATATACCTTTCTTTAATCAGTTAAACATCTTTTAAATTCTCAAGTTAGTATTCAGATACAGTCTCTAAAAGTCAATAAATTATTACTTAAATCTTGAATAATATATACAAGCTTAGTATCAAAACAATAAATAGCAACGCTTTATGTGTTATATAACATTCTACATTTTTTTGATTCAAATTTGGATAATGTTAAAATAATACTCTATTCATGATTTAATAATTATCCTTTGGAATCAAGGATTAATATAGCATCATTTTCTACTTTTGCAAATGTAACTGCATCGTTTTAAAATTCAGATTTGCTCAAAATATTTTATACAATTTTTCCTTATTATATATTACAAAACTTTGTAGCTTCTCCTTTTATGGCAATTTTTGTTCCTAAAGGTTAAATAGAAATTACCTGGAGAGAAAGATTAAGAATAATATTCTAAAGGTTCTAATTCAAGAGTCTAAGTATAGACTGTCAAAAAAAATGGAATTGCAATTAAAAATTACATTAATAAAATTCATGTTTTTGAGAATTATTAAGTAATACCAATTCAGTCAAATAGGAAGAATAAAATAGAAATAAAGAAATCATATAAAATACTTTTCTAAGCCGATCATCGAAGTTCAATATATTAATTTAATTTAGGGTCAATATGGTGTAGTTCCAGCTCGTGCAGTCCCATCAAATATTCCAAGACCTAGTTATATAAGTATATTAAAAAAATTAAATAGAATAGATGAGACAAAGCCTGTCTATGGAATTTATGAAGGAGCTCCTGTAGTTCATAATAATGAAATGATTCAAAGTAAAAAAGTTGCTTTAAAATTAGAATTAAGAAAGGCAGCCTAAATAGCAGCAAAAACTGCTTATGTAGCTTAATAATCAGTCAAAAAAGGAATGACAACAGATGAATTAGATAAAATAGTACATGAATACATAATTTCACAAAATGCATATCCTTCTCCAATAGGGTTTATGGGTTTTCCAAAAAGTGTTTGTACTTCTGTAAATGAAGTGTGTTGTCATGGAATACCTAATTTAAGACCTTTAGAATAAGGTGATTCTTTAAATATTGATGTGACCATATTTTATGATGGAGTACATGGAGATACAAGTGTAATGGCATAGATTCCAGAAATTAATCCTGAAATTACTAAATTAATAAATACAACATAAAAAGTTATAAATTATTTGTACAAATAGAATAGGCTCTTTATGAAGCTATTAAAATTTGCAAGCCAGGATAGAAATTCAGTAAAATTGGAGATATTGTTGAAGAAGTGGCTGGAGAAGAAGGTTTCACTGTTTGTGAATTATTTACAGGACACGGAATTGGTGAATTGATGCATATGCCTCCAACCATAATTCATAATTGTATATATTGAAAACATGTAGTTAATGACTACCCTGGTGTAATGGTTCCTGGAAATGTATTTACAATAGAACCTATTCTTTTGATGCATCATGATTAATATTTAATGTGGAAAGATAATTTTACTGTTGTTTCTCCAGATAATCCTAGTGGTATGAAATCTATTTTATATTGTTAGCTTAATGGGAACATATGATTTTAATAACTGAAAATGGGTACGAAGTCTTAACAAAAAGAGAGGATGAGACTGGAATATGACTAATATTTTAATAATTATTTTAATGAAAGTGTCCCTTTAAGATTTTGGTTTTCATTAACCTAATGCTCCAGAAATTAATACACCGAGATCTTTAGAGGCTTGTAGAAGAGAGGGAATTAGCCCAAATGAAATTGTAAAAGTTTCATTTGAGGAATATTAAAGAAAGTATAGGCTATCTAATTTGGATGCTAAAGGAATAGAAACTTATTATAAACATTTTGAAGAGAAGAGGGAAGAAAAATATAGAGATCTTATTAAATAAAGACATATTGTATTAGAAGATGAAAAGACAGGTAAAATAGTGTAACAATTATATATAGGTTTATGGAGTCCTGATGGATTAGGCAAAAGTAAAATGATATCAAAATATTCTCAATAAGATGCTTCATCTTTAATTGAAAAGGAGAAGCAATAAATTGAAAAGATTAAGAAGAAGTAACAAAAAGAAATTGAAAATATGCTGGAGTTTGAATTAAAATTATAAGAAATTAAAGAATAAAATGAAAAGAAATTGTAGGATGAAAAGGTTAAGTAGAAATAGAGAGAATTAGAATTAGAAAGAAAAAGAGCTTAATAGGAAGAAATTAAAAAACAGAAGGAGTTGCAAAAGTAACAAAAAAAAGAACAAGAGGAATTGGCCTTAAAAGAAAGAATGAAATTAATTGAATAAAAAGAATAAGAGCGTATTAAATAAGAGGAATTAAAATAAAGATTAAGAGAAGAAGAAAATAAAAAAAAAGAAGATGAAAAGAAAGCATTACAAGAAAAATTGAGAAAATTAAATGAGGAAAATATTAGATAATAAATGGAAGTATTAGAAAAAAGAAAAAAAGAAATGGATGAAAAGACTGAATAAAGAAAAAAGATGATGGAAGAATAAAAAGAAAAAAAGAAATAAGAAGCAGAAAAGGCAAGAATAGAAAATGAAGAAAGGATAAAATAAGCAAAAGAAAGAAATGAATAAGAAGTTTTAAGAGTTAAAGAAGATGTTGAAAAAAAATTATAAATTAGTGAATAAAAAAGATTATAATTTGAGGAAGAAAAGAGAAAAAAATTAGAACAACAAAAAATTGAAGCAGAATAACATGCTGAAATGATAAAGAAGGTAATTGAATAAAATGAATAAATGGAAATAGAGAAAAAAAAAGAGTATTTAAGAAAGATTGATGAAGCAGAAGAAAGAAGAAAATAATTAGAAAAAGAATAAGAAAAAGAAAAAGAAAAGAAGAAATAAGAAGAACATGAAAAAGAATAATAAAGACATCAAGTATTATTATAGAACGAGTAAAGGTAAAAAGAGAGAATTGAGGAATTTTTAAGAAAGTTTTCAGAAAAGGATGAAAATCTATAGAAAATTTAATTAGAAAGATCAATACAAGTAACTGATAAACGAAATTAAGATACTTTAAAAAGGATTGATAAAAAAGACAATGTTGAAAGAATTATGAAAAAATAAGAATATGATAGAATGAAATTATAAGAAAAACTAAATGAAAAAATGGAAAGAGCAGATAAAATATAAGAAGATTTGGATTAATTATTATTATAAAGATAAAATATGAGAAGAGAAATTGATAAACAAAAAAGAGATCTTTTATTGAAATTAGAGAAAATAAGAGAAGGTAAAATACCTGCTTCTGAAATCTAAAAATAATTTGGTATAACAACTAATGATTTAAAATAATCAATTCATGAAGAATCAAACTATGCTAGAAAATCCTAATCTTAATCTATTAATAAAAGCAATAAAAAATTAATGACTTTGACAAAACCTTTTAGTACTATAAGATCATCTCAAATTTAAGATAAACTTCCTGATATTAATTCATCATCCCCTCAATTATTAGAAACATAGAATAATTAATAAAATACAAAATCAATTGAATCAGTATAATAGCTCTAATAATAACCTTTAATTTAATAATGTAAATTATTTATTATTATTCTTAAGCAGAAAAAAAATCTCCAAAAAGAATTAAAAAATAAGAAATAGTCAAATCAAAGCCACTTGAACCACCTAATCCAGAAGTCTTATTTGAGCTAAATTAAATAATTTAAAGATAAAACTAGGAAATAATGAGAGTTTTCATGGAAGAATAGGCTAATGAAAATAGAAGAGATGATAAATTAAAAAATTGTAAATCAGAAAATAGAGCAAAGTTAGAAAAGCTCTATAGTTTAGAAAGATAAAAAGCCCAATAAAGAATTCAAAAGCTTTAAGAATAGCACTAATACGAATAATAATAATTTAAGTTAGCTCACAATCTTATTGATTGATTTTATTTTATTTAATATTTAAGTGAAATATTTTAATAAAATACTTTATTTATTAATTATCATAAATACATAATTTTAATATTTAAAAAATAAATTAATTCGTTTTAGGATTAAATGTTATTCTAAACTATTTTTTTAAAATTTCTTTTATATTTTTGTAGTAAACCCCAAATTCGTAAATGTGTTAGTGATACTATTTATAAAGGTTTCAACACTAATTGAAAATACTCAGCCAACCAAAATTATATTTGATTAATAAATTTACGACTTTACTCATTAATAAATGGATTTATTAGCTATTTTGATAAAATAATATATTTATATAGTTTAAAATGCAATTCTTAAATTAATATATATTTAGATTTGGATACATAAAAATTATTTTATTCTAATACTACTTAAATAATTCCATCGTTCTTGTAATAATTAAATTAACAATAAATCAAATCAATTTATGATATTAATTTAATTATATGGGTTGTGCATGTTAAAGTTTATAGATTGCATCTAAACAAATTTAAAATAATTGTAGTTTAGACAGTGAATGCAATTCAATAAAAAGAGCAATTTTTGAGCATCCAAGATAAGTTTTGGATTCAGTAAGTTCAATTTCCTCATATTCTGATTAATATTCTTCGCGTCCTTTGCAAACTGTAGGTTAAATTAAAACATAAGATTGGATTTGCTTAAATAAGAGTGATAAAAATAAAATTGCAAGAAGAGTTATTAGTAGTTTAAATGAAAATAGTTTAAGTCCACTCAAAAAGGAAAATGAAAACACTTTTTCTGATTTATCTGTAGAATTGATTGCAGATGAATAAGTAAGATTAATAATACCAACTAAAATAAAAAGGTATTTAAATAGAAGAAGAATAACTTCAAAGGAGGATTTATTGAATAAGGTTAAGAAGATGAAATTCTCAGAAAAATTCAAAAGAAGAAAGACTTGATGTTTATATTTTTGTATTTTATAATAATTCAATCTCTCTTAATAAAATGATGTGTTATTTTATGCTACACCTTTTTTTATTTAATTAATCCAAAGTAGAGCTCTGGATAAATGATTAAACCAAATCCAAAGAAACTGATAAATCCAGTTTATAAAGGTCTTGATTTAATTCCTTTGACTGCTGCACCGATAGCCAAATTAATAACAGAAAGTCCAACTAAAACATTGAATCTTTGTTCTGGTTCTAAGTTTGTCAAAATTGTTGCCTTAAATCCTTAGATGGATCAATAAATTTACTTGTTAAATCTTCTCCGAATTCATTTAGTGGTTGATTTATAAAATCAAAATAACCCATATTTAATTATATTAATGCAAATTCAATATAAAAAATGACAATCTGAATAGTATGCGAATAAAAATTTTATCAATTAAATAAAAGTTATTGATAATAATATGAATGATAGTCAACGAAATGCTTGTATAATAATCATAAATTTTCAATAAAACCAATCAAAATTTTATTGATAAACTTTATTATTTATTTATTAACGGAAAATATGAATAAAACAAGATCAAGTTTTGCTACTTTAAGAACAAAAACACAAATTAATTTAGCAAGTTAAGGAACCCTTCCTTGTCCATCACATTCTTCTTTTAATATTTCTCATGTTTGTTTATGTACAACTTGTACGTAAACAATTTCATTTTGTTCTGAATGTCTTTTCGAAACTTAACATTAACAACACTTAGCTAAACATAAGGAGCATATTGTTGGATGGAATGATTTAATGATTCTTTGTAGAAGGTAAAGTGTATCAGGTAGATTGGGAGATGAACCTTAAAAAGAATTAAATTAAATAGTACTATCAACCTAGGCTCATTAAGCTAGTTTTAAAACCTATATTAAAAATTAAGAATAACTAATTAATAATGATTTTGATGGATTAATTACTAAATTTACAGAAATGATAAATAAAGTAAAGGCCGAATTTATGGCTCCTTATAAAAATTATTTACAAGATCTTGTCGATATGGGAACTATTTTAGAAAAGTTGGTTTCAGATTATTACTTAGAAAAAAATAAAGATTATAATAATGATTATGACAATTTCTTAAGTGAAGTTAGTAAATTATAAGAACAATAAACTTCAAACAAAAAGAATGATTAAAACCAATATAATCTTAGAAAATTAATGTAGAATATAATACCCCTTGTAAGTAAGGCAAATGGATAATTTTAAAGAGCATTACAATAACAAAATTTGAATGTGGAAGAAGGAGAATCATAAAAATCAGGATATTCATTATTTAGTAATATGGCATTGAAATAAAGTGATAATCAAGTATTAAATGATTTAGTTAATGATTATAAAGTATTACTTAATAGTAGACCTTGTTATAAAAATTAAGGACTGGCTTAATAAACTTATAATGGAATGTAAGAGTTAATTGATAAATGTTATCATTCTTTGACGTAAGTTGATTTTATGTCTCCAGGATACAAAAGTTAGATGATTAAAATGAATAAAGAGAATTTAAGTTTAAAATAATAGCTAGCTTCCCCAAAAGGCACTAAATATTTAGAAACTATAATTAAAGAATAAAGTACTAAAACATTAAAATAATTAACTAAATTAGAAGAAGATGAAGATGAATTAAGAGAAATGTAACTTAAACATAGATTAAGATAAACTACTTAATTAATTATTTCTGATCCCATTACATCTATTTCATTTGTCAAAACAATCAAAACTACTCACAAATAAGGTATTAATTGTATGGTTCAATTTGATGATGACTTCATTGCTACTGGATCAAATGATAGATCAGTCAAAATATATAGATACAGAGTTTATGAATTATTTAAAGAAATATAATTTAAGAGTGATGTTACATCCTTGGCAGTCTAAATAAGAAAAGATGGCTCTTCTTTCTTGATTGTTGGGTTATTTAAAGACATTTGTATTTTGAATCAAGGATTTGAAGTCTTAAAAACTATTGATAGAATTCATAATGGTTAGATTAATTCTATTCTTTGCTTAGAAGATGCCTCAACTGTATTTAGCTGCGCATAAGGTGATAATAGATTATTATAATGGAATACTTAAAATGATTAATAGAAAAAATATTTTGAACATAGAGATTCTATTACTTGTATGACATTACTTGGAGATCAATATGTAGCTTCTGGTGGCAAGGATAGAAATATCAAAGTATTTAAATAAACATACGCAAACAATGTTTTTGAAAAATTATAGTTGTCTATGAGTTTATCTGATGCTCACCCAACAGAAGTAACTAGTTTAGCTTATGGTGGTGGTAATATTCTTTACAGTAGTAGTGCATCTGGAGAATTGAAGATTTGGGATTTCATGGATGGAACATTAATAAAATAAGTAAAAAATTATGCAGGTTGGTGTTTCAGAATTATAAACTTTTAACTAGAGGAGGAATAGAATACTTAATAGAAAACATAACTATAGACTTCTATTCCATTATGTGGTTCACCAAGAAGAAAGAAGTAAGTTTAAAATGAATACGAATGTATGAAGAATAGTTTTATAGGGACAGTAAGTTTTGATGGAACATTTAAGATATTCAATGGTAAAACTTTAGTGAATGATAAGTAAAAAAATCTTAATAAATAAATTAGCCCATAACCAATGATTACAACACAACTGAAATCGATACATGATTGCCATCCATTTGGAGGAGTATTAGCAATAAGAGATAGTATAACAGATAAGATTGATATTTTAAGTAGTGGGAACAAGAACGATTGCAATATCTAATTGTATAGTTTAGCATAATCATGAGTTATTTTATATAATATACTAAGTTTGCACAATTTTAATTAAATTTATGAGAAAGATATTATCATCAGCATTGGCAATAAGTTTTAGAAGAACACCATTAGTGATTCCAAAACGTACTTAGCGTTTAACAGCTGCTTTGATTTCTCTTCCATTAATTAGATATGGGTTTTAAGTATAAGATTGTAAATAGATTAGACTTTAAATTTGAATGATGCTTATGAAGTATCAATTGAAGATAATTTGAATGAAGGAGAAATGAGAGAAGTACAAGTAGGTCCAAATAAAGAAGATGCTGTCTTGGTATGCAAAGTAGATGGACAGATTTACTGTGTTTCAAATTCATGTCCACATGTTGGAGCTCCATTATCAGCTGGATTCCTAGTCGGAGATAAAGTGAAATGCCCATTTCATAATGCAAGTTTTTCAGTCAAAGATGGTGTTCATGAAGAAGGACCTATGTTTAGAGGATTATAAACATTCCCAGTTAAACAAGAAAATGGTTAATTAGTTATAAGAGTAGAGAAATCATTATTAAATTCTCCAAGAACATTAAATATGGTAACAAAAGGAGATGATCCAACACATGTTGTTATAGTGGGTGGAGGGTATGATAAATATAATAAAAATTATAGAGTATCTGGTTAAAGTGCTGCAGAAACTCTTCGTTAAGCTGGATTTAGAGGAAGAATAACAATAATAACAGCAGAAGATTCATTACCTTATGATAGAACTCCGATGAGTAAGATGACCTTTATGGTTAAATAATAAGGTTTGTAAATAAGACAATAATAATTTTATGAATAATATGGCATAGATGTTAGGACTAAAACAACAGTTGATCAAATTGATATCAATAATTAAGATGTTATTGTTGGAAAGGAGAAAATTCATTATGATAAATTATTGTTAGCTACAGGAGGTACAGCTCGTAGACCTCAATTAGATGGAGTCAATTTAGGTAATGTACATACTCTTAGATAATTCAATGATTTAGAATTAATTAGAAATAAAGCTAAGGAGGCTAAAAATGTTGTCATTGTAGGAGCATCATTTATTGGAATGGAAACTGCATCAGCAATTAAAAAAGAATTAAAAGATTAAGTCAATATCACTGTTGTCGATAGTACAACAACCCCATTTGAAAGAGTTCTTGGTACTGAAGTGGGATAATCTCTTTAAAAATTACATGAAGCAAATGGAATTGAATTTGCATTAAATGTTGGAGTAAAAAGAATTGGTGGAGTTGGTTAAGTAGAAAGAGTAGATTTACTAAATGGAAAATCATTATAGGCAGATTTGGTAATTTTAGGAACAGGAATACAACCAAATAATACACTAGCAAAAGATTAATTAAAACTCTCTCCAAATGGTGGTATTGAAACAGATGTGTTTTTGAAGGCAGCAAAGAATGTTTATGCTTCAGGGGATATTTCAAGTTATCCATATTGGGTTACAGGTGATCATGTTAGAATAGAGCATTAGAATGAAGCAGTTAAATAAGGGTAATAATTAATAATAATATTAATATAGCTATGTAGCTGCTTTGAATATGTTAGGTAGACCTACTCCTTTGACAGATATACCATTTTTCTGGACAAGATAATGGGATAAAACTTTAGCATATAGTGGAGTTGGATAAGGATTCGATGAAGTGATTGTAGATGGAGATTTAAGTCAATAGAAATTTATAGCTTATTATAGTAGAAAAGGACGTATAGTAGCATCTGCAAGTATGAATACTCCAAATGTAAAATAAAATTGATTAATTTTTAGGCTTAAATGATAATATCTGAAGCTTTGAGATTGAATGTTATGCCCAGTGCAAAAGATTTGAAGGAAAACAAAACTACTTTGGATGAAATCAAGAAGATCGTATTAAGTAAGGGAGCATCTTGCCATTGCAAACGTGCTGGGTAGTGTTAGGCATAATTATGAGGTAATAAATAAATCTAAATTAATTAAATAATAAAACGTGTTAATGAAACACTTAATTCTCTTATTGATCATGCATAGCTTTGCTGCCAATATAGATATTTAGATCTCTTATATTGATGCTCCATTGATCAACATACATTGGTGTAGTGATACAGTGTTAGCACTCACTTCTAAAGGATCTATTTACAGAAGTGATGATCGAGGGAGATAATGGACTAAAATGTCAGAAATATTTCATCGCAAGGCTCTTATATAACTTGAAGATTCAGATGAGAGAATTGGAATTGTTAATAATCTTGTACCTAGTCCTGTTGATAAATAATTAATCTTATTTACAGGAACAGATTAAATTGCTTGGATTTCACTTGATTGTGGTAAAACAATTACAGCTGTCAATGCTGGAAAATAGTTGCGTGAATATTAATTTCATCCAATTGAAAAAGATTGGATTATAGCATCAGCATGGAAATAATGTGGTTCTGATGAATTACTTGCAGGAACTCCTTGTGTTTCTTATAAAGAGCTTTTATTAAGTTAAGATACTGGAATCACATGGCATTCAATAGCTACTTATGTAAATTAATTTACTTGGGGTATAAAAAATAAAGAAATGGCTAAATATACACCTAAAGAAAGAATCTTAGCATCATTTGAGCCTTAAGGGAAAGGACATCAATCAATTAGTAGTTGGAATATGGATTACAATCTTTATTATAGTGATGATTTCTTCTAAACTCGAACTCTAAGTGTTCCAGCTGGATCAAGGTTTTTACTCACTGAATCCTTTCTATTTGTTGCCAAAGTCACATCATAAGCAACTTAAGAAGTTAGTCTATATGTGAGTGGAACTGAATTAGGTTAATATAAATACAGTGTTATAGATGCTGATTCTAAACTATTAGAACATTCGTATAGTATTTTAGACACATCAGAAAATCAAGTTTTTATGGTTGTTAATCATCTTAAACCATCATCTCCTTTAGGAGTTATTTATATTAGTGATTCTACTGGTACTAGATATTCCAGATCCTTAGAAAATGTCTCTAGATTAGAGAATAGTGCTGAATTCTATAGAGTTTAAGGATTGGAAGGAATTTATTTGGCTAATGTTTATGCTGAAGATTAAGCTAAAATTTATTCTAATTAAGTTTTTGAATCTATGGAAGAGGGTTTCTATGCTCAATAAAATGGATTTAAAGATGAAGATCTTAAAAAATATAAATAAACCAGAATTACATTCGATAAAGGAGGATAATGGGTTCCTCTTAAGGTATCATTTTATTTATTATTTTTAATTAGCCTCCTACTGTTGATGCCGATGGTAAGGCAATTAATTGCAATAAGTGTTAATTGCATTTACATCTTAGTTAAGCATTTTATTAATTTGCACCTATTTATACTTAAACTAATTCCATCGGTATCATTGTAGCCACAGGATCTATTGGAAAATATTTAAGCTATCGATAAGATTAAGTTAATACTTATCTTAGTAGAGATGGAGGCTTAACTTGGATTGAAATCAAAAAAGGTTCATATATTTATGAAATCAGTAATCATGGAGGATTAGTTGTTATGGCTAAAGATCAAGAAACAACTAATCAAATTGTATACTCTTGGAATGGTGGAATGGAATGGACACCATTCAATATTTTGGATTAAAAAGCTGAAATCTAAAACATTATTACTGAACCATAAAATAAAGGAACTAGATTCATAGCATATGGAGCCATTTAATTAGAATCTAATGGTATCAAAACTGAATAAGGATTATTGGCTACTATTGATTTAGATGAATTACATTAAAGAAATTGTATTGGATAAGAAAAAGCAGGAGAAATTGGAAGCGATTATGAATTATGGACACCATCTGGACTTGTTAATCCAGAGTGTTTATTTGGCAAAAAAGTTACTTATATGAGAAAACGTAGAGAAGCTGCTTGCTACAATCCAGAATAGTTAGAAAAAATTATTAGTGTCACTCCATGCTAATGTTCATAAGAAGATTATGAATGTGATTTGGGATTTGTGATGAACAATTAATAGTGTATTCCTATAAATGGTACAATAAATATTGATCCTCCTGCTGAATGTGATGGATATTATACAGTTTCTAGTGGATATAGAAAAATTGCGGGAGATATATGTGAAGGTGGAGTAGAGCATATTTCAATGAGATTTAGTTGTCCTAATAATAAGAATTGGATTATGGATTGGTTAGTAATTGGAGGAATTGTATTTGGATTATATTGGCTTTATAATAATCAAGAAAAAGTGAAAGAATATTTTGCAAGAACAGAAATGCGTGAAATACCATAAACAAAATAAGAAGTAATAGAATATGATTGATATTTAGTTATTGATTCAATAGATCTAATAAAGACAGCCAAAATAGTAATAATAATAATAGCAACAATAATAACAATATTAACAAATAGATTTAGAATAAAATGAATTATAAGATTAAAAGTTTGATGAAGATTTGATAGAAAAAGATGATGATGTACAAATAGAAGAGGAAACAGTTCATGAGTTGATTTGAAAATTTGCGTATAAATTATTTTAATGACTATTAATGGATTATTGATACCTAGCAAATTTATTCTAGTTTCGTGCCATTTTGTAACATCACTAATGGCTTATTATGGAGCTGTATCGAACTCCTCATCTATTAGAAAGAAAACATATTGGCTAATTTTCAAAGTAAAACATATGATACCAATTCTGATTCGTACATCTCAGCTTATAATTCTATCATATCATGTATCATCCTTGGATTGATTGGTCTTGGTATTGAGATGATATTCATTATTACTGGAATTACAATGTTTTATGATACCAGCAACTTTTTAAGTACTAATAACCTTATTTTGAATATAGTCATATGTTTACATGCAGTTGGCATAATAGTATACAGTGAGTTTATTATTGGAGCATGGCCTTACTATGAATTATGGTATTATTGGGCGGCATTTATGTATGTATTTTAAAACATATTTAGCTTATTACCAGTTTTATTAGAGGTTGTAGCAACTTGTTTTGGTAATATTTTGTATGGCACAGCTTTTAAAAGAAGATTATCAAGAAAAGGGAATTGATCGTATGTGATTATTAAATATCTATGAAATGGAATCATAATAATATATCTCATAATAATTTAAATGTAAAATCAACAACATCTGATCAGAGAAATTTATCTAAAGGATAAATCGAATTCTTTTTTGAGATAATAATGGGGATAGGTCTTTGATTCTATATTACCATTGTAAAAAACAACTCTAATAGTTGATACACTATAAGAAATCGACACGCTAAAAATTATAAAAGAATTATTGTCTAAAAATCATATAATCACTGTGATATCAGATACAAGTGAAGCAAATTATAATTGGTGTAATTTGGTAAATCAAAACTTTGAAGTCATTATTGCTGACCTTCGAGCAGAGACTAAATTGAACTCATATTAATATATTGGCATAAAATGGGTATATATTAAAAAATTAAGATTAGTTGTTAACAATCAACACAAAATTAGTGATTTTGTCAAATGATTTAATATATGAACATTTAGTAAATTAATTTAATGTTGTTTATGATAACATTATTGAAACACCTTATTTGCATACTTAATAAGAAGAATAGTTTATAAGTATACCTTATGATTAAAAATTAACATATGTATTATAATAGATTAAAACCTCAAACCCATAAATTGATAGAGATATAGTAGTTTATTGTGAATCCTTATATCAAATGGATTAAATATACTAAGCCATATATTTTCATAATTAATTGTCTCAATCAGAAGAATATAATGTTTAATAAATTATACCATTTTAATCATATTACGAATAATTTGGTTAATAATTAAGTGAAATGGTATATCCATAATAGAAAGGAAAAAGAAATGTATATTTGACATTAAATTATTAATAATTAAGAAAATATCTATAAAATGTCTAACATAAAATTTCCTTAATAATACATATGGGATATCAAACAACAGTAAAAACATTTTTGGAAGAAATCAATGCTATTGTTTATAAAGAGTAAAACCTTAGCAGACATGATATTATCATTCGTAATAGGATAAATTATTATCCTAAAATAGTTTATTTATTTGCATTTGATGAATTCAAAGATTTGTAAGAACATAAATTAATTTTTGATGAGGAATTCACTTTTAATCCATAAAATATAAAATTCTATGCTTCTTAATTTAATGTTGAACTTGATTAATTAAAAGACATATCATTATCAGAATATAGTTCATTATAGAATTATATACCATTAATTTATTATGAACCTTTGTTGGAAGCTGAAAACGAAACATTTCATTATTATAGTAGTGTTGTATCTACACTTTTGACAGATGGAGAAATACTTTCAGAAGGTAATGTAGAAAGTAAAAATAATCCATTTAAGAGCTTCTAAATTTACCAATAAAGAGAATCAATTATTAGATCAAATCATTATTGGTCGAAAATGGGAGATATTACTTCATGGATTTAATTAATAAATAAATTTATCATTTTTATTGAAGAAATTAATTCTAAAGATGATGAAAAAGAATAAGAAAACTCAAAAAATGAATTAATAAAATGGTGCAGATTATAGAATATCAATATTCCTAAAATGATATTGATTTTAGCATATAATGAATACATAATTGATTTAACCTAAAAATATGTATAAATTTATCATAATAATTTAGGTGTCTGAATATTCAGTTATTAATAAGTGTTGTTCTTTAGATTAATTAAAACTAAATAGAACTGTGTCTTTAAAGAAACAGTAATCTATGCCTGAACATTCTGAAGACATATAAGCATGTTTATTAAGACTATTTTATAAAGGCTTAAGCATATTTAGTGGACATAAAAGTGCTGGTTATTATAATTATGTTACTAACTAAAAATTTAAATTATGCTATAATAATTTAATGGCCATAGTTGGAGACTTTCCTCTAACCTGTATAATTATGGCATTGCTTTAAAAGAATCAATAATATGAAATTAAGTATTCTACTAAAATAGATGATATAATGATACCTTAATTGGCTCCTAAAGCTTTTGTGAAAGAATATAAGCTCTAATTTATATAGCGTTAATCTTTACATTTGAGTGAATTAACTTTTAATGGAATTGGTCAAGTTTTGTTCAATGAACTATGGAAACATTAATCAGGTCCTCAGTTATCTTAGGATTGTATCTTACAACCTAATATTGAGATGAATTGTATCACAGTTTTATATGATCCTAATGTAGCAAAAAAAGAGATTATAGAATAAGAATTGAATGCAAAAATTAAAGAGTTATAAAACTTTTACAGAAATTAAGTTAAAGAAATACCTTATGCAAATGATTCAAAATTTATTATGCAAGCGTATTAATTTATAATTAATATATTAGTGGTGGAAGTATGAAAGATTGGATTGAAAAAAATGCTTACAAAACTTTTTTTATTGAAGGATTACCTTTGGATATAACTTAAGAGTTGTTACAAGAATTCTTAAATGAAGTACGCATTTAAGAAACAAAATTATATAAACAAGGAGATAAAATTACAGCTAGGATTTCACTATATGATCATGATGATTTACTTTATTGTTTGGAGAATATTAAGGAGTACAAAAATGATCCATTGAAGGTTTATACTTAATAGGATTAATTTGAACATAATGAAGAAAAGCTACATTTTAATGAACATTACAAAATAATAATTTCATGGAATATACATTTGAACAAAGGTACTGCTAAAGTTGAACTCAATTCTCCATTTATTTTGAATTCTGAAGAATTTTAAATGATCAAACATTTGACATTTAAAATGAATCTGAAAAGTGTCTATGAAGATGAATAAACGATCTTAAATGATTTAAAATAACATTACAAAGATATTGATATTAAATAAATATAGATTGATAAATAATTAAGGTATGAAAATAATGGAGATCTATAATTGGAAATTTATAAATTATTATAAAATATACCTTAAGATAAATATAAGATTGAATCTATTACTAAATAAAATTGTAAAAGAATTTTATCCCTTATAGTTTATGATATTAATACAATGGAATAATTTAAACTTTTAAATAATCAGATAAAATAATTTAGAGGTTTGAAGGTTTAATTAAATGTAAAGCCTTTCTATTTCCATGATTATGAAGGACCAATTGAAATGAAATAAGTAGTTGAAGAAATATTTGATGAAAAGAAAATATAACTTGGATAATATACAATTAAAAATGATGATGAATTTAAAAGAGTAAAGGTTACAATTGAATGTTGGAATAAATAAGATCATGAATAATTAAATAAAGAGATTTAAGATGCTTTTAATCCTAAAATTATAAAATCTTCATAAGATTTTGATATAACAGTAATATTTAGTTAATCTGGTACTAGATTCCTTAAATTTTAAGAATAATCTTTATAAATTTTAATTAAATAAGATTTTATTAATAATTAATTATTTGTAAATAGTTCTTAAATTAAATACGATTAATTAATAAAAGCAATTAAAGAATTTACTTCAGATTGTGCAAAATGTATAATTTAAATTCCTAAGAATTGTATTAGATTAATAATGGGAAATGATTCTTAAGGATTAAATGAAATAAAAAAGAATTTTGATTTAAAGAGTGTAAAATTCAATAGCATATCAGGTGAATTACAATTATTTGGAGATTAGAAGAATCTTGATGCAGCAATAATTTCAATTAGTGAAATAATATCTTCATAATAATCATAAGATAAACCAATAAATGCATTGACTTGTAACTATTGTTTTGATAATATGAAGAATGGATATATGCTTTAAGGTTGTGGACATAAATTTTGTTTATAGTGTATAATGTTTAGCATTTCGAATTCTTTAGGAGATATGACTTAATTGCCAATAAAATGTCCATAATGTAATTAAGGGATACTTTTAGCTGACTTATATATTTTAATTGATGAGCCTAGTTGGGAAAAATTAACAAAATTATCTATAAACAAATGTATTTAATTAAAAGATATTGTTAGATTTATAAGATCATGCAGCTTAAATAGCATTTTGTTTAACTCCAAATTGTCCAATAATACATTAATAGAAGATTCCAATATATGTATGTAAAATGTGTTAGAAAAAGTATTGCAATCCATGTAAAGTATATATAATATTTTTATTTTATCAGACAGCATACCATTATGGTTAAACATGTAGGGAATTCAAGGCTGGAAACGAAGATTCCATTAATATTTATATGAAAAAGAATGATGTAAGAAGATGCCCTCATTGTAAAATTTTGATATAAAGAATTGATGGATGCTACAGAGTTACATGTACTGGTTGTAAAAAGAGTATTTGCTGGAAGAATAAAGCAGATGGTACACCATGTATGGCTATTTTTGAAACATCTTCAGAATGCTATTCACATTTAACCAAAGAACATGGTGGATATTGGTGATATTAACAAAAATATATATTTATAAATCAATTTATTTATTTTGAGCTTCCTGTCTATTTTAATTAAAGTAATTAATATTTTTTACCCAAGATTGCTTTCTCTTCTTCTGGATATGGTTCAAAGATTTTTCTTATTCTTGGTCTCTAACCAAGATTGGCTTATTTCGATGCTCCAATTACTCTTAATGTCTCACTATAATGATGTATTAATAATTAGACTTAAAATAAAAAATTATGAACTTCCTCATCCAAATCATAACAACTTAAACAAAACTCTCCCATTTCAAATAATCCAGTCATAAAACAATTTAAAGTATTTGACTTTGCTTATAATGTTTATAATTCAGCCAACACATTTTAATTTAGTAATTCTTATTTATCTAATGTATCTTCAAATTATTGTGCGATTTTTATATATCTAATTTTTAATTTTATAAACTTTCTATTCCCTTTGAAAAAATATTCATACAATTTTTTTAAATTCCTCTAAATTGCTTTTGGATAATCACTCATTTCAATATTCTTTTATATTATCACATGAAGTTATTTATTTAGGTCATTAAATTATTCATCTAAAACTTAATGTTCTTAAATTGTTTTAGGATATTTAAAATATTTTATTTATTAAAACATATTTAAAAATAATGTTTATTACTCTTTTGATTCATATTATCTAAATTCTGTATTTTATTGTCTTACTAAAAATCTATAATTTTATTTATTCAAATAATTTGTAATCTTATCAATATTAATTAAACTGTTTTTTATCACTTATGTTATGTCAAACATAAGTTTTGAAGAGAGAAAATCAATCATATCATCAATTAAAGGTTATGTCTTATAAAATTAATCCAATATCTATAAATTACTCAAAATTTCTTATAATTCTTCTGTATGTTAAATATTAAATGTATTCAACATATTCTTGAATTCTTCTAAAGCAGTTTAAGCACAATTCTTAAATAATCCTTTTTATAAAAAAGTTAAGTTTTCTTGATTTTGAAATTTAGCATAAAAATCTTCATTATATATTACATTTAATTCATTTGTGTTAAAAATTCTAAGACTTGTTATTTCATTAAATTTTGTTGTAATTGATTTATACCAGTCAATTACTTTGTCTTCTAATTCTTCAATAACATCATTTGTTTATTTTGGAGCATCCTGAATTAAATTTATCATATTTTTTTCATATTTATGATAATCTAATAAGAATTATTGATTAATATAATTTTATTTGTCAATTATTTCTAAAGCTAATCTTAATTTTTTATTAATGATATCCACTAAAACTGATAAAGTTGGTTAATTAAAATTAAACTTATACTTCTAAATCTAATTTTTTAACAAAATATAAATACTTAATATAATCTCATCTTAGTATTTCTAAATTCACCTATAAGAGTCTCTAATTCTTTGAGATTTAGATCTTTTAAAACAGGAAGATCATTTTAGTTTAAATCACTCAAAACACCTGCCAATGATCCAATACTCATTTATTAGATATCTTCTAGTTTAGATTCATCCATTTTATTTAATAATTTTATTAAAGTTTTCTATATAATTCATTTTTTAATTTACAATATATATATATTTTTGTTAAAACTCAGTAATCTATAAATTAAGATAATAGTAATTAGTTTTAATTGACAGCAAACACTATTGGGAAAAACTGATTTTGTATAATTTTTGATTTATCATTTAAATTATATTTTAAAAGTAAATCAAATCAGCATTCAGAAAGGATGATTATTATATCAATCTATAATAAACCTGATTGTTTTACTTACTCTTATAGAAATATGAGTGAAGTATTTAAATATAAGATCATTGTCAAAAAATATAAGTTCTAATTTTTAACTTTCTGTATTCCTATTTCTATTTTATGATTTTAGTTTTCACATCTATAAATTTTTCCTATTATAAAAAGATGCTTAATTTTTGCTCATTTGAAATCTCATAAGATTGATTGAAAATTTGACATCACATAAATTATTAATCATCTAAATAATTTATATATAAGATTACTTATAAGTTGCGATAAGAATAACACTATTATCATAAACTTTGATGAGCTAATAAATATAATTGTAAAATATTATAAGCTTATTAAAATTCATAAGTCTTTAGGCCATCAACACCTTATTAAGAATAAAATTTATATCCTAAATTTATAACGAAATAATTGCTTTTAATTAATAGATTATTACAGACTAGTTATGGTTAACTAGATCTATAATATCTTCACTTAAAAATAGAATAAAAGTATTTATAAAAATAGGACTTAAATGAACTTCTGAATGTCATAATTACACTTTTTTCATTAAAATAAAATTAATTGATATAATTCATGTCAAAAAATAATACAATCATTAGCCTCTCAATAAATGAATTAAAAGATTAATGGTAGAAGAACTGTAAGAAAGATCTTATTACTTAAATTGTTCGTTAGCCATCTTTAAATTAAATAAGAATTTCTAAAAATCAACGATCTTCAAATTATTAAAAATCTCCTAATAAGTTATTGAATCAATAAACTACCACCCCTTAAACATTGTTGTTAGACAATTTTTCACTATAATCAACAATTTCAATTAGCAGTTAAATTTTTTAAACCGATAAATATATTGAAAACCATTAGATTTAACCAACACCTTTATTGAAGTTCTTTATAAACTAAGAACAAGCTCATTAAGATAAAACAAATATATCTGAGATATAAACTTAATCAAATTCTAATGAATCAAATGCTTACATACAGACAGAAATTGCTAAATTCCGTTTTATGACCCTCTCTCATGATAGTGATAACTCTATTGACTGTCAAATTATTAAATTTCATCATGTAGTTTTTCTAAATTTAATTGCATAAAACTAATTTTCGAAAAAATCCGAAAGTAACAAAATAAATCATAAGATGTATATGATGTAAAAATTAAATAAATTCAAAAAGGATGAAATGAATAAGAAAATTATTAATCACTCTCTAATGAAAGAGCCAATCCCATTAAATTCAGAATTTTTTACTAAATTAGAGATATCTTAACCAGTTCTTTTGATAAAAAACACTCCTATTTAACCAGAGAATATAAAGGATTAATAATAAAATATCCTTGATTATAGTATTGAAAAATCTATGATCCTAAATTTAAATTTCAGTTTTGTCAATATTGATGTTGAACCAAAAATCTAGAAATTTAGATAGCCGTTATAGTAAGAATAAGAAAGTTAAATTAAGCAAGAATTAAATTTTCAAATAGAAACTATAAGGGACAACTAATAATTTACAATACCAAATTTCCCGGCAATTCCTTTAAGATTCTAAAAATTAAAAATGGAACCTGTCGATGACAAATAAAATTTCATCTATGAAAATAATAAATTAATATTTGATCAAACTACTAATATAATCAACCAAATAAAATCATAATCTATAGATTTATAATTAAATTTGCTAAAAAAAGATTAAATTCCACTATTTTAATTATTCATTCTTATAGGACAAGAATAAATAAATGATAAAAAAGCATTATGGTAAGATTAAATATTAATAAAAAACAATCCTAATCCTAATCCAAATTATAAATAAAATAATATGGAATCAGATTAAATTGGTATTAATAATATTAAAGTTGAATTATCTCAAAATATTATAAAAGAAAGTAAAATAAATTTATAAAGTAGAAGTAAATAAACTATTAAAACAAATAAATTTACTTTAGCTTGGTTAATAAAAGATAGAGAGGATTAACCAAACTAAAATGTTAAAAGTATGAATACTTTATAATTTAATGAGAATTTACTAAAAGTAAACTATGAAATAATATTACCTAAAGAAAAGCCTCAATATCCTTCCCTACTTTAAATGAATAGAATGAAGATAGAAAAAATAAAAGAATTAATAACTGAAGGGAAATCAGTTTATAAAACTAAGTAATAAGAAAAATAATAACCATTCAGTTAAGGAATTTAAGTTAGACAATTTACAGAAACTAATAACAGTTTCAAAAAATTTATATTACATGGAAGTTTAATTTTGGAGGAATCTAAAGAAGCCTAAGCTAACAAAAGAAGTTCAAGTATTGATAAAGACACGAAAAATGTTTAAATATAAAGAAACTAATTTTAAATTCTTAATAGATTTCAGAAAATAAAATATTTAGGTAGAGGTAATGTTAGTGATGCATATTCAGTAATTGATTAATAAACTGGAATGGCATTAGCATTAAAAACGATTTAAAAGTCATTAATTTAAAGTAAAGGAATAAATAATTTGATATCAAATGAAATTAAAACATAAATGTTATTAAACCATCCAAATATTTTGAAATGCTATGGGATAATTGATGATAAAAAATAAGTAAACAAAATTAATATATTTAGATTGCTTTAATTTTAGAATTAAGTGATTAAACTTTATATAATTGGATTCGACATAAAGTAATTCATAGAAAAGAAATGGTTGATATTTTATATTAGGTAATTAGTGCTGTTAATTATTTACATAATAATGGTATAATTCATAGAGATATCAAACCAGAAAATATCCTAATTTCTTAGAATGTAATTAAATTGGCTGATTTGGGTATTTCTATAAGAGCTTAAACGTGTTCATAATATTGTGGTACTTTAGGATATATGGCTCCTGAGATTAAATTACATGAAAAATATACTTCAAAAGTTGATTGTTATAGTATTGGTGTTTTAATTTATGAAATGCTTTATAAGAAATTGCCTTTGTAAAACTTATATCCAATAAAAAATGTGAAGGATGATTTATTGATTGATTTAATGAATAAATTAATTGAACCAGATTAGAATTTCAGATATTCTTGTACTTAAGCTCTTAATCATGAAATATTTGACTAATTTATTTATCCTTAATTGATTTAAACTTCAATACAGAACAACCTTACGAAATTACTGTGAAATTATTATAATATAATACAGAAATTAAATTGATTTATAAAAGTTAATTTAAATTAGTATTATTAAGACTAAAAGTAAATTGAACTTAAATAAATAATAAATTTTTAAATACTTTGAACAATGATAAAAATAAGATAAGCTAATAAAATTTAAATATAAATTAGAAACTAAACCTGTTTATATAAAATATATAAAATTCATTGAATAAAAGACCAGTCAGATATTCTTTAATTAGATTAAGAATGATCTTCAAATTTTAACTAGAATAAAAAAACTAAATTACATCAATAGTTTCTTTGACCCATTATTTTGAATTATCTTTTTCAATGAAAGGACCATCTTATACTTTATTATAAATATCATCCCAATTTATATTTTTGAAGAATGAATGTTTTTTAATTTCTTCAGCATCTGTTTTAGCTCCTAATCTTTAAGAAGGATCTCTAACTAAAAGTGATCTAATTAAATCTTTAGCTTCTTCACTCATAGATTTAGGAATTCTTAAAACTCCTTTTTTAATATTTTCAAATAGCATTTCTCTGTCTTAATGATAATAAGGTGGCATTCCAACAATCATTTCATAAAGTAGAACACCTAATAAATACCAATCAACTGTTCTTGAATGACCTCTTTTCATTAAAACTTCTGGTGCAAGATAAGCTATTGAACCACAAAAACTTTTTGTTATGTTATCATAAACTCCTTCTTTTGATAATCCAAAATCTGTTAGTTTTGCATGTCCTTTATTATCTAATACAACATTATCAGGTTTCAGATCTCTAAATATTATACAACTTTTATGTAAAGATTCTAATGCCAATATAATTTCACAAATATAAAATCTAGCCACATCTTCACTAAATTTAACATATTTAGTTAATAAATTTCCTAAATCACCTCCAGGACAAAAATCTAAAACCATAAATAACTTCGATGAATTTTAAAATGCCGCATGTAATCGAACTATAAAAGGATGTTTCATAACACTAAGAACATTCTTTTCTGTTTATGCATATCTTGTTAAATTCTTAGTAAATACTTTCTCTTTACAAAGAGTCTTTATAGCATATTATTCTCCATCTAATTTTCTAGTTGCAAAGTAAACTTCACCAAAACTACCTTTACCAAGTAATTTATGAAATCTATATCCCTCTGGTGAAGAAACCTAATTAATTTATAATTTCTTTACATTAACACTGACATTAATAAATTATGGAATAACTTGAGATTCGTTTAAAGACGATGATTCCCTCTTTATCATTATTTATTATGCCTATTTCATGCTTTCCATTTTTGATAATTCATTTACTTTACCTAATAGTCTTTCTATATGATCAGCTCTACAATTTTTTACTACTTATCCATATATCAATGATCTTGATTAATAACCTCCAGAATTAGGTACATACTTTTCGAGAAGCTTTCTTATATCTGGTGACATGGTCATATCATAAGGAGACTTTTAATAAATATTCTTTAAAGATGCTAATAAGAGTGATCATATTATTAATATACCATTCGCCCCATTTTCCAATAAAAATTCTACAATTTGTATTTCACCGTATTCTGAACTAATATGCAAAGGTGTATTTAAATCTTTGTCTTAACAATTCAAATCAACCTTATTTTTAACCAGAAGTTTAACTATTTCCAGACTTCTTCTTAAACATGCTAAATGTAATGGAGTACTCTTCATTTGAGTACATAAATTAGGATTAGCATTAGAATCAAGTAATAATTTTACTATTCCAACCCTTCTGTTATTTATAGCATGATGTAAAGCTGTCCAATCATCTAAACCTTTACAATCAACATTTATTAATCCAATAAATTGTTAATAATCTTCTCCAATTAGAGTGGAATTGTTTGATCGATTTTATTATTATACTTATTATTTTAAATCTATTTAATCTTTAAGTAATCTTGTAACAATTTCTTCATCACCTTTTTCACATGCATCATATAATTTTTCATTTATTTCTTCCATTTTTGTCCAGAAAGACTCCCATCTACTTTTCTTGGAATTTAAAGGTGTATATTTTTTAAATTCAATCTCTAGTTCTCCAAAGTTATTAACACTATATGTATCTCCAGTATCTAAATTTTTTATAAATTAGCATGGATCAATTTCATCATCATTAATATTTTTTTACATAAAAAATAATATATAAACAATAAACTATAAACAATATTTTGTTTTTACTAAAATAAAAATAATTTAAAAGTTTTATAATTGAAATGTTAGGTAATATAACATCAAATATACTTTTGTTAATATTTATATTTCATTTATAAATGTCTGAGGATGTCAAATCAAAAGTAATGAATTATCTAAATTGTCCATTGGGAGACATGCATGAAGGAGAATAATTAAATTTTGTTTGTCTTGAAACAACCTGTAAAGAAATAGGACTCATATGCCCTATTTGCAGATGTTAGAAACATTCCAAACATAAAGTGATTCCTTTAAAGACATTTCTAGCTGATCTATACACTAATGTAAATACCAAGCAAAATCACAATTCATTAGAAACCTTACTTTAATAGTTGGATTAAGTTCGTCTTAAAATGTTATAGAATCTAAAGGATATTGTTCAGAAAATGGTCTTGTATGACTTTTATGTCTTATAAATAGACAAATCAAGTTGTTAGAAGATTAAATAAACTTAAGTCATAAGAATACAAAATAAAGATTATTGGAATAAAATTAAACATAAATGAATTTTCCACAGTTGTTTCATTAAATCTTAAATATGCAATATGTGAATCCAGATTTATTAAAATAAGATTTACGTAGTATGATTGAAAATGTAAGCCAACATTAACATGGAAAAATTGAAATTGATTTTAAACCATAAAAATTATTTGATTCTTATCAAAAAGCTGTAATAGTTCTATTATTAACATTTATAGTCTCAAGAAGCAATTAATCAATTATAAATTTCATTTACAACTTTTAAATAGTCAATCTCAAAAATAGCTAAACCAATAGAAAAGTTTACATTGCCAATAATAAATCATAATTAAACTAATTTCATATTTAGTTAAACCTTAAAATCGACAACAATAAATATCTAAGATTTCAAAGTAGCTATATAATAAGTGCAATAAAATAATGAAAATAGGTTTATTTTAATAGAACCTTAAATATAGGAATCTTGTAAAATTGCCTTTAAAATATAGCATCTAACTAATTTTATTGGTTTAGGAATTGCATTAAAGAATGTTCTTCAAGGAAAAAAGTAAATAATAAAATTAAATTGATTAGTATGAGGTTTGATTATTAAACTTTGGGACATGGCTCCTATATGGCATCCAATAATGATCATGTATGGTCACATAATAAAAAAGAGGAGAATATGGTTTCTAAGTCTTTAAAATTTGGGGTTGGAGATATTGTGATTTTAGACTTAAATTTAGAAAATAAGGTTATTCTGTTGTCATATTCTAGATTTTAAAGTTTAAAAATAAATCTTCATAGAATGAACCAATATCATTGACATTTGATATTCCAGAAAATGATGAAATTCATTTTTGTGTAAATATGTGTGGTGTAGGAGAAAAAGTAGAAATCTTAGATGATTGGGAGTGATTGTAATATATAAACGAAATTATTTTAAAATACATAAATATGTAATCATTAAAAGAATATATTCCTATTGTATTGATTAAAGATCAAATAAGCAAAAGAGAATTCAATTTATAAGGTATTGAAGAAAAGTAACAATATTTTTATTTACTAGAATTCCTCTAAATGAATATGAAAATAAATCTCCTAAAATCAGTTTTCATATTAATAGTTCCAGATCTAACTCTATTTAAAAAACAATCCCTTCTATTATTAAGACAACTGTATTTCCAAATATTCTTCAATAAACAAAATTAGCTATCATTAGATATAGATAATCTTAATAATTATATTTGGATCCTGATAGTTTACCAATTCAAAAGGAATCTAATGGAAAAATTGAAAAAAAGATTAGGAATTTGAAATAAAATAAATCAAGTTCAAAAATACATGCCTAATCTACAAAGCATTCTACTCAAAAACCAATTATAACATAGATTACTACTTTAATTAAAGACAATATCAGTATTCAAAGAAAGAATTCAATAAAACTTAGAAGTCATAGTCCAGAAATTGAACTTTAAGTTTGGTAAATGAATAGTAAATTGAGAAAAATTAATAAAGCTAATGAAACTCAAAAAGAAATTCACTATTTCGATAGATCCAAAATTTGTTGGAAAACTGATGAAATTCAACAAATTTTACAGTAAAAATACCTTCAAACTTATAATAATATAATAAAAGGATTGAATAAGATTTTTATTTTAATTTACTTGCCAAATTAAGATCTTTATATGAAGAACTCTTAAATTTAAACTAAATTAATGTAAACTCATTTTAATTTATAGAATCAATAACTTAGAATTAAATGTCTTTCCTTTTTTTATTCCTATTTATGAGAAAATCATTAATGATAAAGAGTTAAATGACAATTTTAGAGAGTGGGTTTCTTATTTTCTAAATATTTTACATCTTCAAAATCATATGAATTATGTAAAAGCATTCACTTTAGATGGTGTTGAAATAAATTAATTAAATTAGATATCTATTTANTTGACATTTGATATTCCAGAAAATGATGAAATTCATTTTTGTGTAAATATGTGTGGTGTAGGAGAAAAAGTAGAAATCTTAGATGATTGGGAGTGATTGTAATATATAAACGAAATTATTTTAAAATACATAAATATGTAATCATTAAAAGAATATATTCCTATTGTATTGATTAAAGATCAAATAAGCAAAAGAGAATTCAATTTATAAGGTATTGAAGAAAAGTAACAATATTTTTATTTACTAGAATTCCTCTAAATGAATATGAAAATAAATCTCCTAAAATCAGTTTTCATATTAATAGTTCCAGATCTAACTCTATTTAAAAAACAATCCCTTCTATTATTAAGACAACTGTATTTCCAAATATTCTTCAATAAACAAAATTAGCTATCATTAGATATAGATAATCTTAATAATTATATTTGGATCCTGATAGTTTACCAATTCAAAAGGAATCTAATGGAAAAATTGAAAAAAAGATTAGGAATTTGAAATAAAATAAATCAAGTTCAAAAATACATGCCTAATCTACAAAGCATTCTACTCAAAAACCAATTATAACATAGATTACTACTTTAATTAAAGACAATATCAGTATTCAAAGAAAGAATTCAATAAAACTTAGAAGTCATAGTCCAGAAATTGAACTTTAAGTTTGGTAAATGAATAGTAAATTGAGAAAAATTAATAAAGCTAATGAAACTCAAAAAGAAATTCACTATTTCGATAGATCCAAAATTTGTTGGAAAACTGATGAAATTCAACAAATTTTACAGTAAAAATACCTTCAAACTTATAATAATATAATAAAAGGATTGAATAAGATTTTTATTTTAATTTACTTGCCAAATTAAGATCTTTATATGAAGAACTCTTAAATTTAAACTAAATTAATGTAAACTCATTTTAATTTATAGAATCAATAACTTAGAATTAAATGTCTTTCCTTTTTTTATTCCTATTTATGAGAAAATCATTAATGATAAAGAGTTAAATGACAATTTTAGAGAGTGGGTTTCTTATTTTCTAAATATTTTACATCTTCAAAATCATATGAATTATGTAAAAGCATTCACTTTAGATGGTGTTGAAATAAATTAATTAAATTAGATATCTATTTATGATAGATTATTGTATATTCAACTATAAGTAAATAGATTACTATTTTAAGGGTTAATTTGATATTTGGAACATCTTAAGATAGCAATTAAATTTATAAGGATAATTTCAATTAAACAAATATCCAAAATTAGCTATAAAATTATTAGATTTAAAATAAAAGGATGAAATCTTAAAATTCTTTAAAAAAAGAGAAAATTTGGTTCCCTTTTATTTTCAATAATAATAATAATAATAAAGTTCTACTTCATTTAAATCATAATATTTAATTGAATTAGAGAATGATCTTAGATTACCAGATGAAGATATGTTTGAATAATCAATAATTTAGATGAATGAATAAGAATAAGATACTTATTTGAAATTATTGTAGCACTATATTAAATCAAATAAAACAAAATATTCTAGTAAATTAAAAAGTTTAGAAGAAATGATGAGATCAAGATTAGAAAAAATAAAAGCAATGAAGAGATATTCAATTTAAGTAAAACTTTAATCAGTAAAAATATTAATAAAAGTTAGAAAAAACAATTAGAGTATTAGGAAAAAGTAAATTTTGAGAGAAAATTAATATAAGAGAATGAAAAATCAATTTAAGAAATATAGGAGGAAGTTTTTGATGAGATTATGCCATAAAATACACATATTTTCAAAAAAAAACAAAAATAAATTTAATCAATAGAAGATCCATTTTAATCATTTTCGAATAAAGATAATAAAAAGTTTAAAGAGATTACATAATTGATTAATATTGAAAAGATTGTATTAGAAAAGAATTTATCAAGATAAGACATTTATTATTATTTGTCGCTTTTTAAAGCATTAATGGATTCAGATTCAACAAGGAGAATAAAAGATATTAATTATCCTACATTATTTATAAGTGTAGAATAATTAAAGAGAGGGATAGCTTTTATAGCATTATATAAGAATATTGTAAATACAAAGAAATTAGCAGAGGTTTATAATCGCGAGTATCAATATTGTGAATTTATGGAATTTTTAGATATTTTTACAATATAAGATAAAATAAAAGAGGAAGAATTGAAGAATATAGAAATGAATGCAGATGATTCATAAGAGAAAGAGATGGAATAATGTGAATGAGAGAGTTAAGAATTTAGAAAATAATAAATTGATAAAAATTGATTAATTTTGATAATAATCTAATAAGGGTATTATAAAGCATCAAGTTAATTTATTTAATTAATTTGGTGGCTATCTACGTTAAGTGTTGAGAGAGTATTTAATGATTTCATTAATATAGCAGACTTCCTCTTAAATAGCTTCAAAATCTTGATGATCTTCTTCGATTTTATTATTTTGCAAATTTTGAACTTATAATGAATTTGATTATGTTCTTAAAGGTGTTACATCTACTATAATATAATATTAATAACTTGAAGAATTAGATAAAGAAAGGCTGGATATAGATTGACTAAGTAATTGATTCATTATAGGACTTCTTGCATAAATATCAGCAAAATGTTAAAATGGAGGAATGACATTAGGGGGAATAAATAATTAAGGTGCAGGTATTTAGAAAACAGGTGTAAAACACTTAACAAACCAAGGATGACTTAATGCTTATTTAGCAGTAAGTCTATATTGAGGATTAGGTGATAATAAAATCTGTAAGAGCTACAATGCTAATATTAAAAAAGATTTTACCTTCAGGTGTAATTTTATGTTATAAATTGTTAACTGTATAATCGATTTCACAATTATAATTCTTAATGACTAATTCATTTTTAGATTTAGTTTAAAAAGGAGATTGACCACTCAACCTTAAAATTTTTTAATTTTTAGTTACATTATAAACATTAAAATTCCAGCACTGAACACATCTACTTTGTAATCATAATTTTTCTCTTATAAAATTTCTGGCGCAACATATCCAGGTGTTCCACATCTTTTGAATAAATATTTTCCTTCTGGATTATAATAGTCAGCAAGTCCGAAATCTGCTATGCAAACATCAGATGCATTAAGTGGAGATCGAAGTATTAAATTTTCTGGCTTAAATATATATTATTTTATATATACTTTTATATCTCTATGAATTATTCCTTATTGATGCAAATAATCTAAAGAATTCAGTAAATTATGCATTAATAAAGCTACTTGAATTTCATTAAATCCTTATGGTTGATTTCTTAGATATTGGAATAGTTCTCCTCCTTCTAAATAATCAGTAATTAACTATATGTGATGCTCTGTTTCATAAACTTCATATAATCTGATTATTCCAGGAAACTATATTTTTCTCATTATGCTGATTTCTAATTTCAATGCATCCTAAAGCATATAATAAATTAAAATACTCTCTCTAATGTGAGATTTTTAAAGCTCTTTTTTTCAAATGACTTTACAGCATATGCAAAATTGTCTTTTCCAATTGCTTTGTAGACCTATTCATAATATATATATTTACTTTAGCAAAATTGCCTTATCCTTATACTTTCAAAAGTTTATAATCTTCATTAAAAGTTCTTTATATAGCATATTTTTTAATTAATTGAAACCATTGTTAGAATTCTAATTCATTAGATGTAAATTCAATGGATTTTTTATTTCTGCTTAGTTTAAATGTAGCAACTTTATTCGTATTTTCTAGGATAATGTTATTAAGATCAATGTGTCTTTTGTACATTTTATTTTCCACTTCAACTAGAAAGTCATTGGATATTAAAAAGTTTCCCTTTTTGCTATTAGAAGAATTTGATTTTTTTATAGTCATTACACCTGTTAATTGATAAGTTGATAGATCAGGTTTAGTTTTTTACCACAGAGGTTTATTGGGTTCTTCAAATAAAGATATAAAGTTAAATGTGGTTTCTTTATTCATTTTAGCAAATATATATTCAGAATTATTAATAAAAATTAAAATGATTTAAGAAAAAAAGTTCATGCTTATTTAAAATGACATCATCCATTTTCTTGGAAGTTTAGGTATTAGAATGAAAATTTTATTATATATTTTTAAATATGAATATAAGTTATAGTAATTAATTATCAGAATTATAAAGTAAGCAATGACCATCTGTATTCCATTTCATCAATAATTTATGATTAATCAGCTTCTTAACCTTACATCCAAGGATGTGATTGAATTTCAGATATCTATATTATAAAATAAATAAATAAATTTACTGATAATCTCCGATTTGGATTAAAGGCCAAAAGTTTTACTATTATATCCTTTAATTCAGCTGAAAACTCAAACTAATGTTTTTCCCAAAACTTCCCAATTTATTGTCTTTGTAATTATTCAATATATTACCTATAAATAAACTAATAATTTGGATCACATTTGACATTGGCATTATGAAATGGACTAGATCCAGCACAAATTTAAAATAAAATAACTCCTAACTAAAATAAATCTGCCTCTACTGGATGATATGGTTATCGAAGATATATCTCTGGAGCAGCAGTTTAAGGTGTACCAACAAAACTATAATCATAAAAATATAAATTACTCATTCACTTTTATTCTTCTTCCTTATTCATCCAAATATTGAACTGCAAATCCAAAATCACAAATCTTTAACTTATATTAATCATCTAATAATATATTTTCTAATTTTAAATCTCTATGCGCAATACCCATTTTATGAATCTTGTCAATTACTATAATAATATTTTCTACAAATAATACTAAATATCATTTGTTTAAAGAAACTTCTAGCTATGTTTTCTTCTAATCTTGATTATTGTAAGTATTATAATAAGTTTCCATACTTTGCATAATCCATCATTATACATCCTCTTACTAAGCTTTCTCTTATTCTTATCACACCTGAAATGTGACTCAACTTGTTCATTATTCGAATCTCATTTTCATATAGTTAATCTTGTTAACCTTTAAATACTTTTAATGCCATCAATTCTCCTGATCTTTAAACTAATTAGACACTAATTTTTAATTCATAATAAATACTCTGCTGAAAATCCACATCCTATTTTACTAATAATACTATATTCTTCTTCAATTGATGTTTAACACATATTGATAATAAAATTTATAATATAAGAACATTAGGATTATAATGGTTAAATATTATTAAGATTCAATGAAATCATTTTTAATTATTATTATTAAAGTTTATTCCCTTTAAAATTCAGATAAATCCAAAATTAGATATCATTTATTTGTTATTTGAATCATCAATCAAATTTCTATAAAACTCAGCTATATATTATTATTCATTTATTATTAAATTTATTGAAAATACATAATACTATAAATAACTAACATTTGTTCTCTATTATTACCATTTTAATATCTATATTTCAAATAATAGTTATCCATTGATCGCGTGGTGTAGGGGTTATCACGCGTCCCTAACAAGGACGAGGCCGCCAGTTCGAGACTGGCCGTGATCATGTTTTTTTTAATATTTATTTTTTATTACAATATTATATTAGGCAGGTGGCTTAATTACTTAAAACCTCTATATCTGTATATATGTCTAAATTTAACTATTTTATCTTTTATTAAAATATAGATATCATGCAAAATCTAATAATTCTACTTCAAATTTCAATGTTGAATTAGGTGGGATAACTGGTGGATATCCTTAAGCTCCATATGCATAATCAGGTGGACAAGTCAAAATAGCTTTCTCTCCTTTTGATAGTTTTGCTACTCCTTAATCCCAACCCTTTATAACTTTTCCTGCACCTAAAATAAATTAAAAAGGTTTTCCTCTTTTTCTTGATGAATCAAATTCAGATCCATCTAGTAAAGTTCCAACGTAATGTACTTTCACTTATTATCTATATTATTTTTATATATTACCCTTTCTAAGGAAATGATTTACCATCACCTGGAGTAATCGTCTCTACTTTAAATCCTTACATTATATTTTTAATTTATAAATATATTGAATAATTTTTTTGAAAAAATTACTTGTTAATCCTATTTATTTTTTACTTTCAAAACCAATTGTATTAAAAATATCACTTTATAATTATTGAATATGATTTCTATCTTAGTATTACAATCTATTATATTTGAAATTCAGATGGAAATTCATCTTTTTATTTTTAATAAAGATTTTTTAAATTCATTTACTAATTATATAAAAATAAGTTCAAATTTAAATTATCTATTTACTATTTGGTATAACTTCATTATCATTCATTCTAAATTTATTTTATTGATTTTATGCCTAAACAACTTATATTTCTTCTTGAACTTTTTAATATTTTGAATTTAAACTCATCACCTATTGTCTAACTTCTTATAATTTTTAGTCATATTATTTTGTAACCTCAGTTGCTGGATCAAATTGATACATTAAGTTATTCAATTTATTTTTTAAAATAACAACAGAATTAGATTTCAATCTTAAAATATGTTCCAATTGACAAACTTCTCTCTACAATTATTCAATCTAAAATATTATTCAAATATATACTTTAACATTATCATCTTTTTTTTAGTCTTCTTTCTACTGTTTTAACTTACAAATCTTGGCCCATAATTCATATAAATATGCTTCCAATTCAAAAACTCTATGTTTCCAAAATAATTCTATATCCTCTTAAGTGTAAACTACTTTTTTCTCTTTAATTTATGATTATTGATAAAATTCTTCTATATATTATGGAACTTATGATGTAGGAGAATATTAGGTTTGATATTTGTAAGCTTTTTTTAAGTTTTCATAATCTTCTTTTTTCTCTTATAAAGCTGATTATAACTATCTATAAGCTTGATTAGATTACTGAATTTCTTCAGTTTAATTTTGTAATTTTTCTTCTAATTCTTTTTATTTTGATTGTAATTCTTATTAAATTAGTGAAGATACTTATAGCTCTTTAGAAGTAATGAAATCTTGAGAAGATTATTAAACACTAGGAATTTATTGCTAAATAAATGATTATGGTGGAACTATATATTATGAATGAATTAAAATTGGAGATTATTACATAGAAATTTTCTAATTTTAATTCAGAACTGGAGACACTGAAGTAAGGGAATTTTATAAATTAATTATTTGAGGATTAGAAGTTGCAATCCTTGGTGGAGTCATTATTTATTATTATTTGAATATTGAAGGGGATAAAGCATTGTTTTCAATTATTTTTCTTGAAACTATTCTTTCTGGAGAAACATAAACAACTAAGGTTATATAAAATAGATACCTCTTCCCCTTATTGCTTATCCTGTCATTAGATGATTTGATTAAAAGTTATGGCTATCTGATTAAATAGAATGTTCTCCTTATTAACAATATGGGCATTATGGTTCATATTGATCAGAATAATATGTTATTTCTCCAATTGATTAAGACTATATCTACATAAATTTATTTATAAGTATTTTAAATAATTTTTATCAAATACATGGTTAATTGTATGATAATAGATTATTTATAAAATGAAGTTATTGAATCTAAGTTTCTTATGTATAAGGTAGGCTAAAAATAAAAGAACGAAATAATTATAATAGAATTTGTTGAAAGAAAAATCTTGATATCTTTAATAAAATACAATAAAAATTTTATAAGATGAAAAATTTATAAGTTGTAAAAAGAGAAAATAATAATAAATAAAAATTATTTTGAATATTTGTGCTTATAAGTCACTTGATCATCTGATATTAAATAAAAAGCAATAATTTATGAAAAATGATAATTATAATTGGATAATGAAATCAATGTTTAATATCAAATAAAGTTGAAACGCTTTCCTTTTTTTAGACTCTATAAATGGCTTCAGCTAATAAGGGAGCTTAAAGTTAACTAATAAATTACCAACAGATAATCTACATATTTTATCTCCTAAGACTTCTTCTTGAGTTTTAGGAGGAATAGTGTTTGTAACTATAATTTAATCTAAAGATGGACTAGATAGATTAGTAAATGCTTTGCCAGAAAATAATGCATGAGTAGCAAATGCAAATACTCTATTTGCACCTTGCTCTTTTAAGACTTTTGCAGCTTCAGAGAGTGTACCCTAAAAGAAATGTCATAAATTTTACTGCTGTATCAATCATATCATCTACAATAATACAATCTTTTCCTTTAACAGATCCAACTAGATTCATTTATGCAATTTTTCCTGGTCCTTCTCTTTATTTAATAATCATTGCTAAATGAGATTACATTCCAGGATGATGTTAATCAAATTATTCTTGAAATTTCTTTGCTCTATAAACACCACCTGCATCTGGTGAAACAACTGCAACATCTTTGAATTCATATTTCTTTTATAAGGATAAATAATTTTAAGCAACTAAATTTGCTTCAAGATTATCTACTGGTACTCTAGGTCCAAAAAACCCTTAAATTTATCCACAATGTAAATCTACAGATATTAATCTATCTACTCCTACTGTTTCTAATAATCTAGCAACATCTGCTGCTGATATTGGAACTCTTGGTGCACATTTTCTATCCTATCACAAATACATATAAATAATAACTTGTCTTGCATATCCATAATAAGGAACTACTACAATAATTTTTCTTGCTGATGCTCTTCTTAATGCAGACACTAATAATAATAATTCCATCAAATTATCATTTACTGGAGGTGATGTTGATTGTATTATAAAAACATCTTTTCCTCTAATATTATCAAGAACCTATTATATATATTATGTAAACTTAAATTTGACATTCTCCATCTGCAAATCTTCCAATTTTGACGCTGCCTAATTTAATATTCAAATATTCAGCAATCTCTATATATTAATTATTAACAATGATACCTTCAGCTAGCTCTTTATTAGATGTACCAGATAATATAATTGTATTTTTACTAAAATAGAAATATTAGTTTATACTAAAAATCATCTTCAGGTTGTAATGTTCTTTTGAATGCTCGATTAAGCTTATCACCATATTGTTTGATGTTTGGATTAACCTATAAGCTTAATCTCTATCTATAACAAATTGTAGATAATAATCCAACTAACATCAACTGTTTGGCATTATTTCTAAAGATATTAAATTGTCGAAATGAGCTGAAAAGTTTAGTAAACATAAAAAATAGATATTTTTTAATCGAATATCTATGAGATTTAAACTATTTATAAGATGTCACGTTTTTGGATACTATGAAAGCATATTAGATCATAAATTTACAGAATTAAGTGTATTATTTTCATTAATTATCTAATGCTTATATAAGTTTAAGATATAAAATATATAAAATTCTTATTTAAATACATTTGAAGATTGAAAATGTCTGATGATTAAGATAAACAATAAGAAGATGATTGTATGAATTAATATTGTCAAAATGATTCACCATAAGTTTGGCCAGCTAAATTCAGCAATTCAACTCTATTATTCTGTTAGGAATGTTTAAATTTATATAATGAAAAAAGGTGCTGTTATTTTTGTGCATAAGTATAATTTTACATTCAAATAATAAGGTATACTCTGATGATAATTAAAATTTTTTGGATGGGTAAAAATGGATTGGTTGTGATTGTGAAGGTTGCGAAAAATGGGTATTAAATTTATTTATAGTAGTTTAGACTCATTTATAATGTGAATAAAAAAATGGAATTTCTGAAATTGATATCTTCATAGAAGANTTTTCTATCCTATCACAAATACATATAAATAATAACTTGTCTTGCATATCCATAATAAGGAACTACTACAATAATTTTTCTTGCTGATGCTCTTCTTAATGCAGACACTAATAATAATAATTCCATCAAATTATCATTTACTGGAGGTGATGTTGATTGTATTATAAAAACATCTTTTCCTCTAATATTATCAAGAACCTATTATATATATTATGTAAACTTAAATTTGACATTCTCCATCTGCAAATCTTCCAATTTTGACGCTGCCTAATTTAATATTCAAATATTCAGCAATCTCTATATATTAATTATTAACAATGATACCTTCAGCTAGCTCTTTATTAGATGTACCAGATAATATAATTGTATTTTTACTAAAATAGAAATATTAGTTTATACTAAAAATCATCTTCAGGTTGTAATGTTCTTTTGAATGCTCGATTAAGCTTATCACCATATTGTTTGATGTTTGGATTAACCTATAAGCTTAATCTCTATCTATAACAAATTGTAGATAATAATCCAACTAACATCAACTGTTTGGCATTATTTCTAAAGATATTAAATTGTCGAAATGAGCTGAAAAGTTTAGTAAACATAAAAAATAGATATTTTTTAATCGAATATCTATGAGATTTAAACTATTTATAAGATGTCACGTTTTTGGATACTATGAAAGCATATTAGATCATAAATTTACAGAATTAAGTGTATTATTTTCATTAATTATCTAATGCTTATATAAGTTTAAGATATAAAATATATAAAATTCTTATTTAAATACATTTGAAGATTGAAAATGTCTGATGATTAAGATAAACAATAAGAAGATGATTGTATGAATTAATATTGTCAAAATGATTCACCATAAGTTTGGCCAGCTAAATTCAGCAATTCAACTCTATTATTCTGTTAGGAATGTTTAAATTTATATAATGAAAAAAGGTGCTGTTATTTTTGTGCATAAGTATAATTTTACATTCAAATAATAAGGTATACTCTGATGATAATTAAAATTTTTTGGATGGGTAAAAATGGATTGGTTGTGATTGTGAAGGTTGCGAAAAATGGGTATTAAATTTATTTATAGTAGTTTAGACTCATTTATAATGTGAATAAAAAAATGGAATTTCTGAAATTGATATCTTCATAGAAGATACTAAATATAAATATATTTGTCCTTGGTGCAGAATCGAAGATTAAAGGTAAAGATTTTCAAAAGGTCCTTATCGAATTATGAACAAAAAAACATTAAAATTTTTAGATAAGTTAAATCGAAGACAATCAAATGCAAATGAATAATCTTAACATCTGAATTAGACTAATGGAAATTAATTTTATTATTGTCCTTCTGCATCTAGTAAATAATCTTATCTTGAAGAATTGCTTAAGAAAAATGGTATGAGTTACATAATTCTATCTTAGGTGGATTTTGTTAGTAGGCTACATAAGAGGAAATATAAGTAGATCTCTAAAAAATGATGTCTTTAATGAAATATTGAATAAATATGTATATACTTTATTTTATATATTACTCGTATATTCAATTATTTGATGAAGCAAGAAACTATTAAGAATTACCATATCTACTCTATTAATGAAGATGAGGTTGAATTTCTATATAACCTTCAAGTTTAGTTAAGTTAAGAAGATGAAAGTGTCTGATATTTTAAAAATCTCCAACTGACTTTATTACGGCTGTAAAACTGAATTCACTACCTCTTTCTAATTTTTCAATTTCAGAAGCTAAAATCTTTTGAATTAAAAATTACATAATTGAAATGCTACTTCACTATCAGCAGTTAATAATAAGTCAGGATGGAATTCACTCTCTGCAGGATCCATCTTTACTAAAATATTAACAGAATGATGTAAAAACTTCATTAATGATTATTAATTATCTTCTACTCTTATTGCATAACCTAGTATTATTTTTTATTTATTTACCTTTCCAATCAACAATCGTACGATCTATGTATTTTTATTCACAACTTTAATAAGATTAGCGATTTTAAAATATTTTCTCTTTAGAGCACTTCTCTAAATAATCTGTCCAAGTATCTGTAATTGTTATATTTGGTGTATAATGTTAATGATAATCCATCCATTATTAAGTTGGTATATCCATTATTCTATACCACAATACTCCTAATGTTAAGATTAATAATAATATTCCAATCACTATTCTTTTTGTTAATATTACACCAAATTCTCCAATTTTAAATGACATCATCTTTTAAAATAGATTAATACTCATACTGAATCCTTTACACCTAACACGTGAAATACTTTTCCATCACCACCAATATCTTCATTACATGCAGAACATCTAAATTCATTTTATTTAAACTACTTATGAATTAAGGTTCTCGTTATTATCATTATTACTGGAATTAACAAACAACTTGGCATCAGTCCAAAAATCAACAAAACTAAAAAACACGTAATATAGCTTATATATCCATTCTTAAAAGTAACTGTTGAAACTGTTGAATTTGAACAAAAAGGACACTTTATTTGTTTTGGTCTTCATCATATTTATATTTACTAATCTCCCAACACTAATTCATTATTAGCTAACATATTCTATATGTTATTTTAATTTTTTTATATTATTAAAATTTAACTTATTACCAAATAATCTAATTGACATATAATCAAATAGATGATAAAAAAATATATTATAATTATTCAATTTAACCTTTTTAACATTGATATTGTATGTTACTCTGTTAAAATTGAAATTGGTAAAGTAATTAATGCTAATCTTGTTCTAATTAATTTATTATTAGTTTTAATGATAATCACCATGTAGAATATAGCATAAGATATTCCAACAAATACTCCAACAATTCCGTAATATAAATATATGTAATTCAAATTTTCATCCAATATTCCATAAATACTTGAGTATATGATATCCAAAAATGTATTGGTTCCATCATTAGTATCTAAAAAATGAGCCAAAACAGCATTTCTAAACTCTTTCATGCTTATTTATTTTAAACATAAATCAAGATCAGGTTAAAATTATTTAAACTCTATTTCATAATCAAAAAATTAATTAAATAATGTATCTAATCTGCTTATTACTCCAACAATACCTTTATTAACATATTCTTAATTATCATCTTATGGTAAGTCAGGTCTACCAAAAGTTTATGTAAATTTTTCTAATCCAAATTCTTCAAAATTACACATTGGTATTTCATCACTCAATTCTAAACAAAAGTCTTCTTAATAGAGGGTAAATAATTACTATTTATCTTCTATCTTAATTTTATTTGACTTTAAAATACTTTCATATATTGAGGTTAAATTTTCTGAATAAATTTTACTTAAATCACTGAATAATTCAGCAATATCATTTGTTTATATAAATGAATCTATTGTTGCTTTATCATAAATTTATTGTTCAATTAAGGTATGATAAACTAATTACTGGGTCTTAAGTATTAAAGCACATGCCATTAAAGTATCTAACTTTTATGTAAATTTAATATAATTTCCAGTTAATTCTTAGGAAGGACCTAAATCAGAAATTTATTAAGAAAATAACAAAAATCCTCCAAATAACATCACAGATATTATCATAAAAATTATGACTAACATAATTAGATAAGATAATAAATTTATTTAAGTGTTATAAATTCTTGAACTTAAAACAACATTAATATTTCTTTTTGTTTATTATTATTTTCTATTAACATTATTGTTTTCCTACTAGTGAATTTTATTTTTATTTATATCAAAATGATTTTTTAAAGCTAAGTCTTTGATAATTCGAGACTATTAGTTCAATAATTCAAAATTTAATGTATTTAGAGATGAATAATTTAATGAATAATAATTTTGTTTTTTCCAACTATATTTTCCACTTTATTAAGTTAATGTTTCTTTAATTAATGAAGCCCGTGCAATCAATTCATTTGCATCACTTTCTTATAATCTTCCTGTTAAAAGCATTAGTTGTTGACTATAATTTTAAATTTGTTTCCAAAAATAAAGTTCAATTATCAAAATGACAGCAATACAAATTACTTCAACTATTACTTAAGTCTACATTTCATCAACCCTAAGATTAGTTTGTGCTAAAAATACAATATTCAAAGATTCAATTAACTCTGACGACATCAAATATAATTAGTTCAAATTATATCTCAATAAAAATAATTAATCGAAATAATCTTTAGTTAATACTGTAGAGAAATCCTTTATTTCGGTTTTTACTATATTTACAACTCTATCCAGGGTTCCTTCAATTAAATTAATAAAATATGGAAATTTAACTTTTTCTGTGTTTCCTTTTAGAAAAGTAAAAGTTTAGGTTGATAACATTCCTCTTTATTCTATTTCAATAAACCCTAAATACATATTATTAATTTCATCATATATTTCACTAGTTGTGTTATATAAATCACTATATGTTTATTCTTTCATAAATTAACTCATGTCAACAATATCTAAAGTTCCCACAATAAGACTCCATGTAAATGAAATAACTTCCAAATAACTTCTGTTTAATATAAAAGGTCCATTTATATCATTTATAGTTAAAGAAGTATCTTAATTACTAATTGTAATAATTACTAAATGAACAGTAATCAATATAATAATAATGATAAAAACACTTAAACTACTAAGTGTTATAAATTTAAGTCCTTTAGTTAAATGAGTAGTACTTTAAAACTTTTTTATTATTTATATTGCTGAATTACCAGAAGTAGCTGAAGTCATACTAGATTTAGATTTTAATGCTTCTAAATCTTCTTCTTCATGATTTTTTCCCTTCATTTTATTTTTTTTCATGATTTCTAAAATATCATTTTTTTTTTCTTTTTCATGATCACTACTAGATTTACCAATATGTTATTATTTTTATTATTTAAGTGAATCATCAATATCAAATTCTTCTTCAGGATCTAATTATAAGTTTTTTCCTTTTTACATAATAGCACTAGCACTATTAAGTTAAATTCCAAGATAATTAAAATCCTAATCTAATTTAACAATTTCTTCTAATTCTCCTTCCTTTTAGTTTGGATTGATGAATTAAGCTCTTTACGATAAAGGACCATAACTCATACTATCTCTGGCAGAATCTAAATTAAATAAACCAACATCTTAATCCTATCTATTTTTTTTTGATGGTCCTAATCTTTCTAAAAGATCTGTCACTCCACAACCAATATCTTTATTTACAGGTACTATTTCAGAATATGGTTATTCTGATTAAATAAATCCAGAGACATTTAATGTTTACTCTTCTCCTTATGTTGTATCTAAGATTTATTATGCTATTACTATGATTATTATTTTGAAGAGAATATTTACTATCATTTGTTTAATAAATTTATGTTTCAGACAATGATTTCCCTATAAGATCTTTCTTCCTTATATCAACAATCTCAAATATAAAAAAGGATCTGTGGTAATTTTCCCTACCAATGCTTTTAAGATTTAATTAAAATTTTATTAAATATTTTTCTGCTGGTTTTCCCTATAATATTTCATATATGTAATACTTCAATGCTTTCTAAATATTATAAAATTTCATTTTAATATTATTTGTTTAATAATGGGATTCCATTATATTAAATTGGCTTTAGAGATTCTTCAGATTGTTTTCTATTTAAATCAATTTAAGCTATTTAATCTTATTAATGTTCTTATAAATCATTTTATTATATTGAAATTGTACCAATTTTCCTTGACAAAGATCCTTCTGACATCTACACCCTTTTGGGCAGATAAGATTTTTAAAAATGACTACTACTATTTGGCATATTTATATTTTATGATTAAAAATTCTAAATCAATTCTATTAGATTCTCTCTAACCTAAAAAATACAAGAATCTTCAATAAATAATCCTTCATAATCTTATGAAACCAGTTAGTTTTTGTATGAATCAATGATCTTAATTAATGATGGGAAAAACATATATATATAGCATTAACTAGTCAATCTTTATAATGTAAATTTTTCATTTTAATTTTAAAAGTAGGCTTAAAAGAAATTTTAAGTACTACCCCAAATTTTACCATCATCTCCAAAAATTAAAAAATCTACTCCTCTTTTCACTTGAGACATACATCCCATTATTACATAATCATCTTAAATTAGAAAATTATTGTCAATCTTTAATTATTATGCTACCAAATAACCTTATCTATCTGAACTAAAAACAATATTATAAGATTAAAATAGTTTAGACTTTGCTTATTATAAATAATCTTCTAATAAATTATCATGTATCATCGATAAAAATGGAGGCATTAACTAATTAATATATTATATTTATTAGAATTCTTTATCATCATAACCAAAGTATTGAGACAATCCTCTCTTATCTTAATTAATTATTTAACCTAAATTTCGAACTAAACTTATCATTATTAAAGCTACTTTATCTTCAACCAATGTAAAGTTTGTGATAACATCAGAAGATAATGTGTGTTCAATATTGAAGATTTCTTATATTAGAAATTCGCATTAAGCTGAATTGTAATAGTCATTCATTATCGAACTATAAAAAATTGAAGCAATTTTTAATTCAAGAACATTGCAATTTGTTCCAATATGTCCAATATTTTCTATGTCGAAAGATAAATTTGATAATAACAATGTTTAAAGAGTTTGTACTTTTTAGCTCAAATTAATTGACTCATCTTAAAATTCATATATTGTTTTGTAACCTTTTATTAATTGTTCCCAAAAATAAATTTTAGCATCCATTAACTTTATTATATTTGGAATGTAAAGTTCTTCAAAAATTATTGATTTACTTATATGTACTATATCCAAAGATTATTTTTCTTATTCTCTATTTTAAGTCTAATAAATATTGGATAACTGTTGTTTTTAAACAGTCTATTGTAAATTATTGTTGATTTACTTCTTCATAAATTTAAAGAAGTAAGATTATTGTTGTTAATTAAAAACATCATATTTTCTAAATTCAACTAAACTTAGTAATGGTTTTTTGCAATAATGAGACAAAAAATTAGTATATATTAGTTATATATCTTCAAAAGAAACTTTTGCATTTTATTTTGCTAATTTTAGTTGACTTTATAAAAATTGAATAATAAATTTTCTTGATGAAAAATCTTAAAAATCCTAATGGTTTATATGTCTATTATTTTATAAGTGATATACAATATAAGTATAATAATAAAATAATTTTTTCTATCTTACTGTTTTTTTTAAATCTTATGATAATTCATAAATTCTTTAGACTAAATCTATAGCTTTGCTTGATGATAAAAGTCTTTAGTGAGATTAATGAAATATTTTTCTCTCAAAAAGAATTTCAGAAAAATAGAATGAAAAAGATCCGATCAACATCACACTTTCTAATATCATACTTTATTTCATTATAGAGTTTTCTGAAAGAATGTTTAGGGTGATTAGTAAAGATATAGAAAAAAGTGTTAAGTATAATTTAAAATTAAATTCATTATTTGGAGGATAGTAGGAATTTAAGATAAAATTATCAATCATTTATAATAAGATCAAACAATTAATGAGAATAAAAAATATATAGATGTTAAAACTATTTGTTTCAAGTAAATATACTGCAAACATAATTGCTTTTAATAAGATATAAAGTACTTAATTGATTGAATACTTACTCTATAAAATAGAAAAAGGCTTAAATGAGAAGGATCTGAAAAGGTAAACACTTATGTATTATGATAATATTGTCAACATTAATCCTGCTAATCCAAGAAAAAATATTGGGTATTAAGAACATTTTAAAGTTTATTATGATTGGAACTTTTAACAAAAAATTTGATTTCCATAAAATAAAAGAAATAAATTACCAATTGATAAATTAATGTGGAGAAAATAAAAATTAGCAACTCTAAACATAAAATGAAGTATTCCATTATTAAATTCTATATTTGGTGAAATTTTTCTAAATAAAGTTAAAATAGAAATAAATATAATAATAGATGACTAAAAGGCAAAAAAGAGTCCTGCGATTATTTAGTGAAGGATTTATTCGTTTATTGAAATGGGTAAAATTAATAAACAATTTAGTACTTGCTTACAGTATTTAAATACTGGATCCCATTAGTAATTCCATAAATTCCAGCCATCATTTGGAAATAATAGCGCTAAAAATTGTAAAGCATAAATTAAAAGCTAAACTTTGAAATATCTATCTGACAATGATGTAGGATTTTTGTAAAAAGCAATTTCACTTAGGACTTCAATTAATAAGTATCCCATTGATAAGGTTAAAATCAATAATAATATTTATCATTTTTATCTAGTTATAATTGAAATGTAATAACAACAAAAATAAAGTATTAACAAAAATTAATTGATTTTATGTAAGTTTATGAAAATAGTAAAAGTAATTAAAGTTATTTAGAATAAGTAAAAAAGAATGGTTTAAATTTAAATTAAATAGATCTGGTTATATTTATAAATGGTAAGCTTAGAAATATAAATTATGTTGTGTGATATTATTTGTATTTATTATTATAAATCATTATTTTGCTTAAAATGCTCTATAATGACTAATAAGAGTTTTGGTTGCACTATTAGCATTAAATCCTGTAAAATCTAAATTATTATGGTTATCAACATTTTTTAAAAGAACTGATCTAACATTTTTAGCAAGTACCTTTCCTAATTCGACACCCCATTAATCAAATGGATTGATTCCCCAAAGAATACTATGTAGAGAAGATATTAATACCCTTCAACAAGAACTCGATGTTCATAGAGTGCTAATAATTATCCGACATTATATGGATTAGCCTCATTTTAGAATAGAATTTATAAACTACATCTATCTCCCGGGAATACTTTATGATGTTATAATTCTTCCTTAACTCCTTCAGCAATAACTTCTTCTTTAGTTTTACCTCTGGCCAAAGCATCAACTTAAGCAAAGTAATTTGACATCAATTCATCATGTTAATCTCTTACAGCTGCTGGATTAATGGCTCCAGTTTCAGCTTAAGATCTAGCATAACCAATAAATTCACAAGGTATAACTTATGAACCTTAATGTATTAATTAGAAAAAGGAATGTTAAGAGTTTGTTCCTGGTTCACCAAAAATAAATGGACAAGCAGATCTCAAATATTAATCATGTTTATCTGGATAAACAAGTGCTGTTTTACCATTACTTTCCATATGAACTTATTAAACATGAGCAGGAAATCTTAATAAACATTAAGCATAAGGAATTAAAGCCAATGCTTAATATTTCTAAATTATATTTATATATATTTATACTTATATACTTGCTCTATACCATCCTAATAATCCTAATAGAACAGGTAAATTCTTATTTACTTATTTTTCATTAACAAGATGTTAATCAATAGAATTAGCTCCATGTAAAACTTATGCTATGTAATCATAACCAAATTAAAGACTTAATGGTAACACTCCAATTGCACTTGTAACACTATATCTACCTCCAACCCAATCCCAAAAACCAAATACTCTCTATTCATTGATTCCGAATTTACCTGTTTCTGCTAAATTTGTAGATACAGCAGTTAAATGTGATTCCAAAATTTCCTTATGTTATTAAAAACTATTACTTTTTCATTTTCATGTCCTAATAATTTGAATTGTTCCAAAATCCAATTTCTACATACTTTTGCATTCATAATTGTTTCTGCTGTTGTAAATGTCTTAGAATTAATTACAAAAATTGTCTCTTCTACATTTAAACCTTATAATGCTCTAATTGTATCTACTGGATCTACATTTGCTAAGAATCTTAATTATCTTCCTTTTGATTTCTATTATCCCTCATTATGTGTTCTTAATGCCTCATAAATGAATTCTATTCCTAAATAACTTCCTCCAATTCCAATTACTACTGTATTCAATAATTATTTCTTTGTGTATCCTAAAAATGTTCCTGATCGAACAGATTCTGTAAATGCTTTAACTCTATTCAAAATTTAATACACATCTGGTACTACATTTTAACCATCTACTATAACTTATTATCCTTCTGGTGTTCTTAATGCTGTATGTAATACTGCTCTATTTTCAGTGGAATTAAATTTGATCTAATTATATATTATAATTCAATACTCCTGATTAGACATCTTTAAGAATTCCAAAAAGATTGGTACTATCAGCTAATTATTGAAATTATCCAATCAATTCAGTATCTACTTTTTCATGAGAATAATCCAATAATATTCCATCATATTAAGCTACCATATGCTTGTTTCTATCTTCATTATCAAGTAAAGTTCTTAAATGGGTTTTAGATAAAACAGTCTCATAATGCTAGGCAATCTTCTATTGTATATCCATTAACAATTATATTAATTTTATTTATCAAAAATCACCTTATTTTTTATAAACTGAATCAATTTAAAATTGTGATGTAATTTTAATATTAATATAAACTGTTTTATGAAGAATATAAATACTGCTAGAAAGGTCAAACTACATATATTTTTATAATCCTGTTTGGCTTTTTTAAACATATTTTACAAAGCTCTAGTTTATTTGAACATTCATAACAACAAAATCTATGTCCACATTCCAAAAAAACCTAAAAATCAATTACAATAATACAGAATTAATATCTTTCAATTAACAGATTTAACATAAATTGAATTCTTACTCTTCTTTTAATCTTTATTCTAATTCATTTACTTAATTTTTCAAGATACTTATAAGTCCATTTTCTTTTGGAATAATAGTTGATTGTATTTCTAATTATGAAATGCTAGATAAGTCACTAAATCTATGATCAAATACTTATATTGAGTACCTTTTAATGATAAAGAATATTAAAATTACATATCATTATTTTTTTTAGTTCCATCATTCCCACCAATTAAATAAATAGTTGTTTCATATGAACATAATTAATGAAATGTTCTTGCTGAAGGAGTGTTACCTGCTGTCTCGATAAACTTCCATTCTTTCAATTCACAATTAAATTCATAGAGATCATTATATCGAGTCATAGCAGCATCAACACCTCCAAATATATATATACTATATCCAATTATAGTACTACTGTGCCTATACCGAGAAGGAGGTTTATTTCTCACTTTCTCCAAATACCAATAATTTGAAGCAAATGAATATGTGTACTAATATTTAATTAATATTGTACAAGTTCATCTAATGTTTTGAAACCATCCCAACCTCCAAAAACATACATTTGATTTTTATAAACTTCTGCAGTATGACCAAATCTTGGAGATGGAATTTATCCATGAGTTTACAATTTGAGCCATTAATTATTCTGGATATCAAAACAATGTAAATCATTAAATCGATTACTACCATCTGCCCCTCCAAATACATATAATTTTTCATTATTAATGACAAGAGACATATCAACTCTAGGTTAAATTTCTCTAGTAGTTCTGATTTAATTCCATTATCTTAACTTTGTATCAAATACATATAAATCATTAAAGTATTCTCCTCTTCTATTAGTATATCCTCCAAAATAATAAATATCATGTTAATGTGCAACTCCTTTACAACCTGATCTTGGAGATGGAGGTATTCCTTTAGGTACAATTTATTCCCATTATTTTTTAAATAGATTATAAGAATGCATATCATTAACAATAGTTGTATCATCTGATCCACAAAATAAATAGAGATTCTCTTAACATTATACTACTGAATGCCCAGTTCTTGGAGTAAACTTTCTAATTTTCATTCATATATTTACATTTCTTAATTAGTTTCAATCTTCCATTCATAATATTTACCTAATTCTAAAAATGAAGTTCCTTCTTCAATATTTTGTACTTCAAATGGAATATCTTATAAGAATTCTTCTCTTTCAACTGTATGACTTCGATAACTCATTAATGATGATTGAGGTTATAGATCGACCAAATTGGCCATCTTAACTTAATCTAAAACTTAATATTTACTTAAGAAAAATTAAGAATTGAGAGATCTTAATAATTTAAACCTCCGATGACTAAAATGTCTTCTCGAGATTAATTCAATAAACATAGCATTGTATGTTACACACGAGGATATGGATGTCTACTTACTTTAGGTAATTCAATCCATTTTAATGTGACTATATTTAATGCATAAAAATTATCATTGCATCTTTTGCCATCGAATGTACATCCTCCAAATATTATTAAATATTCTTTCATAGCCAATACAGCTTAATGTCTAAATATTTACAAAGGATTTTTAATTTCTAATCTTATCCAAGTTCTTAAATCCACTAATAACCAGACATCATCCAATATTATTTATCCATCACTACCTCCTGTTATTATTATTGTGTCTTCATAAACTGTACATTAATGACCAAATCTATGTGCAGGTTCAAATTCTATTTAATTCCATCTAATACTATACATACTTATTTTTACTTATCACTTCCTATTGTGTACGTTTTACAATCATTAAAAATTTTTTTTTATGTCCTTCCACCAATTATTAATACTTAACCTCTATACATACACATACTATGTTCAACTCTCCCTGTTGGAGAGCTTTTTATTTAACGGAATTTCAATTGTACTACATCAATTTCCAAAAATTCATCAAGTAAAATAGTCCCTTCGATATCTATACTTCCACCATAACAATATATTTTCCCTTGATTCATTACAAATTAACTATTATATCTATTGTTCATATACAATTTTCACCTAGCCTTAAATGGAATTCCATTGTATAATCTCCGCCATTTAAAATCAATTAAGCTTAGACTATACAAATCATTCTATTTATAGTTATCAACTATTAAATATAAATTATCCTCATAAAATGTGCAAGGATTTGTTATTTTATTTGGTAATGTTCCTTATAAACGTTGAATTTCCCACTTTAATCCAATTTAAGACATTATATTATTTGATTATAAATTATAGAATAATTTTTAGAACATTTTTACCCAATTTTTTACAAGAATCTACTTCTATTTCTAACATTTACTTTTATATAAATTAAATTTAGTTAACTTAAATTATCATATCAATATTCATATTCGTCTAACAAATTGTAACAATATTCTTTTGGCTCCTTATCTTCAAAATATTCTCTTTCTTCTATCCTTATTTTCAAATTTTAATCTGCTGTTGCCTTTGCATCTACTTCACTCCCTTTCTTAATATTTTATTATTATTTATTACCTATATTACTCCTGATTAAAAAGTTTCCTCTTCAACTTGTGGTTTATTATACATTGAAAGCATTTCACCCCTGCAAATGTCAATTTCTTACTAAGCTTCATTCAATTTAATTTAAAGATCCTCTATTTATTTCTGCAAAAGTTCTCTCTCTTTTTTCAATTCTTCATTTTCTTTTTATATTTATTCTATTTATAATTATTACTTTTCTTTTTCATTTTTCAATTTTTATTATTCTACTGAAATTTCTTCTTTTAATTTATAACTTAGATCAATTTATGTCTGTATCTCTTTTTATTAAATATTTAAATAAGTTCGATTGTTATCTAATTCATTTTTATCAAATTAAAATTATTTGAACTTTTCTTCCAATTCACATATCTCTTAATTCTTATTTTATTTCAAATACTAAAACCTCTATTCTTCTTCTTTTAATTATTTTCTTATTTCTTCTAACTATTCTTATATTATATTTTTTTCATTTTAATATTTTATTATCTCTTATTTAACAATATTCTATTCATTATCGAATTTCTATTTAATCTCTTATTATATAACAATTTCTTGCTTTAATTTTTATAAATTTATTTCATCCTTTTCAATTTTCTCAGTCAATAACTTCAGACTATTATTTTCAATTAAAATTTATTCTTAAATTAATTTGAGTTCATTTGAACTTTTAGTTTACTCTCTAAGTATACCATTCAATTTTTCTTCCATTTCTTTCACATTTTTTTCAATATTTTTTAATTTTTAGGACTCTTGTATTTTTTTTTCCTCTAACTATTCCATTAATTTGTTTTCTTAAATTTCTAAAGCTAGATGCTATTAATCTATTAATTTTTTTTATAGCTCTAATTGTTGTTATTTTAATTCAGATTCTTAATTTAATTATGCTTATCGTTAAAATTCAATATCCAAACTTTTTTATTTTAGTTCTTAATCCATTTTTATCTATTCTATATTCTATTTTTCTAATTTGTTTCTTTCCTCTTGAATTTAATTTTGTTCTCTTTCTCTTTTTTATCTTTCTTTCTACATAACTTCATTATGGTAAAGCTCCTCTCTTTGCTTTTTCTAGATCTCATTTTACATTCTTTTCATCTCTTACACTTATTAAAGACTCTATTTCTTTAAAAACTCTTATTGAGAAAGACCAATTAAAGGTTTACTTTTTGATTTTAAAGAAGAGACACTTTTTTAAGGGGAAAACATTTCTTGACTTGTAATCGCACTACCAAATGTTTTTGTGCTTTATGACTATTGCAACTTTGAATTCTTTTAAGCTTGTACTAATATCAAATGAAGTAGAGGTTTTTTTTTGTCTTCTATTGTTAAATTTAATCTTTTAGCAATTGAATCTCTATTAATTTCTTCCCTGAGATTAGCTTCACTAATTTTTTTGTTTAATCAATACCTTGAAAAAATAGAGTTTGTATAACTCATTTCATAAAATTTTAAAAATTCTTTTATTAGTTCAAGCAATTCTCGACCTGTTTCTAGCTCTTTTATTGACTGAATTCGTTTATTTTCGGTATAAAATGGAGACATTTTTTAAAGGTTGTCCTGAGGATCAACTACATTAAAAACTGAGGCTCTAATTGATGCTCTAATTTTTGCCAATTAACCATTTGTTTCTAAAGTTTACATTATTAGATTTTTCAGCTCTGTCAATTCTTATTGCATCTATTATTTTATTAAAATTTATTTTATTAAGTAGCAATAAATATTTAATTTAGTATATTTCAGCGTTTTGCTTGAAACTTCTTATTAATAAATAAAATAAAATTTTTAACTCTTATTAATCTAGAGAATCTTTTATGAATTATAAAAATAAATCTTTCAGAAAATTTATATACAAAAATATTGCATATTAAAATAAAAACTTTTATAAATTCTTATGATTTCAATAAAAATATCTTAAAATTAAAGAAGTCATTCTAAAATAAGCTAATTTTTAATCAAAATTGTTTTAACTCAATAATTATTTAGTTATCTTCAGAATATAAACTTTATTAATACAAAAATTATTTAAATTTCAGCTTGCATCTATTTATTATTCAAAATAATATATTACTTAATCTAATATTTAAAACAATTTATTTTCTTTTACAAATATTCTCAAAAATTAAATAGAGGGCAAACATAAATAATTTGGAGAAAAAAATACTAAATATATTTTTGAGTAAAAATTTTAGTACATCTAACGAAAAATAATGTTTCATATATTATTGTATATTTTATCAAATCCTGAGTGCAAGTAAAGACCTTTTAAAATAGATAAAATAAATCTACTTTTAATTAGATTGTATACACCTGTCAAGTTTAATTAAGAATTTATGAAATATATTATCTTTAATCTATAATCTATATATTGTTAAATTTCTCTTATTGCAATATTAATGATAAATTTTCTCTCATCAATATTCTATTTGTATTTTTTCTTATTGTAATCCGTGATTTATGTTCAATAATTATTAAAATATTAAATTTATTATTAATGGAAGAATGGACAGAAGATTAGATTTATAAAATAATACTAAAAATAAGTCAGGAGCAATCTGAAAGTTTTATAGATAGCATGGAATATCACTAAAAATTCAATGGGAACAACAGTATATCATCCTATTAAAATAGTTAATGAAATCTTGATGATCGGAATTTAAGAAAAGGAAGAAGTAATAAAAGAAGTTTTACATATGATCAGTATTTATTGAATTAAGCAAGATATTCTATTCTCTAAATTAAATTCACTGAAAGTAGAAAATGAAGATCATATCTCTCAATATGAACATAAAATTATGATATTAAACTAAGAATATGAATAGTGTTTGTCACATATTAAAGAATTAGAGGTTTCAGTATTTTTATATTTAGAATGTGAATGAAAATTAAAATGAACAAAACGAAAAACTCTTTGATTAAATTTAACGAATCGAAGATGAATTATCTAAAGGAAGATTGAAATATACATAAATACAAAATGAGCTAGAAAAAAAAGAAATGTAGTTAAAGGTAATAATTAAACATATGTAGGAAAATGTTGAGTTTATTTAAAATAATGAGTAAATTAAGAATTAGATGAGAAAAAGACAATAAGATTTAGAGGACTTAATTAATCAATTAAAAAATGAAAACTTTTAAAAAGACACTTAAATTGGGAAGCTGATTTCTAAAATTAAAGATTAAGATGATAAACTTTAATTGAAGGATATGGAAATTAAAAGTAGTTTTATTTTTAATTTAGATTATATCAAAGAAAATGAGAAGTAATAACAAGCATCCAATAATGAATAATAATAAACCTAACACGATTCTATAAAAAAAGAAAAAAAAAGAAATATTAATTATATGACTAGAAATAAAAGCAATACAATTCTTTTAAGATCTGAAACTTTACATTAAAGAAGTTAAAGCCAATTTATTGGTTAATTCGATCTTGAATAATTTAAAGATTAATGTGCTGCATCAGTGAAATCTTAAAAATCTGAGAGCGAAGACGATTAGACAGATAAAAAAACATTAAAATAAGAAAATGATGAGTAATAGGAACTTGAAAAATCGATAAATGAATTAAAGGGTAAACTTGAAACAGCAAACAATGAATTATAGATGGCAGAGAATGAAAAGAAATAATTGTAGGCTTAAATAGTTTCATTAACGTCAGAGATTAGTGTTTTTAAGATTAAAGAAAAAAAAATGGCTTTGTAGTAAAAATAATAGGAAAAAAGATTAACAGAATTGTAATCTGGTAAAACCTAGATCTATAATAGAAAAAAATAAATTTTAATTTGAATAAGAGTAATTAGAAATGAGAATGAGTGAAATTTAAAATTAACACCAATAAAAAATGAAATTAATGTCTTCCATGATTAGTGAAAATGATTAACTTGTAAGTTATAATTATGATTAGAAAAAACGATTATCTTTAAATCTAGGAAAAGTTGAAACTTAACAAGATGTAGCAAAAGATATAATAAAATTAAAGAAAGAATATGATGATATGATCATGGAGATGCACAAATAAAATATGGATTTGCAGTAAAAATAACAAATTATTTAGTTTTGTAAATTAAGATCTAATTGAAGAAAACAATAAAACTAATGAATAAATTAAATAATTAGAAGAAAAATAATTAAGTAATTATAAAAAATTAATTAGTATAAAGATGACATTTTAGAAATTTAATAATTAGAAAAGTAGCTAGAAGTTATGGAAAAAGAAATTATGATCTAAAAACAAAGTACTATATATATAAATTAAACAAGTTGTTTTAATGGAAGAATAATAAATAAATGAATATTAAATGAAATAATACATTTAATAATAAATTGTAGATAATGTTAAAATTAAAGTTTATGAAGAATTATAATTAGATAATTAAAATGATAAGGTAGAGAATATGTAAAATTTAGAGATGGAATTAAAAGGTTAATTAGATATATTAGTAAAAACAAATAATGAATTACAAAATGAGGTATAGTAATATTAAAAAATTAAAAATGAACAGCAAAATAATAATTAAGATTATATAGATAAATTGAAAAATAAAAAACAACTTTTAAAGTAGAATATACAGAACTTACATATATAAATAAATGATTTTGAATTGAAAAACAATTAATTATAATGTGAGTTGTAAGAAAAAGAAACATAAAAATAAAAAGAAATTGAAATAATAAAATTAGAAATAGAGAAAGGAGTTCATCATTTAATGGAAAAAACATAATAAATTGAAAGTTTATAATTATTAAATTAAGAACTTGAATTAAAAATTATTTAATTATAATAAGATTTGGAAGTAAAAGAAACATAAAAATAAAAAGAGATAGAAATAATAAAATTAGAAATAGAGAAAGGAGTTCATCATTTAATGGAAAAAACATAATAAATAGAAAGTTTATAAATTTTAAATTAAGAACTTGAATCAAATAATAATTAACTTTAAGAAGAATTGTAAGAAAAAGAAACATAAAAATAAAAAGAGATAGAAATAATAAAATTAGAAATAGAGAAAGGAGTTCATCATTTAATGGAAAAAACATAATAAATAGAAAGTTTATAAATTTTAAATTAAGAACTTGAATCAAATAATAATTAACTTTAAGAAGAATTGTAAGAAAAAGAAACATAAAAATAAAAAGAGATAGAAATAATAAAATTAGAAATAGAGAAAGGAGTTCATCATTTAATGGAAAAAACATAATAAATAGAAAGTTTATAAATTTTAAATTAAGAACTTGAATCAAATAATAATTAACTTTAAGAAGAATTGTAAGAAAAAGAAACATAAAAATAAAAAGAGATAGAAATAATAAAATTAGAAATAGAGAAAGGAGTTCATCATTTAATGGAAAAAACATAATAAATAGAAAGTTTATAAATTTTAAATTAAGAACTTGAATCAAATAATAATTAACTTTAAGAAGAATTGTAAGAAAAAGAAACATAAAAATAAAAAGAGATAGAAATAATAAAATTAGAAATAGAGAAAGGAGTTCATCATTTAATGGAAAAAACATAATAAATAGAAAGTTTATAAATTTTAAATTAAGAACTTGAATCAAATAATAATTAACTTTAAGAAGAATTGTAAGAAAAAGAAACATAAAAATAAAAAGAGATAGAAATAATAAAATTAGAAATAGAGAAAGGAGTTCATCATTTAATGGAAAAAACATAATAAATAGAAAGTTTATAAATTTTAAATTAAGAACTTGAATCAAATAATAATTAACTTTAAGAAGAATTGTAAGAAAAAGAAACATAAAAATAAAAAGAGATAGAAATAATAAAATTAGAAATAGAGAAAGGAGTTCATCATTTAATGGAAAAAACATAATAAATAGAAAGTTTATAAATTTTAAATTAAGAACTTGAATCAAATAATAATTAACTTTAAGAAGAATTGTAAGAAAAAGAAACATAAAAATAAAAAGAGATAGAAATAATAAAATTAGAAATAGAGAAAGGAGTTCATCATTTAATGGAAAAAACATAATAAATAGAAAGTTTATAAATTTTAAATTAAGAACTTGAATCAAATAATAATTAACTTTAAGAAGAATTGACAGAAAAAGAAACATAAAAATAAAAAGAGATAGAAATAATAAAATTAGAAATAGAGAAAGGAGTTCATCATTTAATGGAAAAAACATAATAAATAGAAAGTTTATAATTATTAAATTAAGAACTTTAATCAAAAATTATTTAATTATAATAAGATTTGGAAGAAAAAGAGACATAAAACTAAAAAGAGATTGAAATATTAAAATTAGAAATAGAGAAAGGAGTTCATGATTTATTGGAAAAAACATAATAACTAGATAATCAATAAATTATTATAGAAGAATAGTAATAAAAAAATCATTAATTATTAGAAGAGTTATAAGAAAAAGATATTTAATAATAAAAAGAATTGGAAATTTTATAATTAGATATTTACAAAAATTAATACAATATTCTTTAATAAAATTTAGTTATTTAAACCTATGAATAATAAATTAACAATTAAAATACTTAATTATCTGAATTACTTAATAATACCTTTTATCAAACCTTAGAATAATAGATCTTAAATCAACAATAAGAAATTAGTAATTTGAAGTTATCAATCTAATAGTAAGATGATCATTAAAAAGTTTATGAATAAATTTTAAATAATCGAATAGACTAATTAAAATAAACTAATCTTAACTATGCAACATAAATCTTAACCTTATCTTAAGATAAGGAAAAACTATAGTAAATATTTTTTTTTATTTAGATCTATTTGTTCTTAATTAAAATAAATTGAAGCATATTTATAATAAGAATTACAGAAAATGTAGGAAAAAATAGAAGAACTTTGTATTGAACTTGACAAAGTTCAATAGCCTTCTACTCGATCATCTTCGATTTCATCCTAAAATAAGACTTTTATTTATGAATAATTTTTTAATTTGGTAGATTTATAAATTATTTTAGACTTCTTAATCAGTTTAAATCAATTCAAATCATTAAAATGCATATGATGTTAAATTAAAATCCTATTTCTCTGAAGTTGTAAATTAAGGAATACCTTTCCATAAAGTAACTTTTATTAAATATTAAGTGGGCAAAATGGCTCGAAGATAAATTAAAAGAGGAACTTAATAAGTAGAAAAGATGATTGATTATTTATTAGATTTTTGTAAAAATATTTATTGTTTAATTAAAATTATTCAAAAAATACTAAAATATCAAATCTTTTTTGATTCTGATAGTTCTGACTATAGTAAATAAAAAAATATTATAAAAATTTAACTAATTAGTATTATTTAAATAATTTCATATTTTAAAAAAATTATGTCTCAGTAATTCTTTAGCAGATGGTCTTTCTTTAGGATCAGTTTTTAACATCCATCTTAATAATTCAATAAATGAAGAATGTATATTTATGTCTTAAAGATGAGAAAATGAAATTCCTTATCTCAAATATTGATCTGAAATTACTCTTCCTTTCTAAAAAAGTTTCGAATCTTTTATCATCCATAATGGAAAGGGACCATTTAAATATTCAATCATTAATAAATGTTTTTAGTTATTATTTTTTAATTTGCCAAATAGCTCTTTTTAGAAAAACATTTCATGCATCAAACATCCAAGACACCAAATATCTTGCTTAGAATTCCATTCAAGTCCCAAAATAACTTCAGGAGCTCTATATTCTTCAGTATTAACTAATCCTTTGTAGAATTATCTACCATTAACAACATTTCCAAAATCAATAATCTTAACATTTACTTCATCAAATTATGATTTAAAAAGAATATTTTCTAATTTAATATCTGTATGAAGATATTAAAGTTCATGCATATAATCTATTGCATTCAACAATTACAACATGATAGATTTGATTTATTATTAAGTAAATTTTTTTTTAACTAAGGATTCATATAGAGATGGCCCTAAGGCCTCCATTAGAATACATTGACATTATTTGTGATAAAAAAAATCATACACCTTTACTATATGATGTCTACCAGGATGGTCAATTAATTTAGGGAATAAATTTAAAAATTATACTGCTTAGTACTCCTTTTCGTAATCATGAAATGAGTTTTTAATGATCTATTTGTTAAAAAACAAGTTTACTTTCAACGCACGTTAATTATTTGATTAAACATCTCTTACTTTTATCACTCTTCCAAAGGTTCCTTCATTTATTCTCTCTAAATATTTGTACTTTCCACCTATTATATCACCTTTATCTAAAGAATAACAGGATTCTTCTAAATCAATAATTTAAATCGGTTTAACATGTTTTTCTTTAGAGCGAGATCTTTCGCGATCATCAATTACTATTAAATTTTTTCTCATGAAAAAAATTATTTCTAAAAATAATTAAATCACAAATTATTCATATATATTGCATAAATAAAATTAAAATTTAAATTATTTATTCCAGGTATGAATTAATTGAACGACCATAACCACAATCAATTTTTCTCTATGTTTGACAACTCCATCCCTTGTACAAATTTGTATCTATAATAGAATGTCCAAACTATGATTCAAAGACGAATTATCTTTTGGAGTCAAGAAAAATATTTTTATTTAATTAAGTCTTACAATAAAAAATTTAGTTTATCAAAGACTAAAATATTTTATTGGATAAATAATTAGTTCAGCCTTAAAAGAAATAAAGAAGGAAGGCGACCGATATTTCTAAAATTTATAAATGTACTTAATGTGAAAAATTATATGGTTCAGAAGCATCCTTAAATCTTCACATTAAACTCAAACATCCAATAATTGAATCAGAATCCAAAACATTGATTGAACAAAGCTTTTAAATTTGATTCATTTTTAGTTTTAATTAAGTCTTTTTTTTTTAACAATTTATACTAATTTTATATGTTTTTTATATTTTAAAAATTTAATTTATAAATTTTATTTTCTTTCCCTTAGTATGATTTAAGTTATAATTTCTGAACATATATTTATATTTGGGCTTTTTGAAATAATTCCAAACTTCTTTATCCATTATTGATGATTTATCGAAAGGATCAAGTGTATAGAGAAAATGATTTAAATAGGAATATCATAAATGGTTTTCAAAAAATTTTTTTTTTGGTTTTTATCTTCTATATTATGAGGCAAATAACTATAAATCTAACTCATTTCTTTCAAAAAGATGATTGATCAGATACTTATTTTTTATATGAATTCCTTTAAATTTAATTAAATAATAAATAATTATTTCTCTATTCATAATGGCAGATATTCATTCTTAACGAAAAAGTGTATAAAAAGTATTACTATTTCTTAAACTAGTAAGCTTATATTGATGATCTATTTACAAATGACAATGAGAATGATGATGAAAAAGACATTATTAAAATATATAATATTGCCAAAAAAGAAAGAAAAACTATAGAGGCTCACAAACAACTTTTAGATAATAGAGTTGCTTTATTGAAATAGGAGGAAATACGTACATTAAAAAAAATAGAAGAAACAAGAAAAAAAGCATTAGAAATTTATTATCTAAAGAAAAAAAATGAAGAGAAACTTAAAAAAGTAAGTATTTTATTTTGATTCATAGAAAGAAGAAGAAAAAGAATCACTATAAAAGAAACAAGAATAATAACAGTAAATTAGAAAATAGCAAGAAAAAGAACACTAATTGTTAATTTAGAAACATAGAAACGAAAAAGCACAAAAAGCATTTATTATAAAAGAGCAATCAAAAAAAATTGAATTGAGAAAATAAAATTTTTAGAAATAATCATTAACATCATTGAAAGAAAAAAATTAAATTATTAGAGAATCTAGAGATATTAATAGAGTAAAAGAAAGAATATAAATGGAAAAAAGAGAGGCAATTAAGGATTAATTAGGAAAAAAGTTAGAATCAGAATAAAAACTCAAAGATATTAAATAAAAAGGTAATTTTTTCAATAAAGAATAGAAATTGAATAAATTGAAACCTATGAAATGGATTTGTTGTAAAAGTTGTAAAATACATAATAAATGTAAAAAACAGCCTTTGAAGAATTAGAATCAGCTTTGACGATGACTGCAAAAGAATTTGCTGAAAAGTATCTTTAACCAAAATAAAAGGAGTAATTCAAAATTTTATAAATTAGAGATTAAAATAAGGAAATCTCTAATTTCAATTCAGATGAAGAAGGAGCTGAAAAAGAAAAGGAGCGTCCTCATATTAGTGAACCTTCTTAAGATTAATCTTCTAAAATTTCTATATAATAGATTAATGAGATAAATGATTAAAATCAATAAAATGATAATTTTAAAGATGAGAACAATGATTAAGACGATATTCAGAATAAAAATTAAAAAGATGAAACAAATTTATAGAATTTAAATAATAATCAGTAAGATGAACAAGATCAAAGTTAACATGGAGATTAAAACGATATTCCAAATATTTTAGATTCTCCAAAAAATAAAATTGAGTAGGATTCATAATAATAAGAATAAGAATGAAAAACGTTATTATATTATGATAATAAAAATCAACACTAATACTTCTTTTTTAAATTTGATTAATTGAGTAATTTCCTAAAAAATTTCTTTTAAAATTTTTAATATATATAAAAATAAATCAAATGACTCAATTAAGTTTATAAATTATGATTATAATTATTATAGTATTTATTACTAATTAAGATTAGAATTTAATACTACTAATTAATATTAGAATTTAATACTACTAATTAAGATTAGAATTCAGTTAACCCCCAGGTATAACAATAAAAAGAACTTCTTCCCTTACTTTTGAAATTTTCTAAAACTATCTCTGTTTAATCAAATAGATTCATTCGAGATAATTTTGAAATAATTCCATTTTGTGAAGAATAATTAATAAGTAGATTTTCAAAATGATACATCTCATTATATTCATGAAATTACCTTTTTTCTTTGATTTTATAAATACAACGTTTCAAAATTTAATAGGTCTTTGTAAATATCTTACAAACAAATTTAGTATTAGAAGATTTTAGGATATCTTTAAGAAATTATTGAAAAGTCTTCAAATCATTTATATATTTTGAGCTAAAAACTAAAATAGTTAAAATTTTAAATATTTTCATATTTAGAGAAGAAATATAATTTATAGAAATATAATTTCATAGAATTCAAAAATAAAAAGAAGATACAAGACTATTTCTCAATATTATTGATAAATGATAAAAAAAACAATAGTAAACTTATTTTTTTACTATACCATAATATGGGGAAAGTAAGATAAAGCAAGAATAGAGAGAGTATTGTAAAAGAAAAACTATTAGAGAAATATTAGTTCATGGCACACTAAAAAATTTAATATATACTAGTATAAGCTTAATATTTATAAGCGAAAGTAAAGGGATTATTAGATAAATGCTGATAAAAAGATGTGTATTTAGTTATTAAACCATGAAATTCATCATTCTTTTTTCTCTTCTGCTCTAATTTTCCCCTTTCCATTAGTTAATCTAACATTAAGTTCAGCTGCTCTTCTCACAAGAGTTGCTCTTTTTCTTGATGAAAGATTGTGAGCTAATTCACCTGCAAATGTTCTATTATTTGTTAGTAATAATTCAAGATCTTTTTCATTAGTTATGAGCAATTTTCTAAATCCAGCTTAATCTAAGTATCTAAAATGTGCTAAATTTATAATACCTTGTCTTTTTATCACCTCTATAACCAGCTTTTGGCATAGGTCTATTTCCTCTAAATCTTCTTCTGACTCTATTATCAATACCTCTTGGTCTTCTCCAACTTGGTCTTAATTTATGAGGGTAATCTTCTGATTCAAATCTAACAAATCTCTTTGTTCTCTTGTGAACAATTCTTTTATGAGCAAGGGATTTGACAACCATTTGTTTATAATTAAATAAAAGATTTTAATTCAAATATTCATCATCATTTTAAAAAATTATATTCTAATATTTAAAGGAACATTTGATATATTGATCATTTGCTATAGTGTTCAATTACAATTATAATCATAAACCTAATTCATTTATTACTATAGAATTACTAAAAATAAAAGATTACTATAATATAATTTTTTTATATAATATATTTCTATGATCTAAAACATATTTCAGTTTAAGATAAATTTAAAGATTGTAAAGAACTTAAAGTTTACCTCCAAAATTTCAAAATTTGAATAATTAGATTACCTAACAAATATATTAGTTTGAAAAAATTAAAGAAGATCAAATAGTTTAAATGTACTTCACCAATAAGGTAAATTTAATCATAAATTGTAATTGAAATCATATTTTCACTGCAAAATATTTGAAATTTTTTATTATCGTGCGTTTCTAATTTTTCTTTTATATATTTTTTTTCTTAATATTTTTTAATTTTCACTCCTTTCTTTTTTTGTTAAATTGTTTATTTTCTAATTTATTTTATTTATAACCTACTTTTTGGTTGAATATTTACATTTTAAATTTTTATTGGAATGCTTTATGTATCTTTAGAATAAAAATTTTCTATAGCCTCAAATAATTCATATTTTTTATAGTAAAGGAAATCTGAATCAAGAGTAACAAATAAAATAAGGTCAGAATGAACAGTTTGTCCATTGTAATAATCAGTTATTGTTGTGATATTTACATCGTATTCCACAAGTGATAAAATACTCATTTCCATCTCTAAAATTTGTGTAGAACTAAATTCAAAGTTACATTATGATGCACAATCATCTATATTCATATTAATTTAGGTTTGGCATTCATTAAACTTAATTAAGATATTAAAAATAGCTTACTTTAACTGCAATCATTAAAGAGGCTATTCCTACAAGTTATAAACTATCTTATTGAATCTGGTTTTTAGAAATATAAATTTTTATTAGTATTGAAGCTAATTCTATGGTTTTAGTGTTGAGATTATTTTTCTCAGAAATCTAAAATGATATTAATAACAAACCATAATGATCCAATGGATTAGAATTTCAAGGTATCCTATCTTCTGATGAGAAATTGGTTCAGATATTTTAAGATCTCTCATCCCTAGATAGCCATTGCTGTCGTAATCCATAACTTTTTATAAAATATTATAATTTGAAATATTTACTTCTCAAGAAGTTGGTTTTAAGAAAGAGTTAATTAAAATCGAAATCATATTGCATAAGGTTTAGAAATATAAAAAGGGAACTTTCTACCTTTGATTTTAAAATGACTATTGCATATATATTATTTATTTATTAATGGATAATATAGATAACTAAATTGTGAATATTTTCAAAAATGAAATCTAAATTAAAAGAATTCGCAAGGGTATTACTTAATTATATATATAGAATTAAAATAATTGGAAATTCTAGATAAGAATGATTTCAAAATTTCATTGAAGCAATTGTCTAATAATCTATAAATTATTGTATTCATTTTGTATTAAAATAGGTTGAAATGTAACCAGTTGTACAACTAAACTAAGGGAAACCAATAAAAATTTGTTTATATCTTGATAATAAATTTCCATTTGTTTTTCCAAGAGTTCATGTTCTTAGTCATGTATAAAAGAAAATATCTAATATTAGTTAACTAAACCCACTTTAGCTGATGGAAGAGATTACATAGAAGATGTCTTACACTCACCTTGGAGTCCATCTATTTTATTAAATGAAATCATTCAAAAGTTACCTAAATTTCTCGTAAATCTATGATTCTACTTTATTATTAGGATTAAGTAAGACTTTACAAAGATGATAGAGAACGTTTACTCTCTTTTGGAAAATACCATCAAGAATAGGAATATGAAGGGTAATTAGGATTAGAAGATGTCGAATACTTTTAATGTAAAGAAATTATAAATGGAAAATCTTATTAAAAAATAATCTAATTGAGCAATAGTCATATTTTATTCTTGGAATCTTAAAATAAAGTTTTGATTCTCTGCCATAATTCACCTACAAAAGATTTAGTTAAAGTTGAAAAAATTGATAATAGTGCCTTATTAACATGGAAAAGTGATGATAATTTTAGATAGTAAACTTTTATTCCTTCAAATATTGATCTATTTATGGATTCTATTCTTCTCTATAAAACTGGATCATCAGGAAAAAAAATTTAAGAAGAAGAAGTAACATTATAAAAATTTGAGAATTTTGAAATTTAAAAACTTCTTGCTTAAGTGAGTTAGAATGAAAAATTATTAGAGAAAGAATTAACCATATAGACATTGAATTCATTAATGGACTCATATTAATAAGTAAATATTGTATTAATTAGGCTATTGAATATTATTCTGCAGTTTCTGATGAAGATTTCAAAGAATATGTTAACCGTCTTTAAAATTTACTTGGGAGAGAAGAAGTCTAAAAAATACTATCCAAAAAATTGTGATCATGCAGTTTTTGTATATGAATTATCGTTTAATCCAGTCAACATTTATTAATTTCATTTATAAAAATTACATTTATTTTGATATTTTATTTGATAACTAAGAATAAATTATCATAAAAATAAATTATAACTTGAAATATATAGATTCCAATTTTTATACACAAAATTTCATAATTTATTGTTAGTTCTCTAAATCAAAATTCAGTAACAAAAATAAAAATGGTAAAAAATTTATATAACATTTATGGATTTTAATCCCAATAATTTCTTTCAAATTCTCAAGGTAGTTTTTTTCCTGAAATTTCTAAATGTAAATATGTTATATATTGTTAAAATATAAGTTGTTTAACCCAAATCCCTTAGCTAACATTTTTCACTTTTTATTTTGAGTTAATTATTTTAATATAAATCTTATGAATTTTATTACTTTCTTGATAAGAATATTTAATTATTTTATTCTATTCTAAATTAAAGATTTTCTAATTAATGAAAAATTAACCCATACATTAAATATAATTTTGTACCCTAATTTTAATCAATAGATGATAGATTTTATATAAAATTTTCATTTTTTATGAATAAACTTGAGTAATAATGATTCTCTAAAGAGGATATTTAAAAGTGCAAATTTATTGAAGCTTCCCTAAACTGTTAGTTTAATTTATATCTGTTTCATTTATTTAAACATTACTTGATAGATAAGTACAATCATCAATAGGTAATTATACAACTGTCTTCATTCATTAATAATGATTCAATTTTAAAAAATACTATAATTTTTGAATGTCAAAAATGAAGACAAACTAAATAATAATTTAAAAATGATAAAAATTAATCTAATCACATTAACAATTATCTCTAAAATTAAAATACAAGTAATTTTATAAAACAATAAAAAATATGCAGAAGAAAATGCATAATAAGTCTGTATCCCTTATAATAAACACTATGATTTCCATTATGAAATAACCATATTAGTATAATAATATGAGAAGCAAACTGTATAAAAGCTTTTAATTTTTGCAACCTCTTTAATTTGAGAATTAGAAATTAAATAATTATATAAATTATATACTAATTATAATCAGGACGAAAATCTCTACTGAATTACAAAGCTTATTACAGTAAATAAGCCTACTACAAAGTTTTGAAGAATCTCAAAGGTAATTTTTAAACCATATAGTTTTAAAGGATAGTTTCTACAATCATATTTAATATGTTTTTGTGCATTTTCAAGAGATTCTATTAAACAATCTATTCTTTAATAAATAACTAATGTATCTTTTCCATATTACTGTTTTAAATGATTTACAAAAGATTTATGAATAAAATTTTAAGGTTCTGATAAACAATCTTCAAAATAATATTTTCTCATTCTTTTTACATCTTAACATATAAATTTTAAATTTTCAATTTAAGTATTAAAATCTTCAAAATATTCATTTATTTTAGCAGCACTCATTAAGTAACATGAAACAAATAAAAAATAAATAAAGAAAATAATACCTAATGTAATTAAATAGTAATAATCAATGATAAAATAATCTAAAATAATTTGAAGTACAAAAATTAAACTGACAATACAAAATAGTATTAAAACAGTAAAATAAACTTAATTTCTGATATGATATGAAGCTCCATAATCAAAAGAGATAGATCTTAACATACTCCATGCTTCAATACTTCTTGGACAATTAATATCTATAGTAGGAGTTAATTTAAATTCACAGCACTTAACTCTTTTAGTACTAATTAAATAAAAAACCTGATCTAAAAGAAATATTTTTCTTTTCATATCATCAAGTGCAATTGATAAATAAATAAATATGCAATTAAATTATATAGTTTAGAATATTCCACAAATAACGCTAAGAAGAACTTCAAAAGGTTAATAAAAATAATTGTAACATTAGATAATTTTAGGTGTAACAACTATGATTAGACTAATCATAATTGATGTTAAAAGAATATATTTACGAGTGTTCAATTATTAAAAAGATTCAATAAAATAGGAAATCAGATTGATTCCACTATATGATCCATTTCTAATTGAATCTATTTCAATACTTTGTTCTTAAACAAGTGCTTTTTAGGTTTCTTCCATAGGTTCAACTATGAAATCAAAGTAAAAAAATTGTGTATCAAAATCATGTCTCTTAGCTGATCTAGCAATTTCTAAATACTTAAGTTTTTTAGTTTATTGTGCCCAATCAAATAAAACTGTATCAAATTTAATAGTTTTTTCAGGTAAACGAGATTCTTCATATAATTATATTCTATCCTCATTTAATGTAGAGAATTTAGCTGCTATGATTATAGATCGAGTAAGTAAAGAAAACCAAAGCAATCCCATTTCTAATGATGAGAGCAATCCAAAATAAAAATACATAACAAGAGAAAAAATATGGCCTGCCCATTAGAAATAATGAAATGCAACATCTAATCTAAATGACCAAAATCCTAAATTATACATAAGCATTGGTTTATTTAAAAGAAATATACATGTAAAGGGACCAAAAATATAAAATAACTAATTTACAAATTAAAAATACCAGTTAATACAAATAATATATTGCAAAGTGTTTCATATTGAATTCTGCTTTGTAAGATAAATCTTATTTCTATTTTTAGCATTTAGTTTCATGAAATGGTGTTTCATCAATTGTTGAATTTAATTTAGTAAAAATGATTTGTAATTCAAAATCCTCTTCTGGTTACCTTTAATTATCAATAGGAACTCCTAAGGAACACTTTTCACTATTGCAAATATACCATTTAGAAGGAGCTGGAGAATCTTCTATTTTCTGAGTATTAATTTCTTCCATAATTATATGAATGTAAAGTAAATTTGAATAATATATAAATATAATCACGATAAAAATAATTTTGCTTAATTCTTATAAAGCTATAATTTTAGAATTTTTTCTGGATCATCTTCTTAAAAGTAAACAATTGCTTTTTCAACCCAAAAATCTTTTTTTTTTTTTGAAGGCTGCAAATTCATCATGAAATGAAGCTTAAAAAAATTAGATAAAATATTACTTTTTTAGCATTTTTCACTAAGGCTTTAATAACTGGCATTTCTGTTAAATCTTAAGCTGTTTTACCTGCAACAGTTTTGATAGAAGGATTAGCCTAATATACTAATAAAACTCTAACAGTATCACAATTATTATTTTTGGATGCCAAATGCAAAGGAGTTCGACCCACTAATAATAATATTATAATTTATTACTCATATCTCTAGCATCTAAATCTGCACCATTTTCAACTAATAATTTTATTGCTTCAATTGAATTATTACTAACTGCATGATGTAATGGTGTTTTTTATTAATTATCTCTATCATAAACATGATAACGACAATCTCTTAACATACTTTCAATTTCTCTTAAGTTATCTGCTTTTACTTATCTAAAAAATTCAACACTATTAGGTCTTTCATATGCTTATGATGGGAAAACTTAATTATTTACAACATCATTTAATGTGATATTAAATCTCTTTAATTTATCCATAAAATTTCTAAGAGCTTTCATAACTCTTAATCTTAGATCTGCTTTTGCTTCTTCATCTAATCTTTAAGTCTTTGGGCTTTGTATTCTAACTGATGACTAAGATTTTAGAGTTCTTAGTGTTTTCAATGTTCGATAAGCGGATAATTATGATGGTTATAAGGCCTTTTTATTTTTTCTTACATGATTCATCGTATATTTAACTTCTCTTATATCTTCTCTAAATTTTATTACATTTGCAATCATTCCATTAATTAATTTTTATTCTTCTTTTATTAATTATTCAGTTTATTCTTTCATTCTACCATCTATTTTATCTTAAATTATTCTAATTTATTTTTGAATAATTACTAAAAAAATTAATCCATTTATGATTTTGGAATAAAAACATCAAAATCTTAATTTTCATCTGTTTTCTATCTTTAAGATGCAACTTAATCAATCATCATTTCATGTTTTTAACCATAATTTCTTTTAAATATAATATTATTTTCTTAATTAGGTTTTCTATATTTAGAGAATCTTATTTAATCTATGAATTTATTTTAAAGATTCTCAAATTCACCTTCATCATCAGAAATAAAAAATGCTTTTGACATTTCTTTTGCAGACTATTAAAGAACTTAAGCAGATTTTTCCATTTAAATAATCGATTCGTAACTATTTTTTTCTAACTATCCATTTAAAAAATTTGCCACTATTTTACCAGTTGCACTATGAGATTATTACATGATTGCACATAAAAAGTGGGTCTATTACAATAGTTTCTCTTTAGATTCATCCCCTTTAAGAGGATTTAACTATGCAATACTATTATTATTTAAGTTTCTTAAATTAGTTATTTTATTGACTCTTTTTAAAGGAGGTTTATTAGGAGGCATTTAAATAGTTTCAAGTTTATTTCTATATGATTGACGAACATATTTGTTAAAACTGAATGAAGGATCTGGATCTGAAAAATTAGTTAACATTTTTGGAGAATTAATAGGGGAACAATTCTAACTAATGAAATCTGTATTATTGGATGGACTTATTTATGACTTTTATAACAATGTGGACGTTTTGGATATATTTGGATAACTTATTGTTAGTGTGCTTATTACAATGTAGATGATGTTGTATTTCTAGTTGTTCTATGTTTCTAGGCAGCCTTTAACTCTGATTTTAATTTAGCTTACTCTTATGCAAGCATATTCCCCAATTTAATCATTTTTATAATTATTTTTAAATAATATTAGTTTCTAATTATCATCAATACAATTCATATCTTGAACTAGCACTGCCTGGGGTTTATATTCTAAAATAATATTATATTTTAATACATTGTATGTGGATTAACAATTTGTTAATATTTTTAACTTTGTACAATTGGTTTATTTGGTAGTTTCTTTGCTAATAACTCTAAATCTAAAATGTCTTATTCTTGAATTTCTTCTTCATCTATATATATTTAAAAGTCTCTCCAAAAAAAAGGATTCAGTTTCATTTCTTTTATTACCTCCTCACTACTTTACACTAAATCTTCACTTAATCCCCATAATGATATCTTTCCCTTCTTTCCACCAACTAATAGATATTATCCATCATTAGAGAAATCTAAAGATGTTATACTGAATATTCTATTTATTTTTTCAGCCAATTAACCAGTTCCACATTCATATATTCTAATATTTGTTGGCAACATTTTTTTATTAATTTTTGCATTTTTAGTCAAAAACTCAATCGAAGGTATTTCTATTATTTATTTATCTGATTAATTAATTAATGGTAAATGAGCTATCGCAAAATATAATCCTGATTTATCAATCCTTAAATTTCTTGAAAATGGTGGAACTGTTATTTTTGCTCTTTTCTCTGAGCTTTATACCCTATATATATAAACAAATCCATAATTTGATAAAATTAATATATAATCTTTAGATGGATGTAGATCATATCCAAATATGGTGCCTTCAATTGTATATATGTTTAATGCTAAAGCTGATAATTAAGAATTAGCTTTATCAATTTGATGTCTCCTTACAGAATTATGATTGTAAATAGTGAGTGAATTAAATGATTTATCATTTCTTGGAATGTAAGATGTTGAATATGCTTGTGTATTTACTTTAACAAGATCAAATTCTAATTAAAATAACTTGATTCCAACAAATGAGATATTTTCAAGTTTATCTTCTAACTTCAATACCGGTTTTAATTAATTTTCACAATCTAAGATAATCGTGAATCCATTTTTAAAGGCCACTCCTAAATATTAATAAGCTGGACTGAATTACATCTCTTTTATTCCTAGATTTTAAGTTAAAGCAATTTATCTTCGAAATTAGACATTAATTAATGAAAAAACAAACAATTATCCCTTATTATCTCCAAGGTAGATGTCATCTCTATAATTATCAATAACACAACATTTGATTTTAGTTTAAAATTATCCTATGTAGTATTTATTTATTGAGAATTTGTCACCTCGAGAATTAGAAACTCCAAAAGAACCATCATTAGAACAAGAATAAAATTGATTGCTTTAAATAAGATCCCAAGAGACTGAATTAATTCTACCACCATGACCATTTTATTAATCTAAAATTATACGCTTATTGATATCCATAGTAATTAAGGTGGAATCATTTAAAGCAAAAACAAGAAGTTAATTTGAATGTTTTAATTAAACACAATAGCAAGTATCGTTTGCATGAATTTCTGTTACAAATTTAAGAGTAGATATCTCATATATAAATATTTTACCACTTCTTGTAGATAAATATAAATATTATTCAAAACTGGTTGATGCAGTAAATTCTTAATCTGGAGCTTTCAATTAAGAAATCAAATCTCCATCTGAATTCAATATATATAAATCTCCAGTAACTAATATTAATATGATTAAATTGAGTGATTTATTAGTATCCATATGTTTAATATTCCTTAATGTGATTCTATTAGTGATTTGAACATTATTTTAACCCAAGTTCCAAATAGTTACTTAACCATTACACATTAAACAGATTTTTGTTTTTGGTTTTGTTGGCAAATATGCAAATCCATAGCAAGGATTTAGATTATCTAAATCAGTTATGAAAAGCAGTTTATATTATAGAATATCATAAACTAATATTCGATGACCTGTATTTACTTCAATCAAAATCAATTAATTATTAATATTCTCCATATAAATTTGCACAGTCTTTTTATCTGTGTCAGGTAGATATTCATCAAATGTTCGATTAAAAGTATCGAATTCAGAAATTTATAAATGATTCTTAAATCCCATGCTTACAGATGCAATAAGATTTTATCCACAAAAACAGATTGCTATAATCTAATTCACGTGACCATGCATTTAAACTTTTGAGTTATTTGTAGTATCAAGCAATAATAAACTGTTTCCTTATTCAAAAGCAACTAAATCATTTTTTACATCAAAAGAATGAGTACCTCCAAGAAAATCTATGATCATAGAAAATAAAATTTTATATATGTTTTATTTTTAATATATTTAACTTGGTCAAAAACCTGGTGGTTAATACGATCCAAATTATTATCCTCCATAACCCATAGGAGCTTAACTCATTGTTGAATTTCCAAATCCAGATTGCTATCCAAAGCCTAAATTACTGCTACTCATTTGACTGGGTGGTCCCAACATCAATTATCCTTAATTTAATAAGAAATCTTAAGCAATTGGTAAAGCTTATGATTATTATTATTAAGCAGTTTATATTTCCTAAAAATATAAATATGAATAATACTTTCTTTTCTCTATCTTCATGCTTTTTCTAAACATATTCTATCTTATGAGTTAATTCCCAAGTGATTTAAATGAAATAAGGCATAGCAAACTCCATTAAACCTGATCTCCAAGTCAATTCCATAACTTAATCAGGTTTCAATAAGTCATAACATGTGTAGAGACAAACAGTAAAGAATTCACTCTCTTTATTTTAAATGAAGAATTCTAATAATTCATAAACTAATTTGACATTTTAGGATTCTTATGCTGTTTCAATTGCATCCCTGTACATTTAATCTTATTTACTTAAATTCATTGATAAATCATATTTCTATATCTTTCTATAAAGATAAGCAGCAATTCTTCTGAATTCAACTAATTCATGAGATTAAGTTTTTTATGCCAAAGCTAATTAATCAAAGTTCTCATAATTTTTAACTGATTCTCTAAGATTTTCATAATCTTCAATATCTAAATAAAGTTGATTTAAAGCATCATTGACATCTTTATTATTAGCATTTTGAATTTATTATAAAAATGGTAAAGCAAGAGCCAAATAACCAGTATTCTTCATAAGTTTAACAAATTTGCTTAAATCAATTTTAGATTGAATGCTTCTTAATAAATCATTAATTTATTCAGGTTGTTCTTCAAGATAGAAGAGAATACATTTATAATACAAATCTGTATTAGTAATCTTTTAGAGTAACATAACTAAAACATCATGTGAAAATGCAGTTGGTGAATGTTCAATCATAATATTGATAGCATTATCTGGTTAATCATAATGTTAATGTAAGTAAACAGCTTCACTCCAGAGACACATCTTTTCACAAGTTCTTAAAACTTTTAAGATGTTCATCTTTTAGAAATATTATCTACAATGTTCCATAACTTTCTTTTATTTATAATGACAATAAAGAACTGCCAATTCTGTAAAAATACCAACATGAGCTCTTTACATACCTAAAGCATTTTCTAATAATATCATCATTTCTTCTTATGCATTATATTCTTCATATTATTTAATTAGAGATTCCAACATATCTGGTACAATAATTATGTTTTATGCAGCAATTGATGCATATTTAAATTCTGATGCTTCAACACAAGCAAAACACAATTCTTTCCATGTCTTTGATGTATTAGCTTTTTAAGCAGCCTCTATTGCTTTATTAAATTATTTTAATCTCACTAAACATGATGCTATTCTCGCATTATTCTTAAGAGCTGTGAACATAATCTTTGCTGCTTCATACAATTATTGATCAAAACATCTTTCTCCCACTTTAATTAAATCTGCTGAATTGCTTGATTAAATTAAAGATTCAATATCTAAATTCTTGTCCAATTTTGCATAACAATAANTAAATCATAACATGTGTAGAGACAAACAGTAAAGAATTCACTCTCTTTATTTTAAATGAAGAATTCTAATAATTCATAAACTAATTTGACATTTTAGGATTCTTATGCTGTTTCAATTGCATCCCTGTACATTTAATCTTATTTACTTAAATTCATTGATAAATCATATTTCTATATCTTTCTATAAAGATAAGCAGCAATTCTTCTGAATTCAACTAATTCATGAGATTATGTTTTTTATGCCAAAGCTAATTAATCAAAGTTCTCATAATTTTTAACTGATTCTCTAAGATTTTCATAATCTTCAATATCTAAATAAAGTTGATTTAAAGCATCATTGACATCTTTATTATTAGCATTTTGAATTTATTATAAAAATGGTAAAGCAAGAGCCAAATAACCAGTATTCTTCATAAGTTTAACAAATTTGCTTAAATCAATTTTAGATTGAATGCTTCTTAATAAATCATTAATTTATTCAGGTTGTTCTTCAAGATAGAAGAGAATACATTTATAATACAAATCTGTATTAGTAATCTTTTAGAGTAACATAACTAAAACATCATGTGAAAATGCAGTTGGTGAATGTTCAATCATAATATTGATAGCATTATCTGGTTAATCATAATGTTAATGTAAGTAAACAGCTTCACTCCAGAGACACATCTTTTCACAAGTTCTTAAAACTTTTAAGATGTTCATCTTTTAGAAATATTATCTACAATGTTCCATAACTTTCTTTTATTTATAATGACAATAAAGAACTGCCAATTCTGTAAAAATACCAACATGAGCTCTTTACATACCTAAAGCATTTTCTAATAATATCATCATTTCTTCTTATGCATTATATTCTTCATATTATTTAATTAGAGATTCCAACATATCTGGTACAATAATTATGTTTTATGCAGCAATTGATGCATATTTAAATTCTGATGCTTCAACACAAGCAAAACACAATTCTTTCCATGTCTTTGATGTATTAGCTTTTTAAGCAGCCTCTATTGCTTTATTAAATTATTTTAATCTCACTAAACATGATGCTATTCTCGCATTATTCTTAAGAGCTGTGAACATAATCTTTGCTGCTTCATACAATTATTGATCAAAACATCTTTCTCCCACTTTAATTAAATCTGCTGAATTGCTTGATTAAATTAAAGATTCAATATCTAAATTCTTGTCCAATTTTGCATAACAATAAATTAATGAATTATCAATATTTACATCCTTTACTGTTTATCTACACATTAATAAATATTTAACTAATAATTCATATCTATCCTCTTATTCAGCTACATTTATTATATTTAAAAATGCACTTGAATCATTAGCCTTAATATAACAATCTATAGATTCATTTACTTATCCTTATACATAATAAGCTTCAGCCAATAATGACCATACTTCATTTGAACTAGCATATTAAGCATATTCATGAGCTCTTGGAACATTTCCTAAATTTCTGAGTAATACATTCACTGCATCTATATGTAAATTAAATTTCTTAAAAACTGCAAATGCTTCCTCAAACAATCTGTATTCTTCATTTAAACAATGTTAAGCTATTATTTATGGATCAAATTTATCCAATCTATTTATGTAATCCAAAACCTTGCTTGTATCACTTTGAATTGCTGTAATTATTAATAAATTTTATAATTATTTGTATTACATAAATTCAGGATTATGTAATACTAATTTTTCCAATAACCCTAATAATTCATAAGGAATCTTAGCCAATACAAATGCTTTTACAGCTGCTTACACTTCATCAACATTTTTAGAATCTTGTAATGCTTAAATTACATAATCAATCAAATTTTTTCTATGAGGATTTGTTTCCTACAATACTCCAGCCCATAAATCAACATCTTATCTCTCTACTAGATATTTTGCTTACACTCTGTACATCTCATTTTTATTTGTCAAATTTATTAATTCCTAATCACATTATCCCCAAGCTCTCTTATAAGCTAACACTGCTAATTAAGGATCTCTTTCTTCACAAAATTTACCAACTGCTTTAGCATCATAAAATTGATTATTTATTAAAAATCCATCAGGATCTTAAGATGTATCAATCTTAATTTTAGCTAATGCATTGTGAATAGCAGGAATTTAATTACCTTCTGTCACTCTTGCTTCAAGCCATTATTCTAATACTCTAAGTTTATTTCTTTTCTCAAATTCTTCAACTGTTGGTTCTATTGGGCACATTCCTCGAATGTTATACAATAATTATTTCAAGTAAACCTCATCACATTCTAAATCAATTAATGTACCAAAAACTGCAGGAGCAGCATTTGGATTTACCTTAAAGATATAAATTTCGATATATCTTGTAAATCCATTTTTATATAGATATCTTGTTAATTCATCAACAAATCCATTCATATCGCATAAGAAGATTAATGGTCTTGGATCAGATAATTTTTATTCTTTCAAATAATTTTTAACCTTATCAGCATCATAGCAATCTCCTTTTTCTGTAATAACTCTCTCTAATTCTTTTATTTAATTGCATTTAGCAGCAGCTTCAATGTATTTATAATAGATATCCTTATCAGATGTGGTATTAATTAAAGATCCTAAGAATAAGTAGACTCCTTCAAAGGCACTTACTGATTCAAAGACTTTAATACAAGCTGGGATTGTTAATCTTTAATTATTTTAAACAGCAACATTAACAACAACTTATAAATTTTATCTATTATGTCTTAATAAATCTTAGAGACATTAAAGAGTTAAAGCAGGATCAACTCTAGATAGAAAATTAACAATAAATTCAGGTGGTAGAGCATGAGTATTTAAGATGACTCTTTTAACATCTTTAGGATCTGAATAATTTTCAAGTGCTCTTTGATAGAGACCCTTTTATTCACATAATTAAGCAACTCTAATTCTATCAAATTATGTCCAAATATTCATTTATAAGATAGCATCAGCAACTTAAGCAGCAGCTTATAAATTCAAGCATAAAACTTTAGTTTATAATGGTCCATCTTCAGCTCTGTTGTTCTTCATACATTCAACTAAGAAGGCAGTCATTTCAGGTAATCTTTAGAATTATTCAAAGAGTTCAGCAATTTAATGAACATTGATACCTTAATCTCTTTGATATAAAGATTTAGCCATGGCAAGAGCTTATTCTGGAGATGACATCAACATATTTCTAAGCATAGCCATATAATCTGTAGACACACCAAATTATTATTATAATTGCATAGCTAACTCGATTTATCCTGTTTCCATATAACATTATGCTAATTTTTAATAAGATTTGGATAATTTGTAGATTTGAATAGCTAGATTGACATCATATCTTTTTAAGAGATCTCCTAATTCATCAGATGGTTCTAATTTATTTTAGGCAATCCATTATTCAACAAATTATTTTCTTCCTTATTATAAAATAGGTCCACACAATTCAATAGCTTCAAACTTGTTCAAAGTGCCTTTTTCTAAAAGTGTTTAGAAATAAACAATAAGAGGTTAAGGTTATCCTGGTTATTATTACATTTATTTGAATTTAGCAATACTTTCTGGATTTCTAAGAACAGTTCCAGGTGCACTTGCAGCAATTTTAGCAGCACTCAAAGCATCTCCAGTTAAAATTGCTTTATTAAATTGATCAACAAACATATTTTCTGCTCCTGGAAGTTTATATCTACTAGCTAAACGGAATCCTAATTGAATAACTTCAGGGATATGTCTACATGTATTAATCAAATAGGAAACCAATTAATCATCATTTACAGAGATTGTGTATACTATTCCTTCCTTACCTATGATATGATATTAACCTTGATTAATATTTGGAGCACCTACAAACACATTCTCATTACAGATTCTCTATTTTATTATTTGAATTTATTTATACCTCTCTAAATATCAAACTAGCTGTGCTTAATTCATAAACTGTAAGAAATGAATATTTGCTTATTACATAAATTAATCCATATCTTTGATTAATATGCATTAAGACTGGGAAATCTGCTGGATAATTTGGATCAGTCTAAACTTCAACTTATCTTTTAAATTTTTAGAATCCATTAGGTGGTACTCCTATTTCTGAGATGTGTAATCTACTAGTTGTCTCACCAGACTTTCTTTCCACAAAACAGAATAAACTACTTTTGTAATCATCTGTATGAATTAAAGCATCTCCAAAACAACAACAATGTCCCTCCAATATTTATTACTTTGCTTATTCAATCAAAAATAGTTGAATATGTCCATTTATTGTTCTACCTCCATCTGGTGTTGATATACCATATAATGCACACCATTTCTCATTTCCTTCCAATCCATATCCAATTATTTAAACTGGATTCTCTGATGACAATGCTCCAGATCTTATATATTATTAGTATTAAATATTACCTATCCATTACTTTAACTTATTGTTCATTAGGATTTGTAATATTGATATGATAAACTGCTGTTGGTGTTACATATGCTAACTTTTACAAGTTCACCCATCTCCAAAATATTATTGGTTCATTCAACTCAACATTCTTTATTCTTTATTTCTCATCTAAATTGAAGATTTAGATCACTGTTGAATTTGGCTATTCACCTGCTGCTCTCAAAGCTATGATATTCTTTTCTGGATGCATTATTGCAGAATCTGCTTTGTTTGGCTTACGAGAAATCAATTGTTTTGTCTCAAAATTGAATTGTAACAATTGTGTTTCTCCATTTGGGGCTGTCTCTCTAATGGTTATGTATTTATCTGATTCGAAGTATATTTGTCCAAATTTGAAATTGGTTTGGCTTACACCCAGCTAAGAAAATCTATATGCCTCTTAAACTCTTATTGGTCTCAATGGATTCATAAATAAATAAAAATTTTAATTTCACATCTCCACATCATATCGGTATTTGAATTGAATATTTTATTACCAAATTTAATTATTTATATATAATAGGTATTATCTTATCTTAATTCATTTTATATTAATATTCTCACTATCTCATCTAATATAAGTCTATCTAATTACTTTTAGGAATAAATTCCCTATTTTCATCTATCTAATCTCTTTTCTTCATATTTAGTATAAATTTAAATATATTTTCTAATCCATTACTTTCAATTCTAAATACACAATAATAGAACTTAAAATATCATTAAATTTTAAATTAAATTACTTAATTTTCATGTAATTAATCATTCGATTTCAATCCTTATTTTATCAATATATAAATTAAGAATAGTAATACTTGTATTTTAAATTATCAAAATCTTTTTTGTTATAATCAATTTAAATGTCATTTAGAAATCAAGTATGGATAATAAATAATAATAATCAAAATTTGGTTGACTTTCAATTTTTTTTTCACTGGATTATTTTCTTTTAAATAATTGAAATATTGAGATTAAAAAGGTTTTGACTCTAATTTATGTTTTTACAAAAATATTTCATGTATGAGCAATTTTAAAAATAAATGTAAATTAAAGTAAAATTAAAATCTTTAGATTGATATTGTATGCTATTTTGATGATTTATGATCATAATTTTTATTAATATGAATAAAAGTTTTAAAAGTTATCCTTCCTTTGCTGCCTTCTAATAAGAGCAATCAAAATCAAATAGGTAATATTGATAAGTATAACAGTTTTAACGAAGATTACTCTATGTTTATCATAACTCAGTTTATGATTTGACAGATTTCAAAGATAAACATCCTGGAGGAAGAGGTCCTTTAAATACATATAAAGGCAGAGATTTAGAAAATGTATGTAATTATGTTTAGATTTTAGATATTTTTCAATCCTTCAATACACAAACATAGCTAATCAGCATTATATACATTAGAACGGTATAAATGTGGAATAATAGAGAACAAACCTCTTTAATAATAATGTTAATAATAATAATCCATGTTAGGTTCAAAATCAACTAATGTTTCGTAATCAGTTGTAACAAATAAATCATAAAAAAATACACCATCAAAACTTGATTCTGAAAAAAAGCTTTAATAAAAATCATAATCTGTAAAGCCTAAAGCTCAATATCAAGAAGATCGACTAAATTAATCTATGAGTAAATTAAATCAATCAATGACAAGCAGTGTTAAATCATAATTTTTACTAATTCCTACTTAATAAGAAATATTATTGATATAAAAATAGAAATAGTAGAAACTTATAAAATAGTGGAAACAATCAGAAATTGATGAATTAAAAAGATAACAAGCAGAAGTTGAATAATTGAGAATTGCAAAAAATGACGATAGAAAAACTTAAAGTGAAATTTTAGTTTCTCCTCAAAAAAAAATAACAAATCCTTATTATTCAGCATGGCTTGAAAAATAATAAAGACAGGATTAATAAAAAATAGAAGAATCCAAATATGCTAACATTCTACCAGCTTATTTAACATAATCTAATGATTAAACATTTATTAAATAAGAAGATACTAAATTCTAATAATAATCTTATGATGTTGAAAAAAAGAAATAATATGATTAGAAATTGTCTTAATCAGTCATAGTAGAAAAAACTTAAAAAAAAGTTAATCCCTATTATGAAGAATGGAAGAGGAAATAAAGTTTAAAAAGTTAAGAATAATAAAAAGATTTAATTTTAAAAGAAGTTAATTAATTATCAAAATAACAATCAATTATTTTAGAAGAGAATGAATCCTAAATCTCAGGATAACCATCATCGATGAATAATAGTTTCCAAAGATCATATTCAATGAGTTAAAGAACAATTGTACAAGAGGATCCTTAATTGAGTGTTCCTGTTTTTGCTCCTAAATTTATCTCTCCTATCAAAGCTAAATTTATTATTAGCTCTAGTATGAAAAAGCTATGATGATAAGATAGATGAATTTGAATATATAAAATTTAACTACTATATTTAATAAAGTATTTATATTTAAATATCAAAAACTACTGCAAGGATATTTTTACAAAATAAATATAATTATAATGCTCCCTAAGAATCATTAAAAATCTTATTAGTAATTTCAACAATTTTCAATTTCATCAATTAAAAATCATAAACTACTTTATAAATTGGTTGCAAGTTTTTATAAAAAGTGTAAAATTTGTGGTAATATAGTAAAAGAATACTCTTAAACTTTCATTATTTATATTAGAAATCATTTACATGATAAGAGTTTAGATATACCTACTTTGATTTAAGCATTTTTAACAATGAGAAATTTTTTAATTGATGATGAAAAGATAGTTTTAATCATTTTAAAAATAATTGCTAGACTAAAAAGATTAGATCACTTTTAAATAGTTTTATTCTATTTAGTATTGTTAATTCAAAATGAAAATGTCATCTAAATTATGCTATAAAATTATCAAAAACTTAATTATCATCCTAACTTAAGATTATGTATAATACTTTCATATTTCTAATAATTTATATTAAACAGTTTTTAATAATAAGAAGATCATCTTATCAATCTTTTGATTATATTATAAACTTCCAAATAATAAATACAATTCATTTATTTATCGAAATTTATATTCTAATTTGAATAAATGATGTACAATATCTATCCTGAAATAATTAACAAACTATTAATTTAACTTAAAATAATCCAAAAACTCCATGAAAAATTATTCCTCATTTTTAAAACGGGATTACTAGATATTCAGATAAATCTCTGCAAAAAAAAATATGAAAACATTCCATCTTTATTAAGTCTGAGAGAAGATCTATTTATAAATTATAGAATCTTATTACTGTAAATAAAATTCCTTTAATTTTAAAACCATTCATTTACGATGATAATTTTAAAGGGATGGGCAATATATAAAAATTAATTGAACTGGGGCAGTTACATTTTTATCGAATTTAAATGGTCAAATTTAACTAAAATTTTTCAATAAATTTATGCAATTACTGTATTGTAATTCATCAATAAGGATACTTGTAAATACTTTGAAACTCAAGAAGCCATAGATTTTGATTTTTCATGAGAAAATTAAAACAAGATTCGTTTGGCTTCAAAAATAATAATTTTAAAAATATGATCATTTCATAGATATTAAAAAATATAATATAAAAATAACAATATCTATAAATTAGAATATTATGTCTATAAATTTATATATATATCAAAAATAATGTGAATCAAAAGTAATTGAATTATTATTTGTATTATTATTATTATTATTATTATTGTTATGATTATTATGAATATATTTATTATGATTGTTTTTATTAAAATATTAATTAGATGATTAGAATAATCTAAAAAAGTAATAATATAAATAATAAATTACTTTTAATATGATAATTTAGGTTCAATAGATATTTTAGTAGGAATGTATTTATTTAAAATAGAAGTTTTTCTTTATGCATTTAATATTTTTTTTCTAATTAATTCACTAGTGGCAGTTTATCTTTTTGGAATAGTTTTTTCTGGAATTTTAACAATAATTGATTTAATTTATTTTTTTAAAGTAATTTAATGTAAAGGAGTTGGTATTTTAAATGGAGGATGAAAGAATTATTAAGCTGAATTATGAAAAGATTATTATTATTATTATTATTATTCTTAATTACTTTTTATTATTTTAGATGAAAATGTTCTAATCAATCTTCTATTTGTTGAAATACTAACTTTTCCATCATCTTCCATTTATAATTTTAATATTGAATATGATTGTTTTAAATCATAATCATTACTTACAGAAACATTTATCATTTATTTATTCCCTTTCCCTCTATGTATTAATAATTATTTTGGACTACTTTAAATACTCAAACTAGATTAACTTCTATATTTTTATAATAAAACAGGATCCATTATAAACTACTTTTTTTTCTTATTAAAATTACTATATATATTATTTTTTTTTTATTTATATATTTATATCATTAATTAACTTATAAATAC